GAGGGCTCTGGAGTTTCACTGGCGCTCTGTCACCCACACTTCCGGTGGAAGACATTTCTCAACAGCGCTGCTGGCCCACAAGGAGAAACTTTCACCTCTGCTTCTAGGAAGACAGATAAACTAGCCCAACTCTCCTCACGGGCAATTTTATTTTACTTTTTGGTGGGACTGAGGTTTGAACTCAAGTGTAAAGCAGGTGCTCTGCTGCTTGAGCCATGCCTCCAGTCCATTTTGCTCTGGTTAATTTTGAAATGGAGGTCTCCTAAACTATTTGCCCAGGCTGGCCTTGAACCATGATCCTTCTGATCTCAGCCTCTCAAATAGGCTCTGGTGTCCAGCCAGAAAAGCATTGTTCATGACAGGCCTTATTGTAAGCAACCTTCCATTTTTTTTCTCCTAGTACTGGGGATTGAACTCAGGGCCTTGCACTTGGTAGACAGGACTCTACCACTGAGCCAGATCACCAGTCCTATTTTTTTTTTTAATAAGCAAAGTTATTAGGAGCCCAGTGACAGTTGTTCAACCCTTCCCTTGTACCCCAACTGGCTTGAGCTTGAGAAAAGGACTAGTTGGACAGCCAGCATTTCTGCTCTCATGACAGCCTGCTTGTTTAAAACTCCACTGACACCTTGAGGAAGTTGCACCACAACCACAACTGCTTGCTGCAAAAGCCCAGCTTCAGCTCTAGAAGGTCATGCCCCAGCCATGAGTGTTTCAAACAACTTGTGCCAGATTTTATTGCCATCAAAAGCCTCAGAAAACTCCAGCAGCCATTTTCACCAAGGCCAGAGAGGGAGCACTTTGCCTTGTGCCCAGGAGAAGGCCTGTAATTGGTATAGACACCCTTGCCTTTCTGGCTATATAAGCAGACTGTTATGCTCATTTTGGGAATCAGCTGGGGCACCCTGGTGTTACAACATTAGGCCTTTTCTTGAGTTTTTCCCCCCCTTCAGTACTGTAGTTTGAACTCAGGGCCTACCCCTTGAGCCACTCCAGTAGCCCTATTTTTGTGATGGGTTCTTTCAAGATAGGGTCTCACGAACTATTTGACTGGACTGGCTTTGAACCATGATCTTCCTGATCTCTGCCTCCTGAGTAGCTAGGATTACAGGTGTGAGTCGCTGGTGCCAGGCTGAGTGGTCTTTTCTTGTCTACTTTTGATCTTTATCATTAGTAGAGTGGGCTAAACTGGTAGCACAAAAAAGAGACTGTGAAAATTACAGCAGTAGCAGAAGCAGCAGCAGCAGTGAGAGGGCAACTGAAGACTTTCAGAGCACTTGACTGCAGTGGACAACAGAGCCGGTGACAATGGTGAGAAACTGCCAGCTTTAGTGGCTCCAGTGATCCTGTGTCTCCTGGCAACCAAGGCCAAAGAGCTGTGACACTCAGGGTCCCATTCAAGAGTTGTAACACTAGCAGGTGCTGCCTGCTGCCTTTGCCCATGGCTGCTGGAAGCTGAGGATTACAATAGCAGCCAAGTGCTGGGGACACTGTGGTTAAAGCCCAGAGCAATCAGCCACCAATTGAGTACCTACAGTCATATCTCTGTCTTCTAGAGCCTGGAGTAACAGTCCCTTGTGAGCCTCTGGTCAGCCAGTTCAGCCCCTAGGCCTTGGGCACTCAAAGGCCCAGGACTGCCAATGCTAGAAAGGCTTCTCCTTGCCTACCCATCATTTCTGTCCAGATAAAGCAACAATTCCTATCCAGGTAAATAAAATAATTGATAACATTAGGATGGTGTCTAATCAAGGGAATGGCAACCCCATTACCCTTGGCATATGTGTTGCTTGGAAGCAAGTCATAGGTCCCAGCACCCTCAAGAGAATTGATTAGGACTGGGCACAGTGGCTCATGCCTGTAATCCCAACTACTCAGGAAGCACAGATTGGGAGGATGTGGTTTGAGGTCAGCCTGGGCAAAAATTTATACCCTATCTCAACAACAACAAAAAAAGCTGAGTGTTATGGGTGCCTGTTATCCCAGATATGCAGGAAGTGTAAGCAGAATTGCAGTCCAGGATGACTTGGGCAAAACACACAATACCCTACCTGAAAAATAACTAACGCAACCAGAGGCATGGCTCAAGTGGTAGAGCACCTGCCTAGCAAGTGCAAGGTCCTGAGTTCAAACCCCAGTACTGCAAACGGAAAAAAAAGAATTGATTATACAAAGGTATGGACTCTAAGAGGTGTGGGTCACCTCTTAGATAGATTTGGGATGTGTTTGAGGATATGGGGTTGAGGCTGAGGTGTTTGTGGAGTTTTCATTAGTTCTCCATTGCTGTGTGAAAAAGGAAAATTACTGCCGGGTACACGCCAGTAATCCCAGCTACTCAGGAGGCAGATATCAGGAGGATCATGGTTCGAAGCCAGCCTGAGCAAAATAGTTTGAGAAACCTTATCTTGAAAAAACCCTTCACGGGAAAGGGCTGATGGAGTGGATCAAGGTGAAGGTCCTGAGTTCAAGCCCCAGTACCAAAAGAAAAAAAAAAAGAAAGAAAAATTACCTCAAAGGGTAGCAGTTAGAGACAACAGACATTATCTCAAAGACATTATCTCAAATAGTTTCAGAGAGTCAGGAACCCGAAGTGGCTGAGTGGATTTGGCTCAGGGTCCCTCAGGAGGTTACAGTCAAGGTGGCAGCCAGGCTGCAGTCAGCTGATGGCACCAGTGGGGCTGGAGCATCTGCTCCCAAGATGGCAACCCATGGTCCTCAACACACGGGCCTCTCCATAGACAACGTGAGTCCTCACCACAGGAGGACTGGCTTCTCCCAGGGCAAGGAATTAAAAAAATGGAAAGATGAAAGCCCCAGTGCTTTTGTATGACATAGTCACATACCGTTCTCCTTTAGTTAGAAAAAGAAAGTAAAGGGCTAGATGCAGTGGCTGACACCTATAATCCCAGCTATGTGAGAGGTGGAGATCGGGAGATGTGGTTTGAAGCCAACCTGGGCAAAAAGTCAGCTAGCAAAACCCCTAATGACCAAATAAACTGGGACTGGGCTTGGTGGTGTGTGCCTGCAATCCCAGCTATGTGGGAGGTGTAAGTAGGAGGATCATGGCCCAAGGCCTGCCTTGGACAAAACCACAAGAGCTGATCAGATAAATAACTAAAAAGCAAAAAAAATGGCTTGGGGCGGGGTGGTGACTCAAGTGATACAGCACCTGCTTAGCAAGAGAGACCCAGGGTTTAAACCTCAGTTCTGGCAAAAAATAGAAAGGCAAGGCAAAAGAAAAAAAAATTAAAAAATTAAAAATTAAAAAAAAGAAAGGCAAAGAAAGAGAAGGGAGGAAGGGAGGGAGGGAGGGAGGGAGGGAGGAAGGAGGAAGGAAGGAAGGAGGGAGAAAGGAGGAAGGAAGGAGGGAGGAAGGGAGGGATGAAGGAAGGGGGAAGGAAGTGAGGGAGGGAGGGAGGAAGAAAGGAAGGAAGCCAGTCCAGCCCACACTCAGGTGACTAATCCCCACTTTTTGGAGGGAACGTTGACAGTATTGTGGACAGGTTTTGAAACTGCCACAGCTGGAGGAGGTTGGCTGTGGAGGCTGACTTGTTTAGCATTTAGGTTTTGTGGGTGGCTTGGTATCATTAGACCTGAGTCAGTGGAGACAGTCAATGGAGCTTGCAGTCATGGGGGCTGGGGTGCTGAAATCACAGGTTGGATGATTTTGGGGTTTAGTGCTGACAGGCTTGTGGTCAGCCTGCTGAGGACTGTAGTGGTGGGCATGGTGTAGGTGTGAGAGGGGAATTAGGGTTTTAATAAAGTCACAGCATGGGTTAAGTTAAAGTTTAGTTCATGGGGGAGAGATCAGTATAGGGGAGGTTGGAAGGCAGGTTTGGTTGGGGTTGGATTCTTTGATGGGCATATGGTTGTATTTGGAGCTGAGGTGTCAGGACCTTGAGCTTGCTAGGCAGGCGCTCAAGCAGTTGAGCCACTCCCCAGCCCTATGGTGGAGTTGTTGACTGATGGATCAGATGTAGGCATCACCTGGTGCATTTTTCACATGTGGAGGCAAAAGCCACCATTGAGGTGAAAGGTGAAAAGGCTTGAGTTGGGTAATAAGAGTCTTGGTTCTTGGCCTGGCGCTGGTGGCTCACACCTGTAATCTTAGCTACTCAGGGAGCAGAGATCAGTAGAGTCTCAGTTCAAAGGCATCCCGGGGCAAATAGTTCACCAGACTCTATCTCAAAAAAATGCAACACAAAAAAGGGCTGGAGGAGTGGTACAGCATCTGCCTAGCAAGCATGAGACCCTGAGAGTAAAACCCCAGTACCACCACCAAAAAAAAAGAATTTCAGTTCTCAGCTAGTTGGGAGGTGGAGATTTGGAGGATCATAGTTTGAGGCTAGCTTGGGCAAAAAGTTAGCCCATCTTCAATTATTAAGACCCCATCTTAGTAATAAGCTGGGCATGATTGTTCCATATGTGTAATCTCAGCTACACAGCAGGTGTAGGTAGAAGAATCATGGCCTGAGGCCAGCCCCAGGCAAAAACCCAAAACCCTTCCTGAAAAATAACTAACACAAAAAAAGGGCTGAAGTGGTAGAGCACCTGCTTAGTAAGTTAAAGTTCAAACCCTACTATGTCCAAAAATAAATATATATTGGTGGATTCATTTTGGGGTGTCAACTGGGGTACCTGGATTAGTGTTCAAACTGTTATGTTGTTCTTGGTTTTGGAGACAGGTTCTCACTATGTAGCCTAGGTTGGCCTCGAACTCAGAATCCTCCTGCCTCAGAGATGGTGATTGAACTTCAGCCTTGGAGATGGTTTGAGGTGGGGCACAGCCCATGAGAGCCTGTGGCGGTCTTGGATGCAGGCTGGCCTGGGTTCATTAGGAGAGGAGACCTGCCTGCGGACATTGTCATGGGTTTGGTTGAGGCTGCAACTGTGACCGTGAATCCATGCTGGGGACTGCGGGCAGCGAGGGGCTCAGGAACTCTTCTCACGACCCTCACCCCCACCACCCCTCCCCTGCCCGAGAGCATAGTAGACACCACGCACCCAGCTCACACATCTTTATTGGCCTGGATGTGGGCCTGCCAAACGGGCTGCCCCTCCTGTGCCAGCCCAGTTTGGGGGATTGCACCCACATTCCTGAGGGAGACCAGCTCCCTGCTGGAGGGGGTCAGAGGTTGGGGATGGTGTGGGTGCCTTTCAGTCTGCTATTTTACTGGAGAGAAATCCACATCTGTGCCGCAAGTCCTCCCCCCTAGCCCCTCTGAATCGACGCTTGAGACGCTGCCCTGCCTGGAACAGGGCGGCCACATCCAGCAGGGCATCCTCAATATGCTGCCCCAGCCGGTGGGAATCCTGGAAGGAGAGACAGCTGAGGCTGGGGTATCAGGGAGGGGCTTCAGGGGGTGGGCAACAGGGGCTGGGCTGGACCCCTGGGTGTGAGGGAGGAGGCTGGGCTGGACCCCTGGGTGTGAGGAGGAGGCTGGGCTGGACCCCTGGGTGTGAGGAGGAGGCTGGGCTGGACCCCTGGGTGTGAGGAGGAGGGCTGGGCTGGACCCCTGGGTCTGAGGGAGGAGGGCTGGGCTGGACCCCTGGGTGTGAGGAGGAGGCTGGGCTGGACCCCTGGGTCTGAGGGAGGAGGGCTGGGCTGGACCCCTGGTCTGAGGGAGGAGGGCTGGGCTGGACCCCTGGGTGTGAGGAGGAGGCTGGGCTGGACCCCTGGGTGTGAGGAGGAGGCTGGGCTGGACCCCTGGGTGTGAGGAGGAGGGCTGGGCTGGACCCCTGGGTGTGAGGAGGAGGCTGGGCTGGACCCCTGGGTGTGAGGAGGAGGCTGGGCTGGACCCCTGGGTGTGAGGAGGAGGGCTGGGCTGGACCCCTGGGTGTGAGGAGGAGGCTGGGCTGGACCCCTGGGTGTGAGGAGGAGGGCTGGGTCTGGAATGTGTCTGTGGGGGAAGTGAGAGGGCTACACTCTTGGGTTGAGGGAGGGTGACTGGGGAGGTGTTCACATTTGTCTCACTGTTTTTGTGCTTGACTTCTTGCTGGCAATGTGGAAGGTGACCATGTCATCCCCCATGAAGATATATGACACACCATAGCCATTGTCATCGGCCTGGATTGAAAGACAGTTAAAAAAAACCAAAAAACAAAAAACAAATGGGTTGGGTGCTGGTGGCTCACGCCTGTATCCCAGCTACTCAGGAGTCTGAGATGGGGAGGATTGCAGTTCAAGGCTAGCCTGGCTAGTTAGTTGTCAGACCCCATCTCCAAATAACCAGAGCAAAATGGACTAGAGGCGTGGCTTAAGTAGTAGAGCTCCTACTTTGCAAGTTCAAAGCCCTGAGTCCCACCAAAAAGAAAGAAAAGAAAACGAAAACAGCCCAGCACCTCCCTCACTCCACAGAACAGGAGGTCCCCTCTTCCCTCAGGGAGGGTCAGGATCTTAGCTCCACTTACAGGCCCGAATCCACCACCCGAGGAAACATAATCCGGGTAATTGTGGACGTCAAACAGGTGCATTTGCTGGACAGGGATCTGGCTGGTGGACAGTTGCCACTGCTCGGAGTGAACCTGAGGACAGGAAATGGTCACACAGGCGGGAGCAGCAAAACCCGCCGTGCCACACAGCCTCCACTACCTTCGCTCCATCCCTTCACTGTCCCTGGCCCTTTCTGACCTCTGATTGCCAGCTTCCCCTGCTCCCCTCCACCCCTGTGGTCCTTCTCCCTGAGCTAGCTCCTCCCCTGACCACGCCCCTGGCCACACCCTCTAGCACTCCTCCCTTCTCCTGGACCCCGCCCCTTCTCTGCCTCCTTTCCCTCTCTGCCTTCTCCCTTTCTTTCCCTTTCCCCCTTTTGCTTATTTATTTCTTTGCTTATTCATTTTTATTTTTCAGTAGTGGGATTGGAACCCAGGTTCTCGTGCATGCGGGGCAGGCGCTCTGCCACTGAGCCACACCCACACCCTTCTCCTTTTCCTGATCTCTGAGCCCTCTCCTGATGATACCTCTTTTTCCAACATCACCAGCCATACTTGCCCTGAAGCCTTGACCCCCACTCGCACCCCGGGTTCCCTCCTTAACCCTTTCCCTGCACCCCCAACCTGAGCCAGGAAGGGTGACTGCACGTGGAGGAACCGGGACGCGATGTAGAGCGCAAAGAGGTGGCGGTCCACCCCCTGCCCGCTCATCGCTGCCTTGAGCAGAGCCTGGTGTTTGTCCACTGCCACGCGGAACAGAGCGAGGCACTGCGGGTCCTTGGGTCCCCAGGGACGTCACATGTCGTAAAAAAACAGAGAATGGGCTTATTACTGTTGGGCTGGGTGCAACACCTGGCCTCAAAAGTCATCTTGCAACCTGCCTGCAAGTCAGGGGTATCCACCCCCCACTTTCCAGAGAGGGAACAGGCTGAGACAGGAGGGGCCACCCAGCAAGGCAGCACCAAGTGGCTCCCCAGCTCTGTGTGATTCACAGAGCCTGGCCACCAATGACTGCAAATGCATGGGTACAAGTGACAGAAGCCTCATCGAGGCCCACACCCACTGTCTTCTCCTTGTCCTCCATGGCTTTCACAAAGTTGCAGGCCTCCCTTGTGCAAGACCGCACTGTTTCCGTCCGGCCTTCCAGGAACAAGCGAGTCATGGCTGATTCATAAGTCAGGCAGAACTGACCCCTGTCCTGGGGACAAGAAGGAGAGGAGCCCGTCAGCTAAGCTCAGGAAGTCTTCACAGACTTAGCCCACCCTGTCCAACATCCATCCACCCAGGAGAGGAGAAATCAAGGTGGCAGATCCACAATGGTAACCACCAAGAGGAGTTGTCAAGGGAGCTGAAGAGGCAGGAGTTGGGAGACCCAGGGGGAATGAGGTTCTGAGGGCGTGGGATTGGGGAACCCAACTGACCCGGAAGTGGGCGAGCTGCAGGGCCATCTGGATGAAGCTGTCTGAGGGGAGGTGGCAGCGTCTGATGAAGCTCTTGCCAAAGTGGGAGAAGGGGAAGACATGGCAGTCGATGTTTGCAGACAAGGTCTTGGCTCCTCTCAGGGCTAGGGAGATGGAGGGATGGATCTGCCAGACAAGGAGGGGGAGGGTTGGTGTTATGGAAGAGATGGGAATGGAGTTAGGGTGGGGGTGGAATACGGAAGGAAGGAGGGTGTTATAGATGGCAACGGAGATGGCAAGGATGATGGAGATGAATTGGAACAGGGCTAAACTGAGACTGGGGTTGAGGATGGGATGGGACTGAGGGGCCCTTGGGAACAAGGTGACAACGAACCAATGCATGAGGTTGGTCAAGACCAAATGGAAGTTGAAGATGGGGTGGTGGTTGGGGACAGGGCTGAATTTACGTGCTGGGAGTGGAAATGAGTGTGTGTGCGGGATGGGGACGGATTAGGACTGAGGATGAAGATGGGATGGGCAGCAATGGGGTAGAAATGGGGTGGGGCTCGAGGCTGTGGGTGCATTTGGCTTGGGTGTTTGGGTTGGCAGTTGGGATTGGGGCGAGGCTGTTTGCAAAGTTGAAAGGGGATGGAGATGGGATTTGAGGACTTGGAGGACAGCCCCAGAGACCCAGCCTCACCTGGTCTGGAAGGTCCCACTGTAGCCGCTGGGGTTGGGGCAGTGTGGGGTCAGGCTGCCCCTTACAGTGGCCATCAGCCGAGTAGCCCAGCTGAAAACATTCTGTGGCCAGAGTGAACTGTGGACAAAAGACAGAGGCCACCAGAGTTCCTTCTTCCCTCTGGACTCAGGCCATCTAACCAGGGACCCCTTCTTACCAGCCCCTTTGAGGCCTGGGGTGGAGGGGGGGAGTCCCTGAGGCCCAGAAACCTCTGAGGTTCCCAGATGAGACCTCAGGTTCTTGTTCATTGAGAACGGGACTAGTTAACCCTCAGCAGGTGCTGACTGGTAGAGTCACTAGCCAGTCCCTCTTTTGCAAGAACTTCGGATAATCCTGAGACTGGAGGGATAAAGCCAGGCCCAGCTTGACTCTGGCTGGGGGGGCCACATTTATTCTGATTGAGTGCTGTCCATGTCCTGTTGGTGTCAAATATTTTAAATCAGTCGCGATCAGAAACCTGTCACCCACCAGCCCTCTCTATTCGCATTTTAACTCACTTCTCACAGACACCCTAGGAAGACGGAATTAGCAGCTCTATTTTGACAGTAGACATATGGCAAGAGAACAGTCACTTGTGCCTTAGAATTCACGTTTACCCTTCTTTTTTTTTTAGATGGTACTGGGAATTGAACCCAGGGCCTCACAAATGCTAGGCAAGTGGTCAACCACTGAGCCACACCCTCCAGCTCTTTTGCTTTGATTTTGTTTTTTTGAGACAGGGTGGTGGTAACTTTGTCCAGGCTGGCCTCCAACTCTTCATCCTCCCACTTTACCCTCTGGAGGGCTGGGATTACAGATGGGAGCCATCACACCTGGCTTGATATCTCTCTTTTTCTTATCCTCAGTTATATTGTTCTACTTTCAAAACCAATATTTAGCCCTGTGTGGTGATGCATGCCTATAATCCTAGTTACTTAGGAGGCAGAGGTAGGAGGATTGAAAGTTTGAGGCCAGCCTGGGCAAAGTTAGTGAGACCCTGTCTCAAAATACAAGCAAAGGGCTGGTGGAGTGGTTCAAGCAGCAGAGCAGCTGCCTAGCAAGTGTGAGGCCCTGAATTCAAATCCCAGTACGGCAAAAAAAAAAAAAAAAGAGGCTGTAGGTGGTCTCTGTCCCTCTAAGCCTCAATTTGCTCAATTTGTCTTTTGACCCACGGCCATAGAGGGGAAGTTTCTGGACTTGGGGGGGGATCCCCTGGAAAAGGCTGGCTGCCCTACCTCCCACATGTGTCCTGAGATGGGGCAGTCAGCCCACGAGTGCTCCACACTGAGTCCCAGTTTCCCGTTGGAGAAGACGATGAGGGTGAAGGATTTGTCGAACCAGCTGGGGGCAGAGTTCAGGGCAGATCACCAAAGAGCCAGGGTGGGGAGGTGAACTCAGGGCACATTCTGTGGGACTTGTGGGGGGTTCAGGTGTGGGGTGGGAGCATCAGCTGATATCCTGGTGTGGGGACTTGGAGGAGCGCTGGGCACCTCTAGTGGTGTCTCTGGATGGTCTTGCACTTGAGTCTAGGATTTAGGAAGACTTTTTAGGAAATTGGCTAAGGAAGGTTCCAGGTATTTGAGGTGCCAGGAAGCTGGGAGGCCTCCTGGGCCTGGAAAGTCATCTAAGGATTTCCAGGTGTGGGGTCCCAGATTTGGGGTATCTGAATAAAGCTCTGAAGGTTCCGTGGCCCAAGTTCGGAGTCTGATGTCTCCAGGTTTAGGGTTCTGAGTCTCGTGATCTCTCCATGGCTGGGTCCAGATTTAGGGGTTTTTGGCCCTCAAGTCTGGGATGTTGAATCTGGGTTATGAGTATGGGGTCCCAGGTCCAGGGATTCTTTGGGTCAGAGTTCCCCCAATCCTAAGGCACTGAATCTGGGGTCCTCAGATGTAAATGGGCCCTGGATCTAGAGACAGCCTGGGTCTGGAGTCCAGGGTCTTGCTGGCCAGTGGGGAGGGGGTCCTGGGTCTGGATGCCAGGTCTGGGTGGGTTCCCAGCCCAGGGCTGACTCACCGGTCATGGCCCCGGCCAGCCAGAAGGACATGTGCATAGGCGTCCAGTGACACTGCGGGGTCCTCCCTGGTGAGTCCCCCAGGCTCGGAATCCAGCGACACAAAGAAGGCCGCCCCTTCCACGGCCTCCAGGGCAGCGGCAGCCCGGGTCTTCACCGACTCCCGCACTTGGGCCCACATACCCCTGTTGGGAGGGTTGCACCTGAGGCCATCTGGTCCCCAGCCGGCTATCCCGTGACCTCAGGATGCTGGCTGGACCTGGGGGAGTCCCTCCCTGCCCTCTGACTCACCTGGGAGCGGCTGTCAGGGCAGCCAGATGCTCCTCGTGGGGACACGCAGGTGAGGGGTCATCCAGGATGTGCTGGAACTGCTGCTCCAGGGCCCTCGGGGACAACAGGCCATTTGGGGAATGGGTCCCCACGCGGAAAAATCGGCCCCGGTGGAAGACAGCCACGTGCCAGCTGTCGCGAAGGTGGCAGATGGAGTCTTGGGGCGTGAAGGCCAATATAAGAATAACAACCATTTATTAAGACCTTACGTGCTTTGACCTTTTCCAAACACCCTTGGTCTTCACCACCCTGCATACTTTTTTCTTGTCTTTCTTTCTTTTTTTTTTAGGTGAGATCTCGCTATGGAGCCCAGGTTGGCCTCAAACTCGTGATCCTCCTGCCTCAGCCTCCCGAGTGCTGGGATTACAGGTGTGAACCACCAAGCCAGGCTCCCAGGTACTATCATTATCCCATTTTAAAGATGAGAAAACTGAGGCTCAGAGATGGTAATAATATGCCCAAAGCCACACAGGAAATAATAGAAAACAGAATAGGCTGGCTCCAGAGACATGCTCTGAGCTGCTACCTTGCTCTGTCTCTATCAGTGGGGTGGGATGGGGACGGGGACAGGGATAGGGATGGGGATGGGGGGCTGTCCTCACCTCTCTCAACCCCTGGCACCCGCGTGGTGTTGAATATTTTCTCATACTGGGCAGAGCACAGGGGGCGCATCCCCATCAGCATAGTCTGTGGGAAGCGTTGGCTTGTGAGTTGCATCTGGGACCCATGTGACCCCACGTCACGGGGGCCACAGGACCACGTCTCTGTCCCCAGCCCACAGGAGCCTTACCGGAGGCATCTCCTGGCGGCTCAGGCGCTGGCGGTATAGGAGCAGGGCGTGGACTGCGTTCCCAGCGCGAGCTGCCTGCAGCGGCGTGGGTGTGACATATAGGAAGTCCTAGGGATGGTCAGAGGGGACAGCAAAGCACCTGAAGCCAGGTTTGGCCCAATGGGGACCCTGACTGCAAACTGTGGCCCCAGATGTAGCTCAGGGATCATAAATGTTATATTTCACCCAGGCACCCCAACCTTGAACTTGGGCTCTAACCCCGCCCTCTCCCCAGTCCCTTCTTCCCCTCTCACCATCAAGTAATAGTTGCTGTTCACCATTAGCGAGTTGCGAGACCGCAGGTACACAAATTCTTCCCACCAGTCACTGACCTGGGTGTGGGGTGGGGAGACACACAGTTGAGGGGCTCTGAACTTAAGAGAGAGGAACAGTAGGATAGAGGAGCCCACCAACTTTCCTGTCACACAGACATTGTGATCAGTAAGTAGCAATGACCTAGTCCATGGATGGGGACTGATTAACTAAACCATGTGATGACACTCAGGCCATGGAATATTATGCAGCTGTTAAGAATAATTTGCTGGGCACCAATGGCTCACAACTGTAATCCTAGCTACTCAAGAGGCAGAGATCAGGAGGATCTCAGTTCAAAGACAGCCTGGGAAAATAGTTCGCAAGACCCTATATTGAAAAAACCCATCACAAAAAAGGGCTGGAATGGCTCAAGTGGTAGAGCACCTACCTAGCAAGCCTGAGACCCTGAGTTCAAATCCCAGTACCACCTATATTTACTAACAAAAAGTGTGAAAAAGACTAGGGAAACAAAGATATGTGGAGCGATCTGACTTGAAATTAAAAAAAAAAAATCTAGAATACAAAAGTCCACAGAGAAAAAGCAGAACAGAAGTTAGCAGGGGTGGGTGGTTTGTTTAAGATGCTAAGAATATTTTGAAAATAAATTATGGTGATAGTTACACAACATTAAATTTATGATGTATTAAAGTCATTGAAATATACACCTAAAAAGTTAAAAATGGTACCTTTATGGTGTGCGTGTTTGTGTGTGTGTATTCGAGATAAGGTCTCTTTGTGTAGCCCTGACTGGCTTTGAACTTGAAATCCTCTTGCTTCATTCTTCTGTGTGGGGATTACAGGCAAACACCATCATGCCCATATACATAAATTGTGTATAAACATCTACTTCTCTGGGCACAAATATATGTAGATAAACACTCATCCATGAACTGACCAAAGTGTTCCTCACAGGGAGTGGTGACAGAGAATGGATTAGAGGGAGGTTTTCTGGTATCTTCTTTTATTCTATGCTATAGAATCTATGAGAACATATACATGTTTACTTCTCTCTTAGAGCCTATATCATCTTACACTTCCTCTGAGGTAATGTGCAAAGCCTTCCAGCAAAATCCAGAAGGCTCCAGAAAATGATGCAAAAGTTCTACACTTTCAGGCTACATGAGTATCTGCATACGTTAAACTTACTCAAGCTGATCACGCAAGAGTTAGGCATTCGTAATCAGCTATTGGCTTCAGTAACTCCATCTTCATTCCTCTTTACTTTTTTTTGTGGGACTGGGGTTTGAACCCAGAGCTTTGTGCTTACAAAGCAGTCACTCTACCACTTGAGCCACACCCCCAGTCCATTTTGCTCTGGCTATTTTGGAAATGGGGGGGGTGTCTCAAGAACTATTTGCCTGGGCTAGCCTACAACCAAGATCCTCCCCATCTCAGCCTCCCAAGTAGCTAGGATTACAGGTGTGAGCCACCAGTCCTGGCTTCCTCTTCCCTTTCTTATTTCCAGAATTCTGGATCATCTTGCCCTCAAGATAAGAACAGGCCATCAGTAGGAATTAACACCAAGCTGCTTAAACTCCTGGAGCACAAGGATTTCTGCCTGTGACCCCTAATTTGATCTTCCTATAAATATCCCCCAACTTCCTCAAAGACCTGGAATTGGGCTTCTGGAGACATAAGTTTATCTCCTTCCAGGTGGTCAGCATCCCAGTAAAGCCTATTTTCTTTCTCCAACACTTGTCTGTTGGGCATTGGTTTCTCTGGGCAATGAATTACTGGACCTGAGTTTGGTAAGAGAATTTGGCGAGCCAGCCAGGAGAGCCCTGGGTCAGCTTTGCCCCTCTGACTTCCAGTTGAGGAAACAGATGGCTGCACCAGGGCTTACCCTTAGAGCTACTTGTGGTGAGCACCTTCTGGTGATAGCCCACCATGGTGAGCTAGTCCCACCTGGGAAATTGGATGGAACATTCCAGCAGCTGCTGTGACCCTTTTTGCTTCAGAGAAAATCTCTCTTTTTTATTCCTTCGTGGCAGTGACCACCACTACTTTGGGTGGGGGAAAGAACCAGCTTGTGAAGTCAACCGACCCTTACTTACTGGTAAGCTGGTGTGCATACTGGAAAATTCTGTGTTTTTGGGGCTTCATGCCATTTGGATTCAGTGTGGGTCATTTGAGCCATCAAGCAGCATGAGGCAAGGTTAAAAAAGACAGTATTTCCATATTTCTTCTTTTGGGGAATTGGTTTTGAAAGACCACTCTGTTTGTTTGACTTTGGTTTCCTTTAGTTTCCTCTCCTTAAAATTTAACATGGAGTGGGGCATTGGTGGCTCAGGCCTGTAATCCCAGCTACTTGGGAGGCTCAGACCAAGAGGATCTCGGTTCAAAGGCAGCCCAGGTGAACAGTTCACCATACTCCAACTCCAATTAACCAGAGCAAAATGGACTGGAGGTGTGGCTCAAGCAGCAGAGTGCCTGATTTGTAAGTGCAAAGCCTGGGTTCAAACCCCAGTAAGAGAAAAAGAGAGAGAGAGAGAGAGAGAGAGAGAGAGAAATGAACAAAACGAACAAAGATAAGGGAGAAGAGTAACAGGCTTTTGCCATTGGTGACTCCATCTTGCTTTATTCCTCTTCCCTTTCTCATGCCCAGAAAATGACTTCACTTGGCATCTTGCACATCTTGTCCTCAAGAACAGGCTGTCACTAGGAAACTGTCACATCGGATCAGTGTCAAAACACCTAAGCTCCTGAGAAGCACTGACTTCTTCATTTGGCCCCTAATCTTACCGCCACATAAACATGCCTCCCGAAAGACTTAGAAGAGGGTTGTGGAGATATTAGTCTACCTTCTCCCCAACTCTAAGTGAGGGTCAAGAGTGCCCTTGGGACAGAAGCCCATTTAGGGGATTGAGCAGGAAATATTGGATGGGTCCTGGAATTCAATTTCCAACTTTGGAAAGTTGGGGGCGGAGCTCAGAATGGGCGGGGCACAGATTACTGAGTGTGGGGGTGGAGCTCTGTTTTTTGGAGCAAGGGGCGGGACTATTGAATCCGGGGCCGAGGCTTAGATTCCTGGAGCACGGAGCAGAGCTATTGAGTCCGGGGGCGGGGCTGAGAGTCCTGGAACACGGGGCGGAGCTATTAAGTGGGGCGGGGGGCGGGGCTCAGAATGTTGACGCCTCTGGCGGAAGCTCCAATCACGGCAGTGCCTGGAGGTTGTGGGCGTGTCGCGGGGGCGGGGACTCACGTAATTGGACGCCCACCAGGACTTGAGGCACAGGTACCACTGCAGCAGCGACGCCTGCAGCTTCAGGAAGTCCCGTGCCAGCAGTGCCGTCCAGTCGAAGTCCTCGTCGGAGAGGACAGGACGGACAGACTCCAGGTACTGAGGGGGAGGGCGGGGAAGAGGGAGTCAGGCCCCCGCCCCGTCCCTGCCCCGTCCCCGTCCCGTCCCGTCCCCTCCCCGTCCCAGGTACCCGGCCCACCTTGCGCACGGTGTCCTGCACCGAGGGCACGGGTTGGCGCGGCAGGCAGCGCTGGTAACTGAAGAGCATCGGGTGGCGGCCGGAGAAGATGCGGACCAAAGCCTGGGGAGACAGGGGTTGCAGGGTCATCAAGCCTCTCGCTTGGTTAGGTTGGGGACCTAGGGGGAGGGGTCGAGGCCGGTCACAGAGGGATGAGGACAGAGACCTAGAGAGCCAAGGAGCGGGAAAGAGACCCAGAGAGAGAGGAGGATGGAGACCCAGAGAGAGAAGGAGGACGGAGACCCAGCGAGAGGGGAGCAGGGTGCAGGCTGGGTCAGAAACGTTGGTCCTGGGACGCCTGGTGTGTGGGTCCCTTCACTTACCAGCCAGGTCTTGGTGGGCGAGGACATGGCTCCATGGGGCTCAAGCAGCCAGCCGTGGTAGGACAGAAGCAGCCTCAGGGCCACATGCAGCGTGAAGATCAGGGCTCCCCATAAACACGAGGCAAACAGCGCAGCTGCCAGGACCCCCCGGAGCCGGTGGTGCTGGCCACCCCTGGGAGGAGAGAGAGAGGCTGGGCCTGTGTCTCCTGGCTCCCAGTGCCCACCCTGAGGCCCTCCAGTCCCTTCCAGTGCCTGCACTGGGCTTCCTTCCGCTGCTGGAGGGGCGTTTTAGACACCCGGAGTCCGACAGAAAAGTCCATCTGTAAAGTAGGTGGGACCCTATTGTGTCCTTGTCCTCTTTGTGGTGGCACCAAGCTTCTAAAATAGATTTCCTAGGAAATCAGCAGGTGATTACTAAGCAAGAGTCATCATCTCTGTTGCAGAGAGACTTCTCCCTCCCAGATGGCAAACTGTGTGCTAAGGTGGCTTCAGGTTGGAAATGCACATTCCTGAGTCCCATCCAGACCCACTGAGGCGGAATTTTTTTTGGTGGTGATACTGTAGATTGAACCCACAGCCTCACCCATGCTACACAAATGCTCTACTGCTTGAGCTATGTCTCCAGCCCTATGCTTTTAATTTGTTTTTGAGACATGGGCTAGCTACTGTCCATATCCCAGACTATCCTTGAACTTGAGATTCTCCTGTCTCTACCTCCCAAATAGCTGAGCTTATAGGTGTATAACACTATGCTAGAACACAGAAGTTTAGCAGTCTCTCAAGATGATTCCAATACAAACTCAAGCTTGGTCTCAAGCTACACTAAGCCAACAGGTGTCTTTTCCCAGTTGTAATCACAGGTTTAAGCAAATAGCACCTGGAGTATTAGGGTCCAGTTATGTCCCCTTTGTAGACTTTGTAAATCTAACCTTCCTAGAAATGTCTACTTCTGCTCTTCAGGGCCACATGAACAAAATCTGAGCCTTCTATCTAAGGAAATTGATCCAAAGTAGTAGAACCAAATCACTCTACCTACACCTGTTTGGGGATTTTGTTTGTTTGTTTTTTGGGGTATTTTTGTTTTTGGCAGTACTGGGGTTTGAACTCAGGGCCTCATGCTTGCCAGGCAGGCGCTCTACCATTTGAGCCACGTACCAGTCCTGTGGCTTTTAGTTTGTTTTTCAGATAGGGTCTCATGCTTTTGCCCAAGTGGCCCCAGACCATAATCTTCTACCCTCCACCTCTGGAGCAGTTGAAACTACAGGTGTGTACCACTAGGCCTGGTCCCCATACCTGTTTCCAAACACCTCCTAAGGATAGATGATAACATTAATAATAATACACCACACTTAGTAATCTCCTGGCAATACAGTGAATATTACACATGTGCGATTTTCATTAATTCTTCCAAGCACCCCAAGAATCAATTATTATCCTCATTGTACAGATGCAGTCTGTGCCAGCTTAAAATGGTAATGTCTCTTGACTGAGACTTACATAACTAGAAACCGGCTCATCCTACCATTAGTATGTCTAATCATATCTGGACTTTTCACTATTCCTCTTAACAAGAAATAGCCAGAATAGGAACTATGCAGAAAGAAAATGTCACCTCCTTTTTCATTATACCATTCCTTTATTAATCTGACCCAAAATAAGTTTCAGAGATTACTTTTCTTTGGCAGTCAAACCTCACTGATAGAGAAACTTATTGGTTGAGGGAAGATTTGGAGGGGTTACTGGGCTGAAGAGTGGGACCTCACCAGTCTGGCAGTAATTCTTTAATCTTCTCCATCAATCCTAGGGAAGGATCTAGCTGGAGGAACCAGGCAAGCTGGATTGCACTGAAGAGGAAGAGCCAGCTGAGGGGACTAGCAGGGAACACACCAGTGAGAAAGTCATTCTGTGGGGAGGAAAGGGGTGTGTTTAATCATCTGTGTCTGCTCCTCCACTGAGTACCTGTTCCACACTGTTCTCAGGTATCTACTGATCCTCCAGTGGACGCTGAGCTCAAGATTCAGTGGGGCCAGCTGCGGGTGGCTCACGCCTGTAATCCTAGCTACTCAGGAGGCTGAGATCAGTAGGATCGAGGTTCAAAGCCAGTCTGGGCAAAAAGTTCAAGAGACCCTATCTTGAAAAAACCCATCACAAAAAAGGGCTGGTGGAGTGGCTCAAAGTGTAAACCCTGAGTTCAAACCCCAGTACTAAAAAAAAAAAAATCCAGTGGGAATAGACAGAACTGGGTCCCGCCTAGGCAAGTCAGTCCAGAATGAAGCAAGTACCCAAGGTAATAGCAGAAGAAACAGGAGAAGCCCTATCCTGGTGGGTTACTCAGCCTGAGGGAATCAGGAAGGGCTCCCTGGAGGAGGTGACTCTCAGGCAGGGCCTCAAAGTCAGACTGCCAAAAAGCCAGACTGATGCCCTGTATCCTGCAGGCCTTCTAGAGCTATCTGGACATGTGATGAATGAGGAATGAAGGAACTGGCTTACTAACCCGATTCCCAGGAAGCATGACAGATACACCTAACATTTACTGAGCACCTATTGTATACCAGGTGTTGCTTACAATGATCAGCAGTTTTTACTTTTATTTTATCTTATATTTTAGGTGGTACTGCGGTTTGAACTCTGAACCCCACCCCCGGCCCTCTTGTCTCTGTTTCATTTTGAGACAGGATCTTGCTCACTTTGCCCAGGCTGTCCTCAACTTCATGGTCCTCCTGCCATGTGCTACCGTGTCTGGCTCTATGTTTTGCAGTACTGGGAATCGAACCCAAAACTTCACACCTGTTATTCAAGTGCTTTACCACTGAGCCAGAGCAGACATGGATTTGGAGCAGAGGCAACTTCAGAGTTATCTTTTCTTCCACTGTGGCAGCAGGGTACAGAGCTATGGAGAGTTTAGAGTCCAGACATGTAGAGGCCGCTGGTGGCTAAGGAGCCAGGGGAAGTGACACTCAGGTCCAGGGTGCAAAGGCTAGGGGAAGGAGGAGCCTTCAAGACTGGGGTGTGGGCTGACCCAAGGGGTCGGGGAACAGAGGGATTCTGGAAGAAGGAATATCTTCTGTAGAAACTGCAGATGACAGGGAAATATGAGAAGGAGACTGGGGCTTGAGTGTGGCTCAGTCGTAGAGGGCTGACCTAACTTTTGTGGGTTCCATCCCCAGCACCATAAAAAATAAGTGAAAAACAAGTTGAGTGTGCACGCACTTTTTTTTTTTTTGCGGTACTGGGGTTTGAACTTGGGAGTCTACACTTTGAGCCACTCCACAGCCCTTTTTTGTGAAAGGGTTTTTTTTGAGATAGGGTCTTAAGAACTGTTTGCTCAGGCTGGCTTTGAAACACGATCCTCCTGATCTCTGCCTCCTGAGTAGCTGGGATTACAGATGTGAGCCACCAGTGCCTGGCTGGCACACATGTGTAATCCCAGCTACTTGGGAGAAGGAGACAGGAAGCTCACCACAGTCCAGGCCAGCCTTGGCAAGGTTAATGAGACCCTGTCTCAAAAACAAACTCAAAGCAAAAGAGACCGGGGTGTGTCTCAAGTGGCGAGGCCCTGAATTCAATGCCTAGTACCATATACACACAATAAAAAGAACAACACAAAAATAATTAAAAGAAAAGGTGAAACCGGGTGCCAGTGGCTCACGCCTGTAATCCTAGGCTACTCAGGAGGCAGAGATCAGAAGGATCACAGTTCGAAGCCAGCCTGGGCAAATAGTTTGTGAGACCCTATCTCGAAAAAAACCCTTCACACACACAAAAAAAAAGAGCTGGTGGGGGTGGATCAAGGTGTAGGCCCTGAGTTCAAACCCCGGTACTGCAAAAAAAAAAAAAAGAGGACCGAGTTCTAGAAACTGGGTGGGGAGTTACATGAGGAGGGTGTGGGTGTGGAGTTCAAGAAGCCAGAGCAAGTGAGCAGGGATTCTAAGAGGTGAGGCTAAGAACTGCAGAGAAACAGCTAAAGACGTGGTGAAGGTGGCATGTGCTGCAGGAAGGGAGCCTCCGGCATCCTGTAAGCAGGTGACTGGACTCCTGGAAACAGAGCAAACAGAAGCTCCTCACCCAGAAACGCCAAAGGTGCCTTTTCCAAGACCGAAGGCCAGACAGGCAGATCTCCTGCACCACGGGGCTGCTGAGCTCAACTTCTGCCCCATCAGACGTTAGGGAGGACAGGAAGCTCACAGCCTGGTGTGCCTCAGCCATGGCACCAGGAGCCCTGGGAGGATAGGGGGTCATTCTCCAGATTATAACCCCTCCTCCCTCAGACCCAGGGGTCCAGACCTCAGTCCTCCTCCCTCACACCCAGGGGTCCAGACCCCAACCCTCCTCCCTCAGACCCAGGGGTCCAGATCCCCAGCACCTCCTCTCAGGGGTCCAGGCCCCAGAACCTCCTCCCTCAGACCCAGGGGTCCAGACCCCAGCACCTCCTCTCTCAGACCCAGGGGTCCAGACCCAGCCTCCTCCCTCAGACCCGGGGGTCCAGGCCCAGCCCTCCTCCCTCAGACCCAGAGGTCCAGACCCAGCCTCCTCCCTCAGACCCGGGGGTCCAGACCCAGCCCTCCTCCCTCAGACCCAGGGGTCCAGACCCCAGCCCTCCTCCCTCAGACCCGGGGGTCCAGACCCCAGCCCTCCTCCCTCAGACCCGGGGGTCCAGACCCCAGACCTCCTCCCTCAGACCCGGGGGTCCAGGCCCCAGCACCTCCTCCCTCAGACCCGGGGGTCCAGAGCCAGCCTCCTCCCTCAGACCCGGGGGTCCAGGCCCAGCCTCCTCCCTCAGACCCAGGGGTCCAGACCCCAGCCCTCCTCCCTCAGACCCAGGGGTCCATACCCCAGCCCTCCTCCCTCAGACCCGGGGGTCCAGGCCCAGCCCTCCTCCCTCAGACCCAGGGGTCCAGGCCCCAGCCCTCCTCCCTCAGACCCAGGGGTCCAGACCCAGCCTCCTCCCTCAGACCCAGGGGTCCAGACCCCAGCCCTCCTCCCTCAGACCCAGGGGTCCAGACCCCAGCCCTCCTCCCTCAGACCCAGGGGTCCAGGCCCCAGCCCTCCTCCCTCAGACCCAGGGGTCCAGACCCCAGCCTCCTCCCTCAGACCCAGGGGTTCAGGCCCCAGTCCTCCTCCCTCAGACCCAGGGGTCCAGACCCAACCTCCTCCCTCAGACCCAGGGGTCCAGACCCAGCCTCCTCCCTCAGACCCAGTTGTCAGGAGGACCCCAATCCCTCTTTTTCCTCAGGACCTATGAGCCTGGGACCCCAGCTCCTTCTCGCCAAACCAGGAACATAGGGCTCAGCTCACCCTTCCCTCAGCACCAGAGGGGCCTTGAGGGTCCTTTTGGGGGACTCAGGGGTGCAGGAGGGGGGACATCAATGAGGAGCCTGAGAGAAGGCATACAGAATTAGGAAGATCCTCGCGTTAGCCCCTTTGGCTGTTATGCGGAAAACAGTTTCCGGGCAGTGCCCCCTCTCCATAAAGGACCCACGATTTGGGGGTGGGGGAGGGAAGCCACTCCAGGCCGATTTGCGAGATATCGCGACAAACACTTTGTTTTAGACCCATGTGAAAGAAACACCTGCCGGACGTTGACACTGTCCTCCCCATTTCCGCTTCCCGTTCCAAGGCAGGGGCCTGTGGTGTCCATAAATGAATCCGCTCTGGGGAGCCCCGGGCCCCCTCCCCCGCTCGGGAGTGGAGGGGGGGCGGTTAATGAGGGAGGAAGCACCTACTGCGCATGCTCCGCAGCCAGGGATGCTGAGCCTGTGAGCGGAGGTGAGCGTCGAGGACAGTTGATGGAGAATCCTGCACAGCCAGCCCAAGACCCCGGCCTCCAGCCCCCTACAGGAGCCCGGCCCCCACGGTCTGGTACTTACCCTGAGTCAGGAGTCTCAGGTCGGATCTCGGGGACTAAGCCCAACTACCCCCAGCCCCCCGATTTTGAGCTCCCGCACGAAGTCTCCCGTTTGCATATGTCCGAACCCTATGCGACGAGTCCACGCCTTGGTCGGCCGGCTTTCGTAGTCCAACTCATCCCCGGGATTAGGTGACACCCAGAAACCCCGATTTCTGCCTCGCGTTGAAGCTAACTCAGTATTCAGGTCCCTGGTTTTATCTCCGCCCCCTTCCCAGCTCAGCCTCCTATCCCCGCCCCCCTTCCAAATCCTCGGCGTTCTGTCCCCGCCCCCTTCGAACCTCGGCGTCCAATCCCCTCCGTCGGTCCAGTCCCCTCCCTCGGTTCGATCCCCAAAGCTGGATCAATTTCTACGCCCTCCTGACTCGCCACCATTTGGTCGCCCTCATTCCGCGCTGCTCCGCTGATCCCCGGGTTCTCCAGCTCCGTCCCCAGCTCCAGATCTCGCTTTTTCTTTCTCTTCGAGGAATGAGGTCTGGTTTGGAACTCACAGCCCACCTATGGGTTCAGCGTAACGTCACGCGTGCAGGGCGCGGGACCGAATTCTACCCCGGAGAGGACGGAGAGGCTTGGAGTCAGGTTGACCCATGCAAACCACCCAGGGACGGTGCACGGATTGAGTTACACGAAGGATGCGCTACAAGGGATTGGATTCAAGTTAGATAGTCAGAGGGACTTCCGTGAGGGAAAAGGAGCACGGACAAAGGAGATTAGAGGCCTGGCCTAAGAGAATAAAATGTGCACAGAGAAGTAGAAACAAACACGGAACTCTCGTTTTATTCAGCTCTGGACGTTAGGATTCTTTCCAGGCGGGGTCTGGTGGCCCCTGAGTCCAGCCCAGTCACAGCCTGGGCAGAGGATGGGAGAGACGGTGTCTGGGAGAAAAGAGATTTAGGGGAGTAGCCCAATACACAGATGGGCATACTGAGGCCAGGGCAGGAGCACAGACATGTCCAACGTCATCTAGAGCGCTGGACAAGGTCCTGATCCCCTTGCTGCAGACCCGGGTCCTGGAGACGAAGGAGCGGTTTCGCCTCGCGCCGCCGCCGGCGCCCGTAGCTATGAGGGTCTTGGGGTACACGACCGACCTTCCCGGAGGGCTCCTTGGTGGAGGCAGAGCGAAGCCAGTATATGATCTCTGGCAGGCGGTGCGTCTGGCATGTGCCCAGGGAACAGAGGTGGCCTCGGTGCCGGGGAACCTGGTGCCAGGGCCGCCTGGGAAGGGAGCGTGGGAAAGACCAGTCTCAGAACCCACTTCAGAAATTGGGCGTGCAAAGGGTGAGCCACTCAGGACCCTGCGCTGCCCGTTGTACGGGTGCCGAAAACCGTGACCGCAAGAGGGCGCACGCCCCTCAAGGTCTCCTCCCCTCGCTGTTCAGCCTTTCTCACCTGCTGGAGGGGTCCGGGCCCCCCAGAACTGAGGAGGCGAGGAACAGTAGCAGAACGAGAATGTAGGCGGTCATCGTGGGTTCCAGGTCAGGTCCGGGAAAGCCGGCGCGGGACACAACCCCACTCCGCCTGCTTTCCGGGTAATCCTCCCTTGTGCTGGTTTTAGAGCAAGAATCAGGGTGGGACCCCACTTCCCAGGCAGAGAAAACTAAGGCCAAATGCCCAGCTACACCATGACAGATGGGCAGGATCCAAACCCGGATCCCTGCCTCCTGCCCCGTGGCCTGGAGTCTCCGGGTGTGTGGGTCTCGCAGCAGCGCTGTGCCCCTGGGAAGTCTCGGGAAAGAGGATCCCCTTTAAGGCATCAATCAGGGAAGTGGGGCGGGGCCGCTGACACCTGCAGATGGTGACACAACAGCGGGTTTCCAGGAAAAAGGGAGGAGGCGACATTCTCACCCCATTCAGGGAACCTCCTGGTGAAGAAGTGTAAGGGGGGAGGAGTCTCCCAGGGCCAGAGGGGTCAATGGCGGGGTGGGACGTCCAGGCAAAGCAGAGGGGCAGGAGGCGGTCCCTTCTGGGGGAGGTGGAGCAGGTGCGCAGCGCCCGCAAGCCCAGGACATCATACACAGCAGGAAGCAGGTGGAGCCAGGATGGCGTAAGGAAATAAAGCATCCTGTACCATCTAGGTGGTGTGGACACTGTTCTACGGAGGCTAGGGAGCCTGTACCCAGGCCTTGCTGCGGACACTGGGCCATGTCAGGGATTTGGTGCAAAAGGGTGGGTTCTGCCCGCATGCTGGGATACAGGGCACACAGCCCATGGAGTATGAGGCCCCTTGACTCAGTTTCCTCAGCTGCAAAGCTGGATCTTACTCCTTTGCCAGCCAGCCTTGGCCTGGCCTTGGAGGGTCCTAGAACAGGAAAAAACAGCCCAAGGGGAACAATGTGATGGCGGGGGTGGGGCCGGGCTTCTGGGAAGCCTCTGTGCTGGGAATCCCCTTCCCCCCAGCCTGGCAGGTCAGTTGAAGCAGGCACCCTGCCCAATGCAGGCAGAGGACAGAGGACCCAAGAGCTACAGGCCCACATTGGCTGGGGAGTGGGGAAAGAGTAGTATTTGATGCCCAGCCACCAAGTCCCTGCCATCTCCGCTCGGCTGGAACCTCAGCACCTGTAGAGGAACCCCAGCCCACTTTGTCCCCAGGAAGCCAAGCCAGGTCCCAGCTGAAGGTTTATTGGCGTAAATGCAACCATATAAAAACATAAGTTATGAAAAACACAGTCACAATGTACCCTCCCCATCCCCCCAGCCCAGGCCCCTAAAACCCCCCTCGGTGGCAGAGGATAAGGGGACCCTGAAACCGCCTAAGAATGCCACAGCCTCTGGACCCTGCAGGGCCAGCCAGGCTGGGGCGGGAGGAGGCCAGGCCCCGCCTCAGCGCATCCGGTAGTCCGTGGAGCAGGACAGCTCGCACAGCTGCCCCTTGAAGTCCAGGTCGATGGTAAAGTCCAGGTCACGCTGCAGGGAGAAGGTGGCTGTGAGGAGGCAGCCCCAGACCAGCTGTCCCTGCAGACCCTGCCCTCAGCCATCCCCACGCTGGACACCCAGACTGATGGTCCCAACTCAAGGACAGCCTCACAGGGTCAGGATGCAAACCCTCTGGGTCCCTAAGTCACACCTGCCAGAGAGCTCAGGAGCTGCCTTCTCTTCCCCCACCTTGAGATTTCCCCATGTCACCCCTTTCTCCTCCATCCCCGCTTTTTTTTTTTTTTTTTTTTTTTTGAGACAGGGTCTTGCTATATAGCCAAGGATGGCTTTGAACTCTGGCTTCTCCTGCCTCAGCCTCCCGGACATGCACTAAGGCCACTCTCTTCTTTCTTTCATATAGGGAAAGTCAGCTCTTGGCATCCCTCCCTCCAACACATCTCCATCTCCATGGCCACAGCCATTGACTCTTCTTTCCAAGCTTCTTGGGTCCCCAAGCTCCAGGCCTGACACACACACACCTGCAAGACCGAGCCAAAGCCACCAACAGTCCCAATGATTCCTCCTCCCTCTGTACTTGTCTCTGCCATTTTAATCTGGGCTTCTTCACCTGAGCACCTGTCATTTGGGGCCAGGCACTTCTTTGATATGGGGACTGCCTTCCCTGGCCTCTACCCTTTGGAGGTCAGGAAGAGAGGCCTGGGGAAGGCCCCTGCTGGGTCCCTACCCTGAGCACTTTCCAGCCTCACAGCAATGGCCCAACTCGGAGACTTCCCTTGACCCTGGACCCCTGCTCCTGCCCCACTCTTGTCCCTTTGCCCACATCTCAGGTGATGGTGGCTCCATCCTCCTAGGTGCTCAGAAGGGACAAGGGGAAAAACCCCAAACTAAAAGCACCTTTTCCTGGCTCACAGTCACAGGGGCTAGGATGTCCTGTTGGTCCTGCACTGTCATCCCTCCTCCCCTGCCCCACCGCGTGGTGTTCACCACACTGCTGTCTCCAGTGTCTGAACGGGGTGTCAGGAGGGCAGGTCAGCCTGACCCTGGCTGGACCTGGGGCTGGGGCCCGGCCCCTGCCCCGAGCCTCACGTTGTTCTTGGCGTTGGGCCGCATGCCAATGGTGCCAAAGATCTCCTCGCCTGTCTTCACCGTCAGGTAGTCCTCCATGTAGAACACCGTCTGCTTCCAGTGAGTGTACGGGGACTCGGGGCCTGGGGGCGGAGCAAGTCAGATCCTGGCCTGCCACTCACGCCCCTGGAGCCTTGGTCTGTCTGGACGCACGCCCCCTATGCCATGCTGGGTATGGGCTGTGCTCAGCCCCACCCATGGGTCACTTTATTCTTATGGAGCCCTGAAGATAGGAACTGCCTGTGTTCTGTGGGTGAGGAAACTGAGGCACACTGCACACCAGGTCACTTGTCCAAAGCCACCCTCCATCTCCAGCATATAAGCATCAACCCTGCCTCAACACCCGGTCCCGCCCCTGCAGGTGGCCCTCCCACCACTCAGGCCTCGCTCTCACTGGTGGAGAAGCCAGTCCTCTTGTGGCAGCGCGTGAACTCGATGTTGAAGTAGGCCACCAGAGCGTGCACATAGTCATTCCGCTTCACTTGCAAGCAGAAGGGCGAGGTGAAGGTCAGGTCTTCTACCTTGACGGTGTAGATGTCCACCTCCTGCAGGACAGGCCCCATGACCCAACCTGCTCAGAGCCCCCTCTCCACAGCCCACTGGTCTTCCCCGGCCGGCTTCAGGTCTCAGTGCCTTGCTGCTTCTCCTGCCTGTCCTGCTCCCTACCATCCAGTTTGGTCATTGAACATAAAACCTGGGGTTCCTGATGGGCTCCTCCTGCCCCTGCCACAGCTAAACCTCAACCTCACCTGGCACCCTAACTCTGCCAGAACCCACCTGTCCAACCAGGCCACCACCACCTCTCAATTGCAGCTGTCTCTTAACAGGGCCCTGGCTCTCCACTCCCCATCAACCTCCTGAGGGCTAGGATTATAGGTGTGTGCTATTCCACGCCCTGCTCAGCCAACACGACCATCTTAAGAGTTAACAAACAGATTGTGTCAAGTCCTCTTAACACCTTCATGCCCGTGTTTGTAGGAGGCACCTGTGATTTGGCTCCTGGCTGGGCTTCTTGTACTCCAAAAGCACTTGGTGCTGGGCTCCAAGCTACCTGCCACTGCGATGTCCTAGCGCCCACGCCACCATAGTCCAAGAGCAGGACCCCCAGGCTTTTATGGCTAAAATGGCTTCTCTGGACCTACAACCACCACTGGTGGACAGGAGGGGTTCCAAGGTCTCATTGGGCCCAGAGGTCCCACAGGGATGGCCCTTTTCTGCTTCCCACCCTGGGAGACCCTGGTCACACACACCCCATTTACCTTTATGAGGCAGGCGTTGGTGACCAGCTGTTTGGGGTCCACCACATCTACCAGGGGCTCCTTGATGGCCACGTCTTTGATGCAAGACATGTCAAAACCGTACACGTTCTCCCACCCTGGAGACGAGAGGAGGGTGAGTCCATGTCACACACACTCCCACTACCCAGCCCAGCTCCTTAGCCCAGCGCTTACAGTGGATCTTGTAGTCTTTGTACTGCCTGTCCTCAATGGCTGTCACATACAGGGTGGCCCGGTCTGGGAAGATGAGGCCATCAGGCGCCTACGGAGGGGTTGGGGGAGGGCGTGAAGGATGCAGCCTCGCCAATGCTGCCTCTAGGCCTCGCTAATTTGGCCAATCTACCACCTGTGCTGCCACTTGCTGACACACTGTCACCTCCCATGGGGTCTCCTCAACCGGCCTGCATCTGCCTTTATGCTCCAGTTGACCACCAACACAGCTGCCACAGGGTACCCATAGCACCCAAATAACAGCCTGTCCTTAGGTCCCATGACATACTCACAATAAGGGTTGGCTCTCTGAAAAGGCAAGGTTTCATGGGGTCCCACATGGCTCTGCAAACTGTGCCTCCGCCCTACTACCCCTTCCCTCCCCCAACTGCACTTCCTACTTCTTCTACACAGCAAGTGTGTGCCTCCCCAGGGCCTTTGCACCAACTATCCTAGCCAGAGGTGCTTCTCCCCAGATCTGATGCCGCCTCTTCCCATCCTTCCGGAGTCACTCCTCCCCTCTACCCTGTCACCCTGCTGTGGTTACTAGGAGCACTAACTCCTTGTTCACACTCTTTACCATCTCCGTGTGCAGGATGCAGTGCCTGCCACTCCCGGTTGACACTATCAGCCTCCCAAAAGAAAGGCAGTCACCCCGAGTCCCCTGGGGGAACCCCCACCAGGATTCTGGCTCTTCCTGGCCCCAGTCTGCAGGGGCCTCACCAGCCACTTGTCGCGGGCGTAGAGCACCGTGTTGAGCATGGACTCGTAGAACAAGCAGTACCCCATCCACTCGCTGATGACAATGTCCACCTTCTCCACGGGCAGCTCCACCTCCTCCACCTTCCCCTTGATGATGGTCACCACTGCAGGTGGACAGGCCAGCCCTGGTCAGGTCAGCCCCAGGGAGGTCGACCCACTCACCTCCCCCAGGGTCTACAAGCCTGGGACCCACTGGGGCAGCCCTTGAATTCCAGAGCCGGGAGCCTGGCTTCAAAGAACTCTGTGAGCTCAAGCCGATCCTCTTAATTGCTTTCAGATTCACAAAGAACTCTCGATACTTTTTCTTTTTTTGAGACAGGGTCTCACTGTATGTAGCCCACGCTGGCTTTGAATTCTTGACTCTCCTGCCTCAGCTTCCTGAGTGCTGGGATTACAGCCGTATACTACCAAGCCCAGCCACTCGGAACATTTTTTTTTTGTAGTACTGGGCCCACACCTTAAGCCACTCCACCAGTCTTTTGTGTGTGTGTGTGTGAAGGTTTTTTTTTTTTTTGAGATAGGGTCTCATGAGCTATTTGCCAGGGTGGCTTCAAACTGCGATCGTCCTGATCTCTGCCTCCTGAGTAGCTGGGATTACAGGCGTGAGCCATGTAAACATTTTTGAGGTAGCAGCAGCAGCCGGTGAGAAGACCTTGTCATTGGGGCTGGGGGTAGCTTCATGTAGAGCACAGGATCAGGGTTCTCCAGACCCGGGCCCCTCCCCACCAAAAAGAAACAAATTCTGCCATTCACTGGGTTTGATGTAGTACAGACTGACACGGTCATGTTGCTTTGTTTTGCAGTGCTGGGGATTGGGCTTATCTTTTAGAGATGCACACAGAAAGATTTACAGGGGAACAGGCTGGCCGTGTGGCTCTAGTGATAAAGCATCTGCCCGGCAAATGCAAGACTCTGAGTTCAAATCCCAGCAATACAAAAAAAAAAAAAAAAAAGATTTGTAGGATAAATGCAAATACTATCTTAGTGGAAATTTGCTTCAACAAATAAAAATTTAAAAAAACGTGGGCTGGTGGAGTGGCTCAAGCAGTTAAGAGCACCTGCCTAGCAAGTGTGAGGCCCTGAGTTTGAGCCCCAGTACTGGGAAAAAAAAAATGCAAAAAAGTAGAGATGCTTTGGGATCCACAAACATGTCAGGTGCCACAAATCAGCCAAGGACACCAGGCCTTGCAGAAAATGCTGTATGCATAGGTGTGCAGGGGAGAGGGCGAAGCACTTCCCTGTTAATCTACTCCCTTGTGTGGACTACTCTGGCAGGGGGTTGGTTAAATTCAGAGCAGGACTGAGAGGTGTGGGAAGACTGCATTGAGGCCCCAGACCCACAACTAGAAGGTAAGCCAGGCAGCAGTGGCTCCTAGCTATTCAGGAGGCAGATACCAGGAGGACCAAGGTTTGAGGACAGCTCTGGCAAAAAGCAAAACACTATCTGGAAAATTCCCAACACAAGGTTGGTGGAGTGGCTCAAGTAGTATGGCACCTGCATGGCAAATTCAAGGCCCTAAGTGTAATCTCCAGTACCCCCAGTACCACCACAACCACCAAACCAAACAAAAAAACACTACAGAAAGCACTTCCTGACTGAATTTTAGGACTGAGGCACTAAACTTGTGACATTGCCTCTCAAAACCAAAAGGGACCACAGGGGAGATGCAGCTTACTGCCTAAGCATGGCCCTCCCCTCCTTTGCTGAGGACCCTGGGAAGCTGGAATGGCTCACTCCATCCCCACACACCATTCTCCCCGCTCACCGTGGTCTAATTTGTTGGCTTTGACAATCTTCACTGCATAGTCAGAGATACTGGAGCACTCGATCTGAGGGCCCAGGAAGAAGGCAAAGTGAGCCCCCATCACCCTTCACACAATCCCAGAGCCCCAGAGGACCCCATGTCCAGATTCCAGCCCCCACCACCCCGGAGACTCACCCCGATGACCTTTCGAGCCCCTGCCTTGGCAGCGAACATGCAGAGGATCCCTGTGCCCGAGCCCACGTCCAGCACCACCTTGTCCTTGAAGAGGTGCCGGTTGTGAAACATGGAGTTGCGGTACGTGAGGGTGCGCACCTCATCCTTCAGCATCTCCTAGGGAAAGGGGACACAAAGCGGAGTGAGGAGCTCCATGTCCCCAGCCTCTAACACATTGATGGTGTGCTGGGCCACAGCTCAGTCACTTTGGAAAATTCATTTTCCTTCTGTGTACCTCAGAAAAGAAAGCCAGACTTATTACCCAGTGACCCTGGGCTTTAAAAGTTCTCAACAGGCCAGGCGCCAGTGGCTCACCCTGTAATTCTGCCTATTTGAGGGGCTGAGATTGGAAAGACCTTGGCTCAAGGACAGCCCAGGAAAATAGTTCAAGAGACCCTCCATTTCCAAAATAACCAGAGCAAAATGGACTGGAGGTGTGGCTCAAGTGGTAAAACACATGCTTTGCAAGTGCAAAACCCTGAGTTCAAACCCTGCTCTCACAAAACAAACAAATAAAAGTCCTCAGTAAGAGCTAGGGGCATAGCTCAAGTGGTAGAGCATCTGCCTAGCAAGTGCGAGACGCAAAGTCCAGCTCAGAAAGCCCCGCATGGTGGGTCACTTGTAATCCCAGCTACTTGGGAGGCTGAGGCAGAATGATTCTAAGTTGAAGGTCAGCATGGGCAACTTATCAAGATACTGTCTCAAAACAAAAATTTTAAAAAGGATGTAACTCAAGTGGTCTTTGAGTTTATTCCCCAGTATTACAAAAAAAGTCCTCAGTAACTTAATGTCACTAAACTGTACAAAGGTAATTTTACCCTATGTGTACTTTGTTACAATTTTTTGCTACAAAACCCAGGACGTGCAGAGGCTGGGCAAGCACTCTACCACTGAGCTACACCCTGAAAGCTACTACAATTTTTTAAGAAGGTTGTGGAAGAGACAGATTCCTCAGAATGCCACCCCTCTGCATTCTGGGACCTCAATCCCCAAAAGGGTCCAAAAAGCTGTCAGAGCATGAACAGCTGGGGCGCAATCCCACCGACGGTCACTAGAGGGAGGCAGAGCCCTGCAGCACCTGACCCCTGGCCAAGCTCCCAGGCACGCATGCGCACTCTCTGCCCAGCTTGGGAGCCTGGCCCGCTGAGTGCCTGGCTAACCTCGGTTTCCACGGCAACTGGCTGGAAGGAGACCCATGGCGCACGACTAGCAGGCGCAGTTGAGGGCCAGATAAGGCAGTGCGCATGTGTGCGAAATTAACGCCCACCCTTTCCCAAAGTTGAAGCCCTGCCAGGATTCAACAGCAGTCCACACTCACCTCGTGGATGCCGAAGTGGGCATAGGAGTCAAAGTAGTAGTCTTTGGACGTCATGTCCTCGGCGTTGGGCTTCTCGCTGCTTTCCGCCTGGCCACAAGAAACCTGGGAGGGGTGGACGGGGGGCATGGGTCAAATCTGGGCTCCCCACAATTTAAGCTTCCAGTTTCCTACTCTTGGAACCCACAAGTCATACCAGGACAACCCTACAGACCCCGTCTGCCATCTTTCCTCCCCCAGAAACCCCCAAGCCTAAGTAAGGACTCCATTTTCCACTTCCAGAACCCACCCCAGAGCACCGTCCAGGGGAGCACCCCGATACCTCAGCCACGCCTACCATCTCTCCAGTCTCTCTGCCCCCGTCTCTAGCTCAGCCCACAGCTGGGGAGGGGAGGGGAAGGCAGAACTGGGGCAGACATAGGGAAGGGCAAAGGTGGGGGGGCTGGAGATGGAGTTAAGGAAGTAGCCACAGTATTGGGGGAGGCCAGCTGGGGCTGTGAACCTAGAGGGTTCCCAGTGAGTGTTTCGGGGCATAGGGTCAACAGGTCTGAAGCAAGAGGGATCATGATTAGACTTCTGGGAAGGGCCAGATGTGTGGCGAGATATGTGGAGTGGGGAGGGGTCTCACAAAAGGATATTTACTTCTTCAAGAGGCGGCTGGAGGCTCATCCCATTAGCCAAGGTGGCTACAAAGTTCTAGGAGAAAGTAACAGGGAGAAAGTATTAGCTACTGGGAGTGGCTGGGAGAGGGCCAGACCAGGGGACCGGCTCTTGGGGGCAGGGACTTTCCTGAAAATTTGCTATTCCTCGGTGTGGGAGTGATGGCAGAGGGAACAAGCAATGAGAAGGGGCTGTTTAAGGAAAGGGTGGGAGAGAGAGGGGAGAGTCAGAGGGTCTCCTGTCCCAGCTGTGGCTGGAGAGATGGTAGCCCTCCCCCTCTGGTGTGCCTCTCTGCCCAGTCAGTTGACCACACACCTCCCCCATCCAGGCCAGAGGAACTGGCACCCGCGGGGCACAAGGGCACCGCCAGCTGTCACTACCCCCTGATTAACTAATCCCCCCCAGATTATGTGACACTTCCTAACACACACACACCTCCCATCCTGGGGTGCCATAGATAGCTAGAGTAAGGGAGCTGACAGGGAACATCTATGGGGCACCTGCCACCTCTCTTGTCTGAGAGGATTCCAGAAAAGAGGCGTGGAACACGGGGACCCGCACCACAGTTGTTACCCCAGCCCCTAACTCCTGCCTTGGGTTCAGGAGGGAAAACCAGCTGGAACCAGCCTCCTCCCTCATTACTCCTCCTGGGAGGGCAGTTAAGTGTCCCAGGGAGGACAAATATCCCAGTCTCTGGAGCTTCTGAACAATGAGTGGTCCAGAAGGTGCCTGGAGGAATCAGAGGCCACCCTCCTGTCACACTCCATCCCAGGCGCCAGGTGTGGGGTCAAGCAACTTGTATTTCCCCCTCCCCCACATTCCCTAGGGAGGAGAGCCAAGGAAAAATGGATGGGGGACTCACTACAGTGACTATGGGAGGGTCCAACTGACCTCTCCCTCCAGGAGTGCTAAAAGTTAAGGGATGGTGGCCCCATCAGATCACATCTCTTCCACTGTGACCACCTTCCAAGGCTTCAAGAGGGGCCAAGACACAGGTCCTGACTTACAGGGCTCCAAACCACTCCCCTCAATTCTCCCAAGACAGGGTGAAGGGTAGACAGCTGAGAGGATTTCCCATTGAGGACCGTTTCTCTACACCTCGAATGCCACCATCAACTCCAGCCCCAGAGGGCTTAAAGCACAAGACTAGAACCTCCCCCACGAGGCTGCACGAGAAACAATCTCTCAGGAGGGGGCGATCACATCTCCCAACGTCACAGACACCTTGGGGGAGAAAGCGGTCCGGAAGAGGATAAAGCTCGCAGCCTACGGGCCTATTAACCCATCACAACTCCTTTCCAGCAAGACATTCTCCTCCCGGCCCACCCGAGACTCGTGCTCCAATGGGGAGGTGGGCTTTGGGCCACGCCCTATGAAAAAGATGTCCCTCCCACATGCCCAGAAATGGCCACAAGGGGGTGCGCGGCGCCTAATCCGTAAGGATCTCCTCAGTCGAGATGCCCCATCACCACCCAAAGGGAGGTCACAGGGGCATGCCCCATCCCCCAGCTCCTAAAAAGCCCCAGATGGGCAAGAATCCAGGGACAGGAAAAGGGGAGGGATGTGAACCAATTCTTCGTCTTCTTCCCATCCCAAACCTATTCTGCATGAAACCTGGACGGTGCCGCAGACGTCTCCAGATCCAGGAAGGGGGTTAAGAGAGGTTTCAGAAGCACTGCCTCTCCTAAGAGAATCCCTACAGGCACCAAGGAAATCTCTCTCCGTGGAATGGGTGCGGGTCCCCAAGGAGCAGGGATGGGGGTCTAAGAGGGAGGGTCGAAGTCTCCTCCCCGCCCCCATAGGCGCCCCTCCCCCAACCGGGGGCGGGGCCTTTGTCCCGCACGTGGAGCCCGCCGGGCCACGGAGATCGGCACACCCCCTCCCCACCCACCGCGCGGCAGCCACGTGGGGGCCCGGCCGGAAGCGCCCCCAGCCCTCCTCCACGTGTGGGGGGGATGATACCCTCGGCTCCACCAGATGCCGAAGGCCCATAATAGCTATGGACCACCCCTCCTCAAACGATATTCCTGTATTCAGAGCATGCGGCGCCCTCTCGCTGCGGTTGGAGGCCTTCTGACCCAATTCTTCCACTCAGTGCCCCCTCCCTACCACGGAGGCGTAAAACACCGACCCCAAGCCAGTACCCTCCCCCTGCGGCACTCCAGGAACTCACCTCCATGATGCAGTTCGCGGCCTCGGCTGCCGCCATCTTCACCCACACCTACTCCTCCTCCGGCCACCGACACCCCCCCCTTTCTCCTCTCTTACTACCCCCGGGACCGCCTTATACTGGAGGGGACAAGGCCTGCCCACCGCGACCCCGCCAGAAGGTCTCATTGGCAAGGGAAGCGGCCTGTCTGAAAATGTCATCTAGCAATTGGGTGTGGAAGACGCCCATCAAGTGTCAGGGGCCCGCCCAAGCTGGCGGGCGATCCCCGCCCCTCCAAGTCGACTGGGATGGGGACAACTCCCTGTCTATCTCAAGAAGCGCGTGTGGTGATTGGGCAAAGACAACCAGGGGTTCCCGCCCCTTTCCCCACAGCTACGCCTCAAAGCTTCCCGGCGGGCTCCGCGCTCAGCGGACGTCTTGAAACAGAGCGATCCATCACCAAACGACCCGCCTCTAGGTCACTGCTATTGGTTTACCGTTTCGTGACGTAACGAGGCCTTTGACCAGCCGTTCCCAAGAAGAACACGAGCAATTGGCCCACGAGAAGGGAAAAGCAGGTCTTTAGGCATTACCGATTGACTCAAAAAACTGTCACTCATCTCCAATCAGCGGCGTCTCCCAGCGCGAGGGGAGTCCAGTAGGAACAAGACCGCTTGTGCCCATTTACTTAGGGAGAAAAACTAAAGCATTGAGAGGTGGAGAGACAAGGAGAGCTTGTTTAGGGTCCCGAAGTAAGTTAGGAATAGGAAAAATCAGTCAATGCCTTTAACTTCTGGCCTGCTACTTAACTGTCCTTAGTTTTTAAGACCCACTGCCCCTCTCAAGCACCTTGGCTTTTCCCACGTCCCTCCCCCTGCCGGGAACACCCACCTCCCTTTGTCTGGTCAACTACACGTCAGTCAGGCAATTTAGACACCCCTCCTGGGGGAAGTGCCCCTAGATCTGCAGGAAGTTCCTAGTTACATGAAGAGGAATGCAAATGGCTGAATTCGTGACCCCTCCTCTCCTGTCACACTACTGTCCTCAGTCCAAACTTGGGATTCTCTCCAATTCCTGAATGAGCCCTCTGAGCCTCTCAGCAAGCTTGCTTCCTGGCTGAATTTTAAGATTTACAATATGACTTTTTTTTTTTTTTTGGTACTGGGGTTTAAACTCAGGGCCTCATACCTTCCAGTATGACTTCTTTCTAAGTTCTCTGTCCGCTCCTCCACGCTGTTACTTTCCCACAGCTGTTACTTCCTGGATCCCCAAATGAGAGCATTCTCATTCTCCACTCAGTCACCTGCCAGGCCATCGGGCCTCCCCCTCTCACAGCCTGTCAGGCCCCCGCCCCGCCCCTCCTGTCCCTGACTTGCCTCATCCTCCCCCACCCACCTGTACGTCCCCAGAGCTGACCCGGCCCTTTGGATCCCCAGCGCCCCCAGGACAAAAATTTCGGCCCTTTCAGCCAGGCATTTGCTCAGCACGCCCCACCCCCATCGCTGCTGTCTCACTGACCCCTTCTTAGTGGCCTGGGACCACCACACCCTCACACTTCTCTGCCATTATGTAAGCCTTGCTCCTTTATCTATGGCCAATACATGTATCTCATCCTGACTGAGAGTTCTTACAAGGGGTCTGCCACCCTTAGCAGAGTTTTTAATCCCCTCCAAAACTTAATTTTTTAGGCAGTACTTGGGGTTTGAACTCAGGGCTTTGTGTTTGCTGGCAGGGGCTCTACTGCTCGAGCCACACCGCCAGCCCTTTTTTGTGTTGTTTCCGAAATACGGTTTAGCTTGATGGCGAGGTCACCTGGACTGACCCTATTTGTGCTTCTCTGCATAGCTGGGATTACAGACTCTAACCAGGATACCCAGTCATGGAACCAAGATCTTCTGAATCTCCACCTCCCGAGTAGAGTAGCTAGGATTGTAGATGTGAGCCACTGCTCTTGGTCTCCTCTCAGCAACCTATTGAGGTAGACTATTACCTCAATAGTACAGATGAGCAAATTAAGGCCCAGAGAGGTAAAGTGACTCGGTCAAAGTCACACATTTAGAATGAGGCTGAGCTGTGTTTTGATCCCAGGAAGTCGAAGACACCATTGATTTTAAGTTCATTGAAACCACCTTAAAGGTACAATTGAGGGGAGGGCTAGATGTGCAGCTCAAGTGGTAGAGCACTTGTCTAGCAGTGTCTGAGACCCTGAGTTCAAGCCCTACTGGGGAGGGGTAATTGACACACAAAATATGCACCAACTTGGTTTGTCTAATGGGTTTACCTACCACTATCCTGTTCAGTTCATAGACTACATCCTTCCTGAACTTCAGAAGATTGTTTTATGACACACTCCCACCCTCTGAGTGGTTCCAACCTCAGAAGCAAATCATTTTCTGGTTTGTCACTGTAATTTGGTGCCCCCTTTTCTAAATTTTCATATGAATAAATCATACAGTATGTGCCATACACAGGTATTTTCCTGTGTGTGTGTGTGTGTGTGGTTTTTGAGACAAAGTATCACTATGTAGTTCAGGCTGGCTTTGTACTTGTGACCCTTCTGTCTAACCTGCTGGGATTAAAGCCATGCTCCACCATGCCAGGCTTCAAACACATGCATTTCTTGTAAGGTTCATCACAGCTTTCTTGAATTAGCCAGCAATTCAGCATTGTGCTTTGAGGCCACTTAAATAGCAAATTCATTGGGCACCAGTGGCTCACACCTGTAATCCTAGCTATTCGGGAGGCAGTGATCAGGAGGGTTGAGGTTAGAGACCAGCCCGGGCAAACAGTTTTCGAGACCCTATCTTGAAAAACTCATCACAAAAAAAGGGCTGGTGGAGTGGCTCAAGGTGTAGGCCCTGAGTTCAAACTTCAGCACCAGAAAAAAAAAAAAAAAAGCAAATTCATGCCCAGTATGGTGGCAGTTCCCTTTGGTCCCAGCTAATTGGGATGTCGATGTGGGAGGATCTCTGGAGCCCAGGAATCCGAGGCCAGGCTGGGCAGCACAGCAAGACGCTGACTCAACACAAATTTTAAAATTCCAAGAAAATCCCCATTAAAAAGCACAAAGAATGGGAAAATGACAAAATTAAACTGAGAAGGGCTAGGGCTGACACTGTCACTCAGTGCTAGAACACATGTTTAGCATGAGTAAGGAACTGGGTTGGATTCCTAGCACCACCAACAAAGTTAAAAACTTTGGACCAAGTATGCTGATCCACACCTGTAATCCCAGCACTCCAAATACTGACCAGGGAGGATCTCCTTGGAGTGTTTGAGACCTGGGCTACAGAGGGAGACCCTGTCTCAAAATTTAAAAAGTGGCAAACTGCTAATTAACAGATAGATGAGAACCTAGGAACAAAGCTCAGAAGGGGCAGTGGGAAGAGACTAGAGAGGAGTATCCTAGATGTGTCAGGAGGGAAGACTGTGCCTTTCTCCTGGAATAATTGGAAAAACTCCAAGACTATCCACATAAGATTTTCTGGAATCTGGTTAAGACTGTGCAAAAGGAGAAAAACAGTGTAATTTTCTGGAATCATACATTTACAGATATGATCAAATGTGTTATGTGTCCAGGCAACAGGCTCCTGGAGGTGCACTCAATAAATGTTTCTAGAATGAATGAACTGACTCTTCCCTCAATTTATAAACTAGAGATCTCAGGCCAGTGTGGTGGCACATGCCTGTAATCCCAGGGCTTGGGAGATAGAGGCAGCAGGAGCACAAATTCCAGGCAAGTTTGGGCTAGCAAGTGAGACGATGTTTCAAAAAGAAAAAAAAATATGGTGGGGCCATGGCTCAAGTGGTAAGGCACCTGCTTGGCAAACACAAGGCTCTGAGTTTAAATCCCAGTACAGCCCACCCTCCCAAAAAGACAAAAAGAAAGAATAAATAACAAGTGAACCAGAGATCTCTGAACCAAATCTTTTCTACTTAGAATTGTGGGGATGAGGTAGATCTAACATGGGAGGCCCTGGGTTCCATTTTCAGCACTAGAAGGGGAAAAAAAAAAAACCCAAAACTTTCGTCCTTAATGAAAAAACAAATACTTTAAAAAAGTTTTTAATATGAAATGTTTTTAAACAATTTCTTTTTGGCAAAAACAGGTAGGGCAGCCACCACCCAATGGCCCTGAGTGGAAAGGGAAAAACAAGCAAAGAAGGCAGGGCCCCGAGGTCAGGTCTTCTAGCAGCTTCTGAGGAAGATCTCAGTCCAAGGGTAAGTTCAAGTCCACTGGTGAGATGGCCAGGATGCCCTCCTGGAGGAGAACAGTGGCAGAGCCTGTGAGCAGGGGAGGTATCCTCCACTCATGACAGCCACACTAACCCACTGCATTGAGATGGGATGGCAAAGAACCAGGCAGGGGAGGGAGACAGAGACCCGGGGTGGGGGGGGGAAACAAACATAGAAAGAGACAGAGACCCAGAGAGAGGAGACAGAGACTCAGGGAGAGGGGCAGATATTGGTTGGGGACACAGACCCAGAGAAAGAGGGAGCCAGAGCCCCAGGATGTCAGTGATTAAGGGCAGTGGCTCTGTGCAGGTTCCTATGCCTTTAGGAGAGACTCTTCCTCTCTGCCCAGAAGACAAGGCCAAGGACGGATCCCACAGGGTGCTGTGGGATATCATTCCGTTGATATCCTTGTCCAGTACCTGGCCTCACCGAAGCTCATCTCTTACTACTCCTTTAAAAAGACCAAGTTTACAAATATACAAGCCAGAAGTCTGCAGGGCACCTTCCTCTTCTGGTCACCTCCAATCATCCAAGTCTTTACCCTGAGCTGCTCAGGCCCGCATCCAGTGCCACACACCCAGCCACATTTGTCAGCGTTATTTCTGGATGAAGTTCTCCACGGCCCCATCCTTGGTCCAACCCACCCTCCCTGGCCTCCCTACACCACCCCTGTCCCCTAGAGTGCGTTCAGAGTGCGGCCCCCAGAGGACGCTGTGAACACGGAAATCAGCTCAGGTACCTCTGCCACTCAGTGCCCTTGGCTCACAGGGAGTCAAAGTCCAAGTTCTCAGGGTGATCACAGACCCTGGCAGGGTCTGGCTGCTCCTCCCACTCTTCTCTCACCCTCTCCTGGATTCTCAGCTCCGGCCCTATAGGCCTGGAATCCTTGCTCCTAAAATACACCCGCCAGCTCCCGCAAGTCTGAGAACAAGAGCAAGCCAGGTCCTCCCACAAGGCAGGTAACAGATTGGTGGGCAGGGTAAGGGAGACAGTTGCCAAAGTCATACAGCCAGCATGCTGGAGACTGAGTCTGCTCCAGCAGAGGACATAAAGCTGTGAGCAAAATAAGGGAAGGGGACTGGAAGTTGGGTATGGGCACCTGTCATTTCATCATCATCATTATTATTATATTATTATTATTATTATTATATGGTACAGGCCTGGAGCATGCCAGGTAAGTGCTCTAACAGTGAGCCATGCCTGCAGCCCTTTTGTTTTATTTCTGAAACAGTCCCAAGCTAACTTTGACCAGGCTGACCTCAAACTCCCAATCCTCCTTGCCTCTGCCTCCAGGGAGGGGATTACAGGGTGTGTGCCACCATGCCTGACTTATTTTTTATTTTCTTTTTTTCACTGCTGTACATGGAACCCAGGATCTCACGTAAGCCACACCCCCAGCCCAGTGGCCAGGATTTTTAATGTTGGCTATGGACTAGGAATACAGCTCAAATGCAGGGCTGGCCTAGCATGCGTAAGGCCCTGGGTTCCATCCCCAACACAGTAAATAATAAGTTAAATAAATAACAAACAAATGGGCTGAGTGCAGTGGCTCAAGTCTGTAATCCTAGTTACTCAGGAGGCAGAGATTCAGAGAATCAAGGCTCCAGGCCAGCCCTGGCAAAAAGTTTATGAGACCTCATCTCAACAAATGGTTGAGCATAGTGAGTGCACCTGTCATCCCTAACTATGTGGGGAGGCACAAATAGGAGGAAGGGAGTGGGAGTGCTTAAGTGAGACTATCTCAAAAATAACCAACACATAAAGGGCTGGCAGCATGGCTCAAATGGGAAAGCACCTGCCTGGAAAGGTCGAGGCTCTGAGTTGAACACCAAATCAGGTAAATAAATAGGGGCCAAGGAAGGCCTCAGGAGAGGTGCTACCAGAGCCCACCAGAAAGAACAGAGGACGTGAGGCTGGGGAAGGACATTCCAGCAGGCACCACTGGACAGGCAGCAGTAATCAGTAAAGCCTGCAAATGCTCAAGGCCTGCCAGTAATGAGCAAATACTTATCAAGATGACCTCGCTTACTCCACACAACAGCCCTCTGTCCCACCACTTTACAGATGAGAAAACTGAGGCCTGGGGAGAGGTACTCACGCATTTTGATCTCACAACTGCTAGCACACACCAGTGGCTTCAGCCAGGCAGAGCATCTGCACTGTCACCAGTGCCTGGTACATAGCAGGTGCTCAATAAATGCAGAATGAATGAATGGTAGAGGAGGGGGATTGGGTGAGGTTTGCCAGGAAGCCACCCCCCTCACATTACAATAGGGTAGAATGAGGCCCCGAGAGGCACTGGTGGCTCACCCAGCCCCCATGGGCCTGGATCCAGGGAGTAAAGCTGTGTACGTGCTCCACACTGAGGCCAGCCAGGGTGCCCCCTAGCCGTGCCACGCGACGGCTCAGCTCCATAGCCAAGGCCAGGCGAGCCAGGGGCTCCGGAGAAGGCGGTGGGGGTCCTGGACATGGCAACAAGGAGCTTGTGCGGTTTGGGCAAGGGCTGCCCTCCCGGCTGGAGAACAGCTCCACTAAGCGGGCAAAGGACCCTGCTGACAGGCGGGCCAGCTTGCGGTGCAGGGTGGGGTCCAAGGCCAGCTGTGGGATGCAGAAGGTAAGATGTGGGTGGAACTCAGTCAAGTTCCCATGGCCAGCCAATAGGGGGCTGGGTGCCAGCCATAGGTGTCAACACTAAGCCTAGACCCATCCATCAATCACAAACCAGATTCTAAACAAGCCAATCATAAACCAGATTCTATAGAAGCTGCCGCTAAACCACAGGTCTTGCTAACTTTTTGCATGAGCTAAACTGAACTTCAATCCTTCCTGTTGGCCACCTCACCAGTAGCTACAATTATAGGCAAGCCACCAGACAGACCTGGCTTTTTGAGACAGGGTCTCATTATATAGCCATGGCTGGCCTAAAATGTATGCTCTTCCTGCCTCTGCCTCATGAGTGCTGGGATTGTAGACATGTGCCACCACACCTGGCTTCCCGGATACAGCTTCCGATCCCAGTGCCCTACCATCCCACAACTCCTGTCCTCACTGAGGCACAGAACAGAGGCCTGTCACCTTCTGGTTGATGACTTCAGCCTCCTCTTCCAGCAATGTCACCAGCCTCCGTAACAGGGCTTCCTTCTCCGTGGGTGGCGGACACTGTAACTCTGAGGGCAGAAGAGAATCTGCTTGGGACAGAGCCCTGGCTGCCCACTGACCCTCATCCTTTTCTAAGGTGCCTCTCTACCTCACCTGGACTAGGTGGAGATTTCAGTTGCTCTTGGACCAGCTGTTCCAGCCGCTGGGCCACCAGGGCATAGAAGTCTGGAGTAGTTGGGCCTGGGATAAAAAAAAAAAAAAAAAAAAAGTCAATGACTATGAAATATCAGGACTTCAGAAGCACCTTCCAGATAGCAACAATTCCCATGTCATAGGGAAGTAAACTGAAGTCCCGTGAGAAAACTTGGTAATAGATGCCAATAGGGTCAATAACCCTTGACCTTTCCACTTTATTGTGTTCCCAGACTGAACTTAGAATGTCAGAATTGAACTGGACTTTGAAGACTATTTCATCAAGGAAGGCAGGCACGTGGCATTCCTGCTATTACCACCCAACCCCTCCCACTTCAGACATCACCAATGGATCACCGTGCTCATCGCTGGGGCTGCAAATTCTTTTCACACCAGTTGTCACAGCAGCCATTACTAGTCTACCCAGGCTTGCCTATGAAAGGCGGCTCATGCCTGATCAAGCCCACATCTCTTATCCCAGGAGCAAGGAAGACAAAGGATTTTTCCCAGAGCCCTACAACCAATTAGGCAGCTGTGATTGATAACAGTCTCCTGCCTCTCTACTGGGGGTACTGTGGCTACAAAGGAACTTCCCTAAGGGGCAGGGACGCATTTATGAAAGAGAGATAATGAGTACCTAGAAAGGGGTCCAATACCCTCCCCCCTGTTAGCCAATTAAATTGCCAGGAATCTAACTGGGGTTGTGGGAAGAGGAACAGGATGGTGAGGGTTGGTTCTGAAGACTTCTAGTACCTTATCCTGTCTGTGGTTTAGGATCCAAAGCTCCTGGCTATGCCAGTTTTACAGGTGACTCAGGGAAATCTCTTACCAGGCTCTGAACCATAGCAGGGTTGCAGAGGCAGAGAGCAAGGCCTAGGAGATTCAGGTGGAACGGCTCCTCGCCCCAGGGGACAAGGAAGACATCTTCGAAGGCGGCTCAGGAAGTCTGTTGGCTCGTCTTGGTCAGGGATCCTGGGGAGGTGGAACCCAAATAAATGACCCAGAGATCTCTTGTAAGCAGTCCCTTTTTCCTCCCGTGGAAGACCCCTCTTGCAACTCCCAGAGGCAGGGAATACAACCAGGTATGAAGAAAGGAGACAGGCTGACACCAGGAGCAAGAGTTAGAGGAGAGTCTCAACCCAAATGTAGACCCCGGGGCCTCTCTTACCTGGGTAGGGTTGGGACAGGGGACCCGGCAGTCTCACCCCGCTTAAGGAAGGCGGCTAGGACCTTCAGTGTATCCTCCCGGAGCCCCAGCTCTTCAGAGCCTGCCATGGAGGCACCTGGGAGAGAGGGGATAGGGATGGACCCAGGGTTCAGCTGGCAGTGGAGGCTTGGGTCCAAACTTCTAGTTCTTCAATGAAGATGGGGCCAGGACTCATGGGTCCCCAAGGGAGGAGGGTGCAAAGGGCTTGGGAGAATTAGAGTCTTGGGACCCAGATTCTTGAGTCCCCTGAGGGAGAAGAGGGATAGGGACTGGCTTATCCTGGGAAAGGAACAGTCTGGGGTCTGGATTATTGGATTTAAGAGAGGAGGTTGGGGACTTGGACTTCTGTTTCTCCGAAGGACGGGGGTCTTGGAGCTCCAACTCCTTAAGGAGTTACTGAAGCTTTTAGAAGATGGGAAACTACAAATCCCAAAAGGCTTCGTAAGAAACTGGCTGTTCGCCGCGTAGCCTTCTGGGAGGTGTAGTTCCCACTATCTGAGTCAGGCTGGAATCCAGGGGACCCCAAGCGCTTGGAGAATCGTCGGAGAAGCGGGACTGGGGGGGTAGCCTGGATCTCGGTCCCCTGCTGACCCCAGTCCTCCCCAACAACCTGCTCACCTATTCTGGGGCCTCTCTGCTGGCGCCCCTGTCCGCGTCTCCGCCTCCACTCTGATTGCACAAACTTTTGTTAGTTCAACTTTCCCGCGCCTGCGCACTGCGCCGATTTGGTAACCGCCTCCAACGTAGAAGGGGCGGGGGCGCTGAGTGTCCGTCTAATTTGCATATGACGTTCCCAGCATGCCTGTGGCCGGAAGACCAAAAAAGGGCATGAGTGGTACGGGCTGGGTTCCCCAAAACCCCCTTTGCTTTTGAGTCTCTCTTACCCAAAGAATGATAAAGTTGTTCTTATTTTAAGAAATCGATAGAAACGAAAGTCCCAGCGCTGTGAAGCTTAGCTGATAGGAATCGGGGTGCGCAGCTTCGAGTTTGACAACTAACCACACGGAGCGCAAGGACCGGGGTGGGCCCCAGCAGCTTCTGCGCCCCAACCCTCCCACGGTAGGGAACGCGGAAGAGTTGGGGACCCGAAAGAGAGTTGGTGGCGTCCGGGATGAACGAGAGAGAAAGGATGGGTCGGTGCTGATATTTGCAGAGGAAGGTTGTGTACTCCGGGGAGAGTGAAACTAGGAGGGAACTTCAATGGGTGGCGCTGGAGGTCGGCAATGGAAAAACTAGAAAAAGCAGGAAGGGAAAAAGAAGAGAGGAGGCGTCTACACTGGGGGAGTCTAAGGGGAAGAGATGGGTTCTGAAAATGGGAGCCGCATCTCTGGAAAATGGGCTCGTGCCCTGCAGGGAAGCTTGGGGGAATTGCGAATGGAGATCTAGTGCAGGAGTAGATCTTATGAGGGGCACTGTGGAGGAGGAGTCTACATTAGGGTAAACGGGGAAATAGCGTCCCCGTTAGGTGAGGGGGGGGGCTCGCTCCTGGAACAGGGGGTACCTTCTTTGGATGATGTGAGGGAGGGGTCTGACAGAAAAGAGAAGGGTCTTCATTGGCCGAATCGAAGGGGTGGAGCGGCTGCGCTGATGACGCTGGGGAAGGAAAAGGGGTCTACACTGGATATGGAAGTCCTCGCTGAATAAGGGAGTCTCTCTGGAGGATGGGAAGAGGTTGGATTTGTACTCCGGGAAAAAACATAGGTGAAAGCTTGCATCGTGGCCCATTGAGAGGGAGGATCGGGGGCGGAGCTCCTTGGCCACATAGGCCCAGGAGGCCGCCCGCGCCCAGGAACTGCCCTGTGCGTGCAGGCCGGTCCATGGGAACTCAAAAGCCGCGGATTTTGCCATGGCTGATGTCGCAGCTGGACCTGGGGCATCTGGAAGGCGTAGCCTGGCTGGATGCAAGCCGCACGCGCTTCCGCATCCCTTGGAAGCACGGCCTGCGACAGGATGCGCAGCTAGAAGATTTCGGCATCTTCCAGGTGCGTGCGCCCCAGAGCGCGGGAAACCCAGGAGAGTGCAGCATTCAGCAAATAGGACGCTGAGGGGGCGGGGACTAGAGGGCGGGGTTAGCCCTAGTGGGGCGGGCTCACAATAAATATGGGAGGAGTTGGGGTCGGAGGGGCGGGGCCAGCAGGATCACGGCGAAGCAGGTACAGGATGGAACCGCCGGGTTCAGGGCATAAAAGTGTAAAATCGGGAAAGCGGGGTTGGATCTTAAAGGAGGAGCATTATGGAGGTTGGGGGATCATGGCGCGGGGCTCTTGGTTGTAAATTCTTTGAAACATTAGAGGCGATACTCAGAGCCTCAAATGTGAGGTTCTGATCACCAAATTAGGATGTACTAGTGGTGGTAAACTATTAAGATTGTGACGGGCCCGGCACCGGCCTACTCCTGTAGTCCTGACTACTCAGGAGGCAGAGATAAGGAGGATCACGGTTCAAAGCCAGCCTGGGCAAATAGTTCACGAGACCCTATCTTGAAAAAGGACTGGTGGAGTTGCTCAAGGTGTAGCTCCTGAGTTCAAACCTCAGTACTGCCAAAAAAAAAAAAAAAAACAGTAAAATAAAAAATGTGACGGGTGGAGTGACCTGGGGCACTAGTGGGTGATACCAAATAGAATCTAGAAGGCTGTCTTAGAAAGCCAAGGTTTTTGAAAATTGAAAGCTGGAGGCAGGTGGTGGGAGTGAGGAGGAAGAAGGAGGTTGAGGTGCAGAATACAAGAATTTAGGGATGGAACCTTGCAGTGTTGGAACCAAGAGGGAAGGTGTTAGGACCCCAGGGGCAGGGTCTAAGTCATCCTCCTCACTCCTGTACCACTGGTACCCCAGGCCTGGGCCGAGGCCAGCGGTGCTTACATTCCTGGGAAGGATAAGCCAGATCTGCCAACCTGGAAGAGGAATTTCAGGTCTGCCCTGAACCGGAAGGAAGGGGTGCGGCTAGCAGAGGACCGGAGCAAGGACCCCCATGACCCTCATAAGATCTACGAGTTTGTGAACCCAGGTGTGAACCCATCACCTGCTTGATGGGCCGAGGTCTGAAGGGTCTTTGCCATCCCCACTCTGCTCACCTCCTTTCTCTGCAGGAGCTGGCGATTTTGCCCAACTGGACACCTCTCCAGAAACCAATGGCGCAGGCAGCACCCCTGATACCCCGGTGAGAATGTACCCAACTGTCCTGCCTCTCAGCCTCTGCCCTGTCCTTCCATGGGCCAACTTAGGCCTTGTCTCCCCCCACCACCAACCCCTATTTCCTCCCCAAGTTTCCCATCTGCCTGACCCAGGAAAAGCTGTTGAAATGTCTGGCTCTTATTTGTCCAGGAAGACCTCCTGGACTTACTGGGTGACATGGCCTTGGCCCCACTCCCAGTTGAGGGGCCCTCAGGCCTGGCAGTGGCTCCTGAGCACTACTCTCAGCTCCTGTTGAGCCCCGACTCAGACAACTCCTTGCCCCACCCAAACCTTGCACCCCCTGATAACCCACTGAGGCTGCTGTTGGAGCCTGAGGAACGTGAGTGCCACTTGTGGGCTGGAAGGGGCTGGGCTGGGCTGGGCTATGGTGGGGGCAGTGGTCCTCACTCCCATCCTTTCTATCTCTCCCCCTTCATGTTGATGCTGCTCAGAGTGGGAGTTCGAGGTGACTGCCTTCTACCGAGGCCGCCAGGTCTTCCAGCAAACAGTGTTCTGCCCTGGGGGCCTGCGGCTGGTGGGCCCAGAAGCTGGGGACCAGACCCTGCCTGGGCAACCAATAACCCTGCCAGACCCTGGGATGTCCCTGACAGACAAGGGAGTGAAGGGCTACGTGAGACATGTGCTGAATGGCCTGAAGGGCGGGGGACTGGCTCTGTGGCGGGCAGGGCAGTGTCTCTGGACCCGGCGCCTGGGACACTCCCATGCATACTGGGCCGTGGGTGAGGAGCTGCTCCCTGACAGCGGACACGGGCATGATGGTGAAGTCCCCAAGGACAAGGACGGAAGTGTGTTCAACCTGGGACCTTTTGTGGCAGGTGAATGCTCCGTGTGGGAAGCAAAAGGTCAAGGTGATTAAGGGCCCTGGGATCAGGTAGTGTAGGGCCTGCTTGTTGAGGCCACTGACTGGCTACCTGCTCTGCAGCAAAAGGCCCAATACACAGAAGAGACTCAGGGAACTAGTGGCTATTGCTATTCTCATCAGTGACAGTGGATACATAAACAGTGGAAGAGCTGGGGGTGGAACTCAGCTAAGAGTGCTTGCTTAGCATACTCAAGGCCCTAGGTTCCTTCCATAGATGGAAAAAAACCCAGACAGAAAAATTAACTAGGAAGATCAATCCCTTAGGCCTTCACTGCCTACTAGAACTTTCTGTAGTGATGGAGACCAGCTTTTTTTTTTTTTTTTTTGGTGGTTCTGGGGTTTGAACTCAGGGCCTCATGCTTACTAGGCAGGCACTCTACCACTTGAATCACTCCACCAGCCCTTTTTTTGTATTGGGTATTTTTGAGATAAAGTCTTGAGAACTATTTTCTGGGGCTGGCTTTGAAACCTGATCCTCCTGATCTCTGCCTCCTGAGTAGCTAGGATTACAGGTGTGACCACCAGCACCTGGCTGAGACCAGCTGTTTGTTCCCTTGCCCCAAGTGATTATTGAGCACCCAAATAAGCCAAGTGCAACTGAGGAATTTAAAATTTTTATGCCATTTTAGTTAACTACAATTTTGGGGACTTTTTTTTTTAGTATGTATGTTTTTGTTGTTGGTGATGGTTTTTTTTGTTTGTTTGTTTGGAGATGGAGTCTTGCTTTGTAGCCCAGGCTATCCTCAAACTTGAGATCCTCCTGCCTCACTTTTCTGAGTACTGGATTACAGACTGGTCACTGCCCAGCTCAATAGTTACAATTTAGATAGCCTCATGTGGCTGCTGGCTACATATTGAATAGCACGGCCTTACAGGTTCAAGAGCTCTAAAGGCCTACCACTTTCTCCACTCAGCTCCCTTGGGGTCCTCTGGGCCCCGGTGGGGTCGGGGAGGGGCAGTCCTCCAGCCCTATCCTGGTGGGAGGGCAGAACACTTAAGTCTGTGCCAGAGCTGCAGGGGCTTTCCCTAGACTGGCAGCCCTTGGTTGTGGCAAAGGACATTAGTCAGGGGAGGTCATGGGGTTACTACTAGGGTTGGGGTGGGCAGAAGGTCTTCTTCCCTTTCCTGACTGGGTTTCTGGGCCCCCAGATCTCATTAGCTTCATGGAAGGAAGTGGACGCTCACCACGCTACACCCTCTGGTTCTGTGTTGGGGAAGCATGGCCCCGAGACCAGCCGTGGGTCAAGAGGCTTGTGATGGTCAAGGTGCCTGTGGTCCTGGGCTTCTGGGGCTGGGAGGGATGGTCTTATAAAGGGACATTATAGCCCCAGGAACTACAACTCCCAGAAGCCCCTCTGAGAAACTAAACTGGCCACAGGTCTAAGCACTAGCTCCTGATCCCCAGGAACTTTCGGGTGTCCTTCAACATGAACTTACCCCAGAGCCTGTTTTGAGCTCTCTAGACCCTGTGGAAGCCAGCAGTGCTCTAGCAGCTGTTGTGAGCACTGAGGCTCCAGGAATCCTGACCATAGCTGCTTAGCCCTAGCATGGGGACTGTGGCCTCCCATGTTTACGAATGTAGGGAAAAACTACAGTTCCCCGCAGCCCTGGTGGTTCATTCTGGGCTAAGTTGGGGCCTGATGGGAACTGCAGTCCACACCCCAGGGAAGAGAGTAGTAAGGTGTTTTCCCTGTCTTCCTCCCTGCCACCCACAGGTTGTTCCCACATGCCTTAAGGCCCTGTTAGACATGGCTCGTTCAGGGGGTGCCTCCTCGCTGGAGAACACTGTGGATCTGCACATTTCCAACAGCCAGCCTCTCTCCCTCACTTCTGACCAGTATAAAGCCTACCTACAGGACCTTGTGGAGGACATGGAGTTCTAGGTCCCTGGCGAGGCCTGAGCCCAGGCTCTTCACTTCGACCAATAAAGCAGTTCTGGCTATAGTCACCACTTGTGTGTGCCTGGTGTTGGGTGTGTCCCCCACCACAACACAGAGGTCATCCCCAAACCTTAGTGGGTTGTTATTCCTGCTGAGGTCTCAGTTTACCCATGTGTGCACCTGGGGTAACTTAGGCATGCAGTGCTTTACAACCAGCACTATGCAGGGGGCAGATGACACTCACCACCTCTTTAACTTTTCCCCAGGAACCTGGTGGGAAGGTTGTCATCCTGATTTTATAGGTGGGACGCTGAGGTTTGGAGAGACAAAGGTCACAAAGTAGGACATAACCAGGTCAGAATGCAGGGAGGACTCCAGGGTTCTGCTCTAAGAGGGCACCCCCACATGCCTAGACATGAATCGGATGCTCTCTTCCCTTCCTGCCTCAGGCTCCCCTCTGCCTGGGGTCTTGGAGCATATACAGCCTACCTGTCCTGGTGACCATGGGCCCTGTCACCCCTTGCTGGGCTGTATGCTGGGTAAGTGGGGACTGACAAAAGCCCATGTGGGCTGACTCATGTGGCCCTTGGCTGCTCTGCCTTGGTTCCCTTCTCAGGAGAGTACAGTAGGTCACTCCAGCCTCCCAGGACCGCTGAGAGAATCCAACTCACTGGGGGACAAAGGTCGTGCACTGAGGAGCGACTACATGGTAGACAAATAGCACCAAGTGCCTGAGCTTAGGAGACCTTGATGGGAGGTCCTGAATCCCCACTGCCTCCTATTGCCACCACTTTATCACCAGTTTACTACCAGTCCTTCACCTGCCTGTGTCTTCCGTAATCCCCAAAACACCCGCTATACAGATAAGGAACCAGAAGCCCAGAGTGCTCAATGCACCTACCCAAAGTCACAGAACCCTGTCCCCCTGCTTCCCAATGTGCCTCAGACTTGCTAAGCCTCCTGAGTGCCCTTCCCCAAATTTGTCTCTAGAAAGGAAGGGCTCAAGTAATGGGGCCAGGGTTAACATTTCATGAAATCTTTAATGAAATTGGGAAGAGGAGCACGAACGGAGGGGGAGGGGCCATGGGGACCGGCTTGGGGGCCAGGGAGATGGGCAGGGTGCTGGGCAGGGCAGGGGGCTCTCCTCTTCCCCGCAGTGACCCTCCCCCAGTCATCCCACTGATGGGGGAGGGAAGCGGGGAGGTGAAGCCATAAATATGTCCAGAATCTCAAAGAGGCGAGGGGCAGCAAAAAGGGTGGCTGGGAGTCTCAGAGAGGGGGCAGGGGCAGGCCTGGGCCACCCTTGTCGGGGGGTCCTGGCTCCTTGGGTGGCCGAGGAGGGCCTGGGGGGTCCCCTGGCTTGCGGCCGTGTTTGCGGAAGTAGCGGTAGCGCTGGACGTAGGCCCGCACCAGGTTGCTCACCTTCACTGGGTTGATCTCCCCACTTTTGCTGTGGCAGATCTGGGGGAGCCGGGGTAGGTGACAGATGGAATTCCTGCCAGTCCCCCAGGGTCCCCTGGACTGTTGGGCACATCTTGAGACTGAGATGGGAGCCACACCCCCAATGACTGGACCAACACCCCTACTTATGCCCCTTCACAGCAAACTCCCCAGTGCCAGCCAAGACAGGCCCAGTGTCCCTGGGGAAATCCTTTTGCCCAGGTCACTCCATGATCTCCATCTCTCCATGTGCTGGTCTGCACACATCCCTCTCCCATCTCCTCTCTCACCTTGTGGACAGCCTTCCTCAGGATGTCCTTGTATTCATCCTTGGTGATGTCCTTCTTCTGGTAGTACGGCTTGATGGCTAGCTTCACCTCCTCCACTGCCCGTTCCTGTGTGTGCAGCTTCTTCAGATACTGCGGGTGGTGGTGTGAAGAGAGAAAAGGACAAGGACCAAATGAACAGTCCCACTCATCTCTGCCTTCCAGGTTAGCCTCCCTGACCAACCAGCTGCTCCTGGAAGTAGAGGTTCTGCTTAGGGTCTGCCCTGTGTTCCCCTGGTGCAGTTGCTGTAGCCCACTGGGCATCCCTTGGCTGAACCCTGGGCTAACCCAGGCCCAGCCATGACAAGGATACATTGTCCCCCGCCCTCAGTCTGGTGGGGACATAAAGGATAACCAAGCAATCTCAATTATTTTTCTTTTTTTGTGGTGCTGGGGATGGAAGCCAGGGCTTCACACATGCTAGGCAAGTGCTCTGTTGCAGAGATATGCATCTAGCCCTTTGGGTTTTTGTATTTTGTTTAGAGATAAGTGCTCCCTAATTCTGCCCAGGCTGGTTTCAAACTCCCAATTGGGACTTACAGGCATGTACCACCACACCCGGCAATTACAACTGTTTTTAATGAGACTTCGCAGGGCTTATTCTGACTACAGCAGGAAAATGTCACCAGGCTTTTCAGTGAGGTAGTGGTAAGACCCAGCCTGAGTTTTCACAGTGCTGCTCTGACTACTGGGTGGATGGGCTGCAGGGCACTTGGGAACCAGAACTGGCTAGAAGCACAGCACAGGGACAGCTCAGGCTTTGGAAGTGGGTGGCACTGGAGTCCTGGTCTCCCACTCTATAGGCAACCTGACCCTGCGGCTCATCTGTAAAACGGGGCAGTGCCTATAGGGAGGACCCAGGGCAGGTTGCACAGAACATGGGTGCAATCAGGAGAAGTGGGGCAGTTATGAGGGTGATGACCGTGGGTACAGGACGCAGAGCCTTCTAAAAGGGTTTTTTCTGCCCAGGGCTGACAGGTGGGAGAGCTGCACCTCAGGGCTGGAACAGCCATAGCCCTGCCTCAGTGAATCCTCACAAAAGCAGAGGGGAGTCTACAGCAGGAGAGCAAGCTGGGTCTGGATTGGGACTGGCCTGCTGCCAGGCCCAAGGGACAGTCCCTCAACACCACCGTAGAGAGGTGGCCCTCTTTGCTGGGCAACTCTTGCCTCTACCCCAGGGCCAAAGAACACAGGAGTAGAAAGCAGCATCTGGGGGAGGGGCATACTATGTTAACACACCCCAGGCCACCATCTCCCAGGATGAGGTGACAAGGATACAAACTGCCAAACTGTTGGAGAAGCACTACTGACAGGAGGCCAGGCCACCCTGGAGGACCTTCTCAGGCCAGCCCAGCCCAATGGAAGTGGGTTTCCAGAGACATGGCCAGAAGAAAGGGGCTGCTCCCCAACATGTAACTCAGTTCAGACGTGACCATGGGAACAAGGCAGGGAACAGACCAGGGCAGCCTGATGGGGAGGGCAAGGCCCCTGCTGTTGGGTCTTTACTGTCCTGGTCCTGCAGCATGTGCATGGGCCATGGCCAAGTGACCAGTGGAAGCCGGAAACCTGCCAGCTTCTCATGTAGCAACTTTTTTTTTTTTTTTTGGAGACACTAGAATTTGAACTCAGGGCTTCCTGCTTTCTAGGCAGGCCCTCTACCACTTCAACCACTCAGTCAGCCCTTGTTTGTGTTGGGTATTTTCGAGATAGGGTCTTGCAAACCATTTGCCTCAGCTGACCTTGAACCTTGACCCTCCTGATCTCTGCCTCCAGAGTAGCTAGGATTACAGGAGTGAGCCACCGGCACGTGACCTCATATGGGGATTCTGACAGGACTTTTGCCAGTTTGCCCTGGCTACATATATGGGCTGTGGGACCAGAATAGATGCTTCTAGAACTGACCACAGGAGAACAGCCTAAGACACGGGAGTAGCAGCTGAAGAAAAACCTAATCTGAACTCATGCCTAACAGCCATTCTTCCTCCCTGCACCAGGAACAGGTTTTTGACTTTCCCTTTGCGAACCACCATCTCCCTAAGGAAGGGGGATGGGGGATGACATTGGGTTAACTGAGCCATGGAAAAATGGGTAGACTAGTATGTGGGAGGGGATCCTTACACACACAAAATATGTTATTAGTGATTTTCTTTTAAACCTGCCAGGCAGCCCTTTCCTATTCACTCCTTCCAGAAAGTTACTTCTGTCATAACTGATGAATCCACTGCTCCCAAGGGCAGCTCACCTTGTCTGTGTCCCCTCGTCCCTCGGAGCTGCTACTGCCCTCTCTCTTGTCAGACGCAGCAGCCAGTCCAGTGGGGGTGGGAGGGGTAGAGCCACAGCCTCCTAGGGGGAGGCTGCCAGGAAGCAGGTAGCTGGAAGGGCCAGGGGGCAGACCCAGAGAGGTGGGCACAGGAGCTGGGGTCACCCCCAGACTTGAGGGGGGCTTGCGGTGGCTGAGGATCTGTGGGAAGACAGGGAGGAAATGAACAAAGGAAGGTGGACAGGGAGAGGAAACTTGTACTCCCACTGTTCCCACCCTGATTTCCCAATAGTCCCAAGACAACAGGCTCCTCTTTTGGCCAGTACCTTGCCCCAAGGCCTGCTGGGAGCTGTAGTTCTCTCCTAACCCCAGGCAACGGACAAAAGGGGCTGCGGGGACTCTTCCCCAGGGGAGCCCACCTGGTTGGTGGCCTGGATCAACTCCTGGGCCTTTGCTCGGCTTGCCAGGTTGGCTTCTTCCATCTTGAAGAGAAGTGCAGTCACTACAGGAGGTGGAAAGGTGACACCATGGAGCTCAGGAGGGAGTGACAGGAGAGATGGCCACCCTCAACTTGCCACCTGCTGCCATCTCCCACACTCAGCTATATAGCTATAGCTATATAGTCAAGAGAGGCCTTGACTAATGTCCTTAGGACTCGAGGTAGGTGTATATGCATGGCCAAAGTTGGGACATGGGTCACTGAATGTGAAGATGGTGGCAGAAGTAATATCCTATCCTATCTCCTGGCCACCTCTCCCTCCCACCTGTGGCCAGTTCCTCTACTACCTCTGTGGTCTGGCAGAGACTACTGCCTTCCCCTAAGGGACAATGCCCTGCACAACCAATCCCTTCCAGATCTTTCTGTTTTAGTCCAACTCTCGATAGACCCCAGGCCCATAAAGCTGCTCTAATCTGCTCAGGCACTACCTGTTCCTATCTGCTCCTCGCTCTCCCGCAGGCCAAGACACCTAGCCTTCTGGAAAGGTCTAGCACCCCCCAGGTCCTCCATTCTACGTCACTACATATCCCTTCCAAAGCATCCCCACAGCCTTCGACTGTCCCCATCAGGTCCCATCCTTCCCGATCCTTTTGTCATCACCCCCCCCACACACCCAGACACTCACAGGCCAGGACACCGCTGGTTGTGCAGTCCACACCAGCCGGCAGGTTCCAGGGCATGGGTGGTGGCAGGGTGGGCAGCTGGGAGACACGAGTGGCTGGCCCATCCTCTGCCCCCGAGTCTCCAGCTGTGGACCCTGCACTGGGGGCAGTGCTTGGGGCAGCCGCAGCTGTGCTGGTGGCTGTGGTGGTGGCAGGCTGCTGCTCCTCCTCTTCCTCCTCTTCTTCTTCCTCCTCCTCCTCCTCTTCTTCCTCCTCTGCTCCTCCTCGACCTCCAGCCTCCTCAGCAGCTTCCTCAGGCAGGAAGGAGACCTCCGGGGTCTTACAGCTGCTGTCTACAGTCTGCGAGTCTGGAGTGAGTGCAGGAGGCGGAGGGGCTGCCTTGGGCGGTGGGGTGCTCGGGGCTTGGGCTGCCCGCTCCTCCCCAGACCAGGAAGTCTCCTCAACGCCTTTGGAGCCTGCTGCTTGGCTGCAGCTATCAGCCTTGGACTTCTTCAGCGACACAGGGCCGCCACTGCCCGCACTGCTGCCTCCACTGCGGACCTTCTTCCTGGTCTTGGATGGCTTGGTCTTTCCCTTGGTCCCCTTGGCTTTCTTGGCCCCAGCCTTGGCCTTGACCTTGGTCTTTTTGGGCTTGGTGCTGCCTGGAGCAGCTTTGGCCACCTCCGAGGGAGCCCGCTCATCAGGCTTGAGGAAGGGAGAGCGGCTCTCCCGGTCTCGGCTGAACTTAACCCCAATGGAGCCCAGACCAGCAGATGCAGAATCCTTGGCCGGGGTGGTGCTGCTGACGCCCTCTCGGATCAGCACAGCCACCTTGGACTGCAGTTTCACCTTCCGGGAGGAACAGGACGATGAAGAGGATGAGGAGCCTGAGCCACTGCTCACTGGTGGCTTTGGTGGGGGCCCTGAGGAAGGTGCCGACTCCTTGGGGGGCCGCGCCTTCTTGGATGACCTGTCCCTGTCCCTATCTCTGTCCCTGTCCCGGTCCCCCCATCCAGAGCCTTCCGACGAGACCCCTTTTCCCTGGAGGAGGAAGAGGATGAGGCAGCCCCAGAGCGGCGACGGTCCTTCTCACTGCTCTTGACACCCCTGTCCTCCCCACTCAATCCCTCTGAGTCATACAGAACCTCCCTCTTGGGTGACAAAGCCGGGGCTGGTGATGGTCCTCGGGGATCGGACTTGTCAAGCCGGCCCACAGTGATGGTCCGCTTGATGGCAAAGAGATCATGATCGGTGAGGTCCTGGATAGAGGGTGGAACGGCCCCCCTGCGGCGGCTGTCCCGATCGCTGGCAGAGGTGGAGCCCGAGGGCTGCTGAGTGGCCAAAGATACCTTCTCACCTCCATCCCCCGATCGCTTCTCTCCACGGGACCGAGACCGCTTTTTCTTCTTCTTGCTGCCACCGCCATCCCGGTGCTTGCCTCGGTGCCGCTCACGCCTGGAGGAGGATGAGGAGGAGGTGGCCGGGGGTGGAGAGGCTGAGCGCCGCCGCCTGCGTCGCTTCTCCCGAGACCGCGACCTGCGGCTGCCCCCGCGGCGGCGGTCCGAGCTGCGTGAGCGGCGGCGGGTGGAGCGGGACCGGGAGCGGCGGCGGGCAGACGAGGAGGTGTGCGAGCTGGGCTTGCGGTCCCGGGACCGGTGCTTCTTGGAGTCCCAGGGGGAGGCCGGGGCAGGCGGGGCGGGCTGGGCGCTGGAGGAGGATGAGGCGGCCTCCTTGGCCTCGCCGCCACTGCGCTTGCGCTCCCGCCTGGACTTCTTGCGGGTGGGTGGACCCGCGGTGGCGGCAGCAGTGGCCGTGGCCGTGGCCGGGGAGGGTGAGCGCTGGCGGTAGCGCTCCCGCCGCTGGGTCAGGATCTTGCGGCGGAGGTCCAGGCCGCCCCAGCGCGTGTCGGCAGCAGGGGGCGCGGGGGCCGGCTCCCCCAGGTCCACCTGCAGGGCCCCTTCACCGTCCGACTCCGCGTGCAGGGACAAGAAGTCATCCCCTTCTGGGGCCCGGGGAGCAGGAGGCTGGGGCGGGGGCTGGGCCGCGGGGGTGGTTGAGGGGGCGGGAGGAGGCCGGGTGGCCCGCCCGCTGGCCCGGAAAAGGGAAAGCGCCACCCTGGGCTCCTCCTCGGGCTGCACAATCTCGCCCTCCTCAATCTCTGAGTCCGCAGGGGGCAGCAGGGGCGGTGGGAGCTCGGTTCCACCGGCTGTCACCACCTCCACGGAGACCTTGCCTTCCCGACAGGCCTCTGCCTCGGTCCCCACCACAAAGACTCGCCGGCGGGTGGCTCCATCAGCCCGTGTGGAGTCCGCCTGGGGCGGTGTTCCAGGGACCGCAGGCGGCTGAGGGGGCTGAGGGTCCGGGCGGGGACTGTCATCACCTGGAAAGTCCTGGCTCAGGCTGTTGTCATCATAGATGCCCGCCAGGGTCTCGGAGATGCGGCTAATGCTCTGCGACAGGCCTTCCTCCTCCTCTTCTTCTTCCTCCTCTTCTTCCTCCTCCTCTTCCTCTGGTGAGGGGGTTCCCGCTGATGAGCTGGGGTTGGAGCCGGTGGGCTCAAAGGGGTCATATTTTTGCTCAGGGCAGGCGGTGGGGAATAGGCCTCATCGGTGGGGTGGAAGGGGTCATAGATGTCAAATCGTGGGGCAGGTGGGGCTGGAGGTGCAGGGGGTGGAGGGGGCGGAGGAGGAGAGGGGGAAGAGGAGGAGGGGGAAGGGGAAGGTGAGGAGGAGGCAGAGGAAGGGGCAGGGGGTGGGGCAGGGCCCCCATCTCCTGTGCCCAAGGTGAGGAGGTGACGGGCACAGGCTGGCCGAGAAGAGTGGGACTGTGGAGAAACTGCAAAGAAACAATGCAGACAGGCGGTCAGGGACAGCTCACTCCTCAATGACCACCGCCAGACACTGCCCACCACCACCAGGTACCGCCCAAGCACTTTGTGTGTGCCATCCAGAAGATGCTCTAACCCCATGCTGGAGGTACTGTAACCCATGGGCACAGAAGGAAACTGAGGCAGAGAGCCCAGAATCTTCCTCAAATGCAAGCAACAGAGAGCAGGGAGGAGTTGGAGTGCAAGCCTGGTCACTTTGACCCCAAGCCTCCACTTCCAAGCCCTGAGATGGAGCACTGGGCTGACCCCACAACCACACACTGATCCTGAAGCCTAGGAACTGCCTGCACCAATGGCAGTGATGTCCCCACAGCAGAACAGGCAGGGCAGGAAGGCCAGGGTTCAAACCTAAGTCTACCTCCAAAGTCAAGCCTGCTGTACCAGGGGCCACCTGCAGGAGCTCATCCCACTTTGTGTACAAAAGATGTGAGGCTGAGAAAGGGAAATGGCCACCCAGAGCCAGCACATGGAGAGTAGGGGAGCCTGGACAGCCTGGGGGCTCCCCTGAGCTCTCCTGAAAAGCTCATGATCCCCCACCTGAAGGGCTACACCTGTTCAGGACCCAGCGGCACCACAGACTGACAGCAGTGATGACAAGTGTTTGCTCCTTCCTATCAGCTAGGCCTCACGCTTCGAATATTACCTTAGTTCACCCTCCTGAGACCCCAGCACACTAAGCACTACTTTTTTTTTTTTTTCTTACAGTACTGGGGCTTGAACTCAGGGCCTTCACCTTGAGCCACTCGCCAACCCTTTTTTGTGATGATTCTTTTTGAGATGGGGTCTTGCGAACTATTTGCCCAGGCTGGCTTCGAACTGCGATTCTCCTGATCTCTGCCTCCTGCGTAGCTAGGATTACAGGCGTCAGCCACCGGCACCCGGTAAGCACTACTCTTAAAATGTCATAGCCACTCGAGTGGAGAGAGCCAGCCGAGGCTGGGTCTCAACCACGCTGCCAAGACTGCACCTTGGCAAGGTCAGCAGAGGACAGTACCAGGAAAGCAGATGGCTTCAGAGGGCAGCTCCAGAACCACCTCCTGATTCAGAACCCAGGTTCCAGCCCTTGCCAGTAATGTGGCTCAACCTGGCTGCCTCAGTTTCCTCGTCTATATGATGAGAGTTCGAACATTCACTCAACACATTTTTAGTAATCACCTATTTTCTGCCAGGAAATAGGGATGAAAAGGAATGAACAAAACAGACAACAATCCCTGCCTTCTGGGAGCCACACTGGAGGGGAGAAGAAGAGACAGGGATCAACCAGTTAAGCATCCAGGCCACCACCTGCTCAGGGCCCTGGAAAAGGAGCTGGCACTGCTGATGAGGACAAGGACAGTGTTCATGTCACACCAATGAGAGGAAGCACCAGTGAGCCGCCAGGGACTAACAGAGGATGCTATCCTTGTTGTCACTGCTACCCACAGGCTAGCCCAGTACCCACACACTGCACTGGTCTGCAAACTCGACAGCACTGCTGCATATTCTTTCTTTCTTTTTCAGTGCTGGGGAAGCACCCTAGGCCTCGTGCATGGTAGGCAAGTGCCACACCCTTCACCCACCATCTAACTGATTATGAGTCAGTTTTCTTTTTCCTAAGGTCTTAATATTTTCCATAGAAAAAAGATGAACACCTGAAATTTAAACAAACAAAAAAAAAAAAAAAAAAAAAGGGCTCAGGGGGCTGGTAGAGTGGGTCAAGTAGTAGAGCACCTGGGACCAGGCCTGGTGGTGTGCATCTTACTCCCAGTTATTCAGGAGGCTGAGATAGGAGGATTGTTTCAGCCCAGAAGTTTGAGGACAGGCTAAGCAACGTAGCAAGAGTCCATCTTGAAAACAAACAAACAGAAGGCTGGGTGCATGGCTCAGGTGTTAAGAATGCCTTGTCTGGCATGAGTGAGGCCCTGGAGTCAATCTCCAGCACTACAAAAATAAATTTAAAAGAAAAAAAAAAAAAGCCCCAGGGAAACCAGACAAGGTGGTATGCACCTGTAATCCCAGCACTCAGGAAGCTGAGGCAGGAGGATTAAGGGTTCAAGGCTAGCCTGGGATACATAGCAAGACCCTGTCTCAAAAAGACACAAACACAAGTCATACACCAGTGATTCACGGTTGTAATCCTAGCTACTTGGGCAGCTGAGATAAAGAGGATCAAAGTTTGAGGCCAGTCTGGGCAAACAGTTCATGAGACCCTATCTCCAAAATAAACATAGCAAAATGGACTGGAAGGTGTGGCTCAAGAGGTAGACTGCCTGCCTAACAAGCATGAGGCCCTGAATTCCCATCCTAGTACTCCAAAAAAAGAAAAAAAAAAAAAACAGCTGAGCATGTAGCTCACTACTACAGCATTGCTTACTGTATGCCACCCCCTGGGTTCAATCCCAGCATCACAAATAAATACATAAATAAATGTAAAAATATTTTTAAAAGCCAGGTGCCGGTGGCGCATGCCTGTAATCCTAGCCACTAAGGAGGCAGAGATCAGGAGGCTCAAGGTTTGAAGCCAGACTGGAGAGACCCTATTTTACCCAACACAAAAAAGGGGCTAGTGGAGTGGCTCAAGATGTAGGCCCTGAGCTCAAACTCCAATCCTGTAAAAATCAATAAACAAGATAAAATAAAGTAAAAAAAGAGCTGGGTGCCAGTGGCTCACACCTGTGATCCTAGATATGTGGGAGGCTGAGATTGGGAGGATCATGGTTTGAGGGGAGCTCCTGCAAATAGTTCTTGAGATCCCATCTCCAAAATAACCAGAGCAAAATGGACCAGCAGTGTGGCTCAAGTGGTGGAATGCCTGATTTGTAAGTGCAAAGCCCTGAATTCTAAACAACTGTGGTCCTAGCTACTCAGGAGGCTGAGGTAGGAGGATCTCTTGAGCCAAGAGTTCAAGGCCAACCTGGGAAACACAGTGAGCTACTCCCTCAAAACAATAAAAACATAAAACACAACCTCAGAGTCCTCCTGAAAACATGACTGCCTTTCAGATCTATTTGTATCACTCTTAAGCCCCAGGGGCCAAATCCAGAAGGAATGTTTTTGTACAAAAAGTTTTATTGTAACATTGTAACATTGCGCTATCCATTTGTTTATTTTCTCCTATACAGCCTGTTTTTTTTTTTTTTTTTTTTTTTTTTCCTACTTGCTAGGCAGGCACTCTACACTTGAGTGACTCCACCAGCTCTTTTTTTGTATTGAATATTTTCAAGATAGGCTCTCTTGAACTATCTGACTGGGCTGGCTTGGAAGTGCGATCCTCCTGATCTGTGCCTCCTAAATAGCTAGGATTACAGGCATGACCGTTGCAGGGCTAACCTCTGCTTTTAGGAGAAACTTCAAAACACTTCTGTGGGCCTCCAAGAGCATCATGAGCCCTAAGCATCAAGTCCTGTGCCTAACGGATAAATCTACTCATAGCTGGAACAAAAAGAAACAGTTGACTTAGCACAGGGAGGTGGGTGTGCAAGCCACCTTCTTCCAGGGAACTGGTGCTCATGGCTGATGGAATGGCACACCTGAGCCAAAGGGCCTTCCTCTCCTCTCCTCTCCACTGCCCTCCCAAGTGCGATGTACACACAGACTCAAAGTATAAACTCATGGGGTCCCAGGGATCAATTCTGTGTTGTTAAAGATGCAAATTCCAGGCGCTACCTCAGTCCTGATCAATCAGAGCCCCTGGAAGTGGGTATAGAGATCTGCAGTTTTTGTTTGTTTGATTTTTGAGACAGGGTCTCCTATGTAAGCCAGGCTGGCCTCAGACTTGCTCCATCCTCGTCTCAGTCACGTGATCTGTGTATCAACAAGAGATTCTAACAATGTGCACTTGCATTTCAGAAACGCTGGTTTCAAGTGCTCGTGGGGTCACCCCCGGGTGCAGAGCTGGGGAGCAGCTTCTTACTTATACAATGCTAGTCACAGAAACCAAAAACCTCAGCTCAGACACACTGTGGCCCAAGGACTGGGCCTACCACTAAGCAACTGACTGTGTGACCTTGAGGAAGTGACAACCTACTTTCAGACTGACTGTTCCTCTGGAGGATGGAGACACAGAGAGCCCCTCCTGGAGAAATGAATTCCCAACACAGTGATGCTCAATCAAGAGCCCTGGACACCAAGTGTCTCACATGAGCTTCTGCTCTATATGTTCCTCACTGCACTGGGTTTATTTTATGTACATCTGTCCGTACGTAGGGCTAGGGTCTCACTATGTAACCCAAGCTAGCTTCAAACTTGGGGACCTCCTGCCTCATCCTCCCAAGTTGCATGTACATATGGCTTTTAATGCAATCTAATATAAAACAAAGGTTAACAAAGGTTAAAGATTTTTGCCTAAATGACACAATCATCACTACTAGAAGTAGCTGACTCCTGCACAACCTCACGGCCACCTGGTCAGTTCTGCACCAGCCCCACACACCTGTTTTGCCTGTCCTCCAGGCCCTGAGACGGGGCAGCAGGCTGGGCACAGGTAGAGGGATGGGATCCCTGTCCCCAATTCGGACCTCGGCCACCAGCTCCAGCATGTCTTCGCTTCTGTAAGGCAAAAGGGTGGTGAGCCTCAGGGGGGTGCTGTGGCTCTCAGACCTAGGGCAGCTCCCACTCCAGCGGCCTAGGTACTCACTCGCCAGGCCGCAGGTCCAGGCGGCTGGGAACCCAGGTATCCGGAGGGTCCAGGATGCTCACCAGCCCCGCAAGGAAGCTGTCTGTGGCCATGTCCAACACCTGGAACAGGCCAGAAGGGGTTCCATGTCATGAGGACTCATGAATACTGTTTCCCTAGTCCCTAACCTCTCAGGAACCCAGACATCTGAGACCTCCAAGAAAAGCCAGGGATCCAACCAAGTCCCTTCTCCTGACTGCCAAGAGCACTCAAAGCGAGGCCCCCAGGCCCCTCAACATTGCCCCTTCTCAGCACCCCAGACCCTGAAGTCTGCTTCCCCTGCCCTCTCCTCCTCCAAACCCACCAGTGCAGGCCCCTGGCCCTTCTAACTCACAGTGGCTGTGTCAGTGCCCCCTGATTCCTGGGAAAGAGGCTCTGACCGTGGGCTCCGGCAACGCCTCCATCGAAGCCCATGACACCGAGAGCCATCTGAGGAGAGAGATTTGCATGGGGAATGGAAACAGAGGACTAGACTGAGTCTCTGTGGGGAACAGGAAAGATGAGCTGAGCTGGCGCTTGCTGAGGAAATCTCATGCCACTTCCCAGCTCAGGCCCCCAGGCTTCCCAACACCCCCTTCTGGGCTCCAGCTCTGTCACCCATTTGGCCACCTATCTGTCCTCAGGTTGAAGTCTACACAGCTCACTCAACTTGGTCTTCAAGCCCTGCTGGGGCCTGTATCTATGGGGACAGACCTCTTCTGCCTCTCCCAAGTGCCTATACCCTCCTGTACACCAGAGCTAACAAACCACACTCAGTCCCTATACACCATGCCCCTGTGTGCAGAGCTGGCGCGCCTTGGCCTATCATGCTACCTTGCAATCAATGAGACAACTCTGCATGTCCACAGGGACCCAGTTCACCTGCCACCCCTCTAGGAAGCCTCCCCTGTCCCAAGCTCCCTCCAGGCTAGCTCAGGGTGATCTCCTGCCTACAGTGCCTCAGGATGCCTCTGAGTTGACTGAGCCTCCCTGGCTCTAACTGTGGACCCCCTACACTTAGATAGCCCCAGTATCCCACCGACCAGCATGGGTACCAGCATAAGGGTGGCACCCAGGAGGTCTGGGAAAAGCTCATCCAAATAATATGAGGATAAAGAACACAGAGAAGGGACATGGGGCTGAAAGGAGCCAGAACCTATCGTACCTTTATCATTCGGTAGATCCCCCTGGAGGGAGCTTCCCACAGCCTGCTGAATGGCCCGCTGGTAAAAAGGGGTGAGGTGGGGGGTGGAGGGTGGAAAGAACAGAGAGTCAAAGTCATGAAGTAAACAATGTGCAACCTCTGCTCCTTGGGAGACAAATATTCTAGAGCCCCCTGACACAGCCAAGTTCAAGTTCTGAGCCAAGAATGCAAACCCCTGGCCTCCTCCCACTAAGGCCCAAGAATCTGGACTCTTAGCCCCATCCTGCCTCCACCCCAGAAGTCCAGCAGCCTCACCAGAATAAAGGCAGAAGGAGAAAGTGTGGGGTCTCTGTCAGGCGGACCATCACCCCGATCCTCGCCCGACTCCTCTGTCTTCCCTCGAGACTCATCTTCTTCCTCCATGGTCACCTGGAGGTCGAGGGTGGCAGTTTGGAGTGGAGGCCAGGGAAAGGGGACGTTAACAGAGGATGGATGCATAGACCTCAAGAGCCTCCATCACTGACTCACTCAGCATCCTCTTCTACACCCCTTCTCGTACCTCATCCCAGTCTACCATGTCCTTGGGCCAGCACAGACCTGCAGGACCAAGGGCAATTCTCTTCCTTCCCCTGGACTTTGCCTCCTGTCGTGGACGGAGGCGAGCTCCTCCACTGCCTATTTCAACATTTGGCTCCCCAATTCCCACAGCTCTCCCCACAACCCATCCACACCTCCAGACTTCATTCCCTACCCTCAGGGGATGGGAACTCAACACTAAGACTTTTTGTGTTGTGTCATGACTTCAAAGAGTGTGTGTTCTACAGTCCCATAAACACAGCTTTCCCAAACTGAGGTAGCTGCCCATGGGCTGGGTGGCACTCAATGCCAGCCAGGTATTACACAGCTCTGCAGATTATCCACCATGCTCAATATGTGAAGAACCAATGAATGTTTGTTTATTACATAAGATGGAGCCACGATAGAGAGGTCTGCAAACCCAATATGCTTCCTTTTTTTTTGGTACTGGGGCTTGAACTCAAGGCCTACACCTCAAGCGACTCCACCAGCCCTTTTTTTTTTTTTTGTGATGGGTTTTTTCAAGATAGGTCTCGCAAACTATTTGCTCTTAGAAAAAGCTTCAAACTCTCTAGCCCACAATCGGTGTGCTTATTTGAAAATGGCAACAGTAGGCTCTGTCACAGAGTGGCTGTGAGAATTCAAAGTCAAACCCTTCTTAGCACATGCTAGGTGCTCAATATGCATTAACAGTAATAGCTTATTACCCTTCGTGCACCAGATCCATCTCCCCTGCTTCCCCCACTGCATACCTGCAAAGAAAAGTCCTCAGCCCTGATTTCTGTCCAACCACAGCTCTCTGTGGCCTCTTCCCAACTCCAGCAGACACGCCCCACCCTGATGGTCTGTCTACCACATCCCATCCTCTCCAGCAAATACTCAATACCTCCGGCCTTTTCCAGCACCTCCTAGAAAGCACAGGCTACCCAGAACAGTGACAGTCACATATTAGAAGCTCAATCAAGATGTTCCGACTACAAACTTGGAGATCCCCAAACCCTCTAGAGCATAGGAAGATGTTGCCCTGCTCCTGAGTCATACCCTTGACCCCTTAGTCTTTTAAACATTGTAAGACTCTGCAGACATTGTTGGTCTCCCTAGCTCAGTGGATCGCCACCCAGCTCCAGGGTGTGGGAGCAGAGCTTAAGTGGTCAGGGAATGTGAGTATTTCAATACATATGTTGGTGCGTACTGGGTCTCAATAAAAATTTCTGACTGTGGATCAAGGTCAAAAGAGCTTGAAAGCACTGCACTAGATAATTCTAGACAACCCTACAGGCCCTTTTAGGCTTGTGGACTGATTCTAACTCTATAACCCCAGGACAACACAGAATTTTTAAGCGATTTTCATTTGAATTACTTTCCAAGGACAAGTATATTTGAGCTGGGCAAAATTTCCAACACTCTCTTTTGTATTATTTCCCACATGCTTATCCGGATTCACAAGGCATTTGAATTTCCTCCAAGCATGCTTGCAATCACATCAAAGCCACCTGGATGGTTCCAGGCCCCCAGCCTCCTGTCACCCAGATCAGACACTTCCCAGACCTTGGAGACCCATCCATGCCTTTAAGTACAATACTTGTCTCCCTCCCTTGGTGGGTACATCTCATTCCTTCTAGGTGGTTCTGAAAGACTTTCTAGCCCTTGAAGAGTTCTTCCAGGTTCAGTAAATGGCCCCAGATCTATACAGATCAGCCTCATTCTCAGGCCAGCCCATGTAGACACTTCCCAGCCCTAACAGACATACCCCAGGCAATCTAGCTGGCTCTGCAGTTACACCTTGACTCTTGCAGACCTCCTTCACTCCTGGGACATGGCTCAAGATCTCAAGATGGCCCCAAAACCCTCTCAACAGACCCTAGCCTCCAGTCAGCACATTAAAACGATCCACAGCGCCTACAGAGACGATCCAGGCCAGCTAAATGATGGAGGACAGGCCTTAGGCTCGGTCCAGGGCCTGTGGACGCCCCCAGTCCTCTCGGGGACGCCCCGTAGACGCCCCCTGGCACCCACAGACGCGTCCGGGGGCCCTGAGAAGGCCTCCCGCTCAGCACCAGGTTTCACCACCGCTGCCGGGTCCGAGACTGCCCCGCTAAGTCCTCCGGGTCCCGTGGCGTATAAGGGGTGCCAGGGGACAACTAGCGACCCGACTCCGCCCCGCCCACCCCGATAGGCCCGAGCCCCACGGCCCGGACCGCTGCCGCCATCTTACCCCGCCGCTCGGGCTGCGGCTCCGGCCCCGGCGCGGGGCGGGGCGGGCTGGGGCGGGGCTCGCGAGCAGAGGAGGAGAGGGGCGGAGCTAAAGCGCCGCCGAGCTTGCCGGGATTTTAAGTATCGAGCACAGTGCGCTGAAGGCCCGCATGATAGGGACTGGACTCGGCTTCCCAGCAGTCAACGGAACACATGTGGCGGGGTACGCGCGACGCACGTCGGGAGGCGTAGTCCGCGCGCCTCCTCCGTCGCGCGGGGACAGCAAGGAGGTGAGAGGTGAAGTAGGCGGGGTTGCTATAGCCCGCGGTGAAGCCCCACAGTGCCCTGCGTGCGCGGGGAAAGGGCGGCGGAACGGGAAGTGATGTTAAAAGGCACTCAGCTGAAAGATGCAAGGGAATTGTAGTTCCGCAGAGAGGGCAGGACTAGCTGGAAATTGCCCCGCCCACATCCTGGAGCTCTCAGAATCGAGATTCCCTTGGTCCCCTCTAAATTTAGAACCAAGGAACAGGACCCTAGAGCACAGGGTAGAAAAGTCCGAATTCTGAGTCCTCTCACTCAGAACAGAGAAGAGAAGATTCTCACTTCCCTTCTTCCTTGGACTCAGGAATCTTGATCTTCTTTCCTAGGACATGAATCAGACCTTCGGGCCCCTCCTCCCTCAGATCATGCTAGGTCTTAAGCTAACACTTCACACGAGCACAAGAGTTCTTTTTTCCCCAATCCAAAGCACTCGGATTCAGAATTCTGGGTTCTCAGTCCCTTCAACCTCTGGACCTAAGAGTCCAGGCCCCCAACTCCCTCCTTTTTTTGAACCTAGTAGTAAGGGCCCCCAGTCACCCTCCTTCCCAGGACCTAGGATTCCATGTCTCCGACCCTATTCTTTCCTAAGTGGCCAAGTGCCTACCTATCAGTTTTCTCCTCCAAACACAAAAAACCCTGGCCCTAGGCCCTTCATGACCCGGGCGTCCCGACTTGGGCGAGCTGGCTCATGGATTAGGAATGCAGTGATCTCATGGCCCCTCCCTGCCCCGTAACCCTCCTGTCCCCCGGCAGGGCCCCATCTCCCCTCCCAGTCTGTCTTCCGTTTGGCTGGAACAGGGGGAACCGGAAGCCTGGGTCCCTCAGCAGGCGGAGACTCCAGCTTCTCAGCCAGACGCCCGGGTCGAGAGCTTAGCTAGGATGCCAAGAGGGAGGTGGAGCTTCTCTTCAAAACCTGTTCCTTCCTTGGAATGCCCTATATACGGCCGCGCGCGAGTCGGCGAGCCCCGCCTACCAGAATAAGACCTCGCGGATGGTCCTCGGTGAAGCTCTGTCACAAGGTTCCTTATTTGCATATCCCCACCCCGAACCCGCTTCTTGCTCAGTTGGCCAAAGAATGAGCGCTTATTAGCATAGCTCCGCCCACGGCCGGCACGGCGCGTGGCGCCGCTTATGGTGAGCACAGGTCTCGTATTAGCATATCCCCGCCCCATTCGGGATTCCCCTTCGCGGCGAAATACGTCCCCTGCCCTTATTAGTTAGCAGAGCCCCTCCTTTTCCCTTGGCCTTGTCTCCGCCTTAAGTGGCCCTGGCTGCAAGTCCTTCTGGCCGGAGCTCATGATTATGCAGTAGCCTCATTAGCGTAGCCCTCCTCTGGGTCCCGCCTGGCTCCCCCAAAGGCGGTAGCAGAGGCGGCAGCAGCGGTGGCGACATGAGCAGCGGGGCGGCGTCCGGGACTGGGCGGGGGCGGCCCCGGGGCGGGGGGCCGGGACCCGGGGACCCCCCGCCCAGCGAGACACACAAGCTGGTGGTCGTGGGCGGCGGCGGCGTTGGCAAGAGCGCGCTGACCATCCAGTTCATCCAGGTAGTGGGCCCTCGCCTGGGAGGGTGTCCCTGAGACCCAGACCTGAATTCTTTGGGGGATCCTTGAGACTCCTATTTCTCCTTGACTCACCACTGAAACCCTCCTATGAGACCCTCTAACTAACCTTAAAAGATGCCCCCAGATTGCAACTCTAAGCTCCGCAAGGGCCTCCACCCCCTTTACGCGGGACCTTCCTCATACAACCTGAGACATGGTGGCATCCCTCCCTGCAGTACCTAAGAGCCTGTTTCCCTGCTGACCGGGTCCTGGGCCTCCTGGGAGCTCCCTAAATACTGAACAGTCGCTACATTAAGAAGACCCTAAGTAGTTCGAGTCCTTCCCACTTCTTCCACCCTGAACCTTATCTTCCCTAAATTCCATCACCTTTGAGATTTCCTAGGCAGGATTCCTAGCCCCTTCCGGGACCTCCCCCAGAATCTAGAAATTTTGCCCACACTTTGTCGGCTCTTCTGGGACCACCCAGTCCTGAGAGAGCCACCCTGTAACCTCCACTTGGAGAGGATTTTCCCCCTTAAACTCAAGAGATCTCAAAAAGATCCAACCTAGGGAGCTATTTTTAAAAACTCCAAAACCTGACCATGCCCCATTTTGCCCAACCCAGATTCCCCACCGGCCCCCCTGCCCAAGGATAACCATTGCATCTTAAGTTTCCCCTTGAGCCCCTTTCACAAACCCTGAGAAGCCCAAACCATTTTCATGAAAGAAGTCCCCAGAATCTTCCCACTCCCAGAAAGACCCCATTCCTTGCAAGTTTCTTTGGTCCCATAAATACATCTCGAGATCTCTAAAGGCTATTAACTAACCTCTCAAGTGCCCCCGGCTACCCCAGGGCTCACCCCTGAGCTTCAACTCAGGTACTTGGAATCTACACCCGTAGTGCCCCCCAGAGCCTCAACCCAGCCTAGGACTTGCTCCCTACACCTTCCCTTCAGTTGGAGCCCTCACCAGGCATCCCTCAAGCAGACAGGATGCAGCCTTCAGACCCTGGGGCCAAATCACTCCTATACTGAAGTCCCGCCCTGCCCAGGAATCCTCCAGTATATTCCCAGTGGAAACCCTTTCAGCCTCAGAGAAACCCTAAGAAGGTGTGCGTCCCTAGACGCTGCGGCAGAGGGCCCTGGACAGCAGTCCCCCTAAGACACCCCAGCAAGCGCCTGCCCAAAGCGAGCCTTGCTGCGTAAAGTCAGGCCCCAGCCCGGGGCCCCTTGCACCCAGGAGCAGACCCAGAGCTGGCCAGAGGCCTGGTTGGAGGCAGCAGGACCCAGGCAGGAAGGGAGGGGCCCGGACCGTGGGTGGGGCAGCCTCTCCGCAGCCGGATTGGAACCAGGACCTTCCCCTGGGAGGAGACACTGGAGGCCGCCTAAGGAGGAGGAGGGGAAGAGGAGGAGGAAAGAGAAGAGGACCACAGACAGGCAGATTCTCTGGACAACTGCTCCCAAAAACTGATTGCTTACTATTGCCAGGCAATAAATACGTTAAATGTTTAACAGGGCTTTACCCTAATCTCATAAACGCTGGATGGGTGTAGTGTGTGCCATTCTTATTCTCGTTTTCCAAGTGAGGAAACTGAGACTCAGAGATGATTTGCTGAACGTTACACAGCCAGGATGTACTTATAGGTCAGAAGTATTTTCTACCTAAGAGTGGACAAGAGAGACTCAGAGAGACGGAGATTGGGGGAGAGGGCGGATACACAAAGAGGTCAGAGATCTATAGAGAAAGAGGATAGAGACCTAAAGAGGTGAAAAGGGGAGAGTCATTCTAGGCAGACATCCCACTAACTTTGGCCTCTCCCCACCCTACCAGTCTTACTTTGTGTCTGACTACGATCCCACCATCGAGGACTCCTACACGAAGCTCTGTGTCGTGGATGGCATCTCCGCCCGGCTGGACAGTGAGAGCCGGCAGGAGTGGATGGGGGGGCCTGAGGGCTTGTGGGTGGGTGGCCAGAGGGAGCCCGTCCCCATGGCACCCATCTCTGTCTCCACAGTCCTGGACACCGCTGGCCAGGAGGAGTTCGGGGCCATGCGGGAGCAGTACATGCGTGCTGGCCATGGCTTCCTGCTGGTGTTTGCCATTAATGACCGGCAGAGGTGTGAAGGGTACAGAAGTGGGGAGTGGGGTGGGTTCAGGCTGATCTGCCAACCTCATGCCTCTGGTTTCTCACAGTTTCAATGAGGTGGGCAAGCTCTTCACTCAGATCCTCCGAGTCAAGGACCGCGATGACTTCCCTGTCGTGCTGGTTGGGAACAAAGCAGACCTAGAGACACAACGCCAGGTTTGAGCTGCCCCCTTCCCTAGAAACCCCATCTGGGCTTGGGAGCCTCCCTCCAGCGCACCTCCCCCTTCATCAGCATCTTCCTCTGGCCCCTTAGGCCTTGCTTCCTCAATTGTCATACCCCTCACTTGGATGTTACCTCCAAGTCAGGCCATCTGGCTTCCTACCATCACTCAACAGGGCCTGGCACACAGGCATCCCCAGGAGAGATGAATGGATGGGAAAGGACCCCTATCTCCTGAAACCAGCTGCTCCCACCCTTCTTCTTTTCCCACCTGGTATCTCCTCTCTGCCTCCCCTTTGCCCATCCCTTCCACCTCCCCCACTTCCAGCCAGGCCCTCCCCTGCTCACAGACAACCCCCTCCCATGCATATGTCCCCTCCTTTCTCTACGCCCATCACTTCTTTGTACACACAAATGACATGCTTTCCGCTTTCCACACTAAGTCATCTTTCAGACTAACATGACCAGCTTCAGGGCCATATGTCTTGCCTGCTCAACTCCTAATTATGTAATAAGTGAACAAAACCTCCAGCATTCACTCTGGATCTTTCTGGAACTTTCCCTGGAGCCCCCACAGTAGGTTAGAGCAATGCCTGTCTACCTTCCCTGCTGGGGTCACACTGAGTGCAAGGACTGACTCTTGGTTCCTGGCCCACCTGTCCCTCAGGTCCCCCGATCTGAAGCATCGGCCTTCAGTGCTTCCCACCAGGTGGCCTACTTTGAGGCCTCAGCCAAACTTCGACTCAACGTGGATGAGGCCTTTGAGCAGCTGGTGCGGGCTGTCCGGTAAGCTGAGTCCCCTTCCAATCACCCGGGTCCCCAACCCCTCCAACTTAGACTCACCAGTCTCTCCCCACAGGAAATACCAGGAGCAAGAATTGCCACCCAGCCCACCCAGCGCCCCCAGAAAGAAGGACGGGGGCTGCCCCTGCGTCTTGCTGTAGCTGGGCAAGAAATGACCGACTGCCACAAGGTCTTGGGACCAGCTGCCTCACATCTTGCTGTGTGGCCTGAGGCCCTGGTTGAGCCTGTTTCTTCCTCTGGGTCTCCCAGGACACACTACACCCACCACCCTTACTTCCTGGCCTCTTTCAGGCCATTGCCACTGTGTGCCTTCTGCCAAAGCCTTCTTTCCCCACCCAAGCCCCTGGTGGGGTGAGGGGCTCCTGGGTCACTGCTGTATATATCTTCTTTCCCCAGAGAAATAAATATCACTTCCAACATCAAGACGTGCTTTTTAAAAGAGGAATGGTGGGGGGAATACACTTGCTCCGTGTAAAACCATCGAAGGATCTAGAATCTATTTCCTGGGAAAGGACAGGCGTCCTGACCCCCACTTTTCTTCAACAGGGTGAGTCAGCTGGGTGCCAGTGGCTCACACCTGTGATCCTAGCTACTCAGGATGCAGAAATCAAGAGGATCATGGTTCAAAGCTAGCCCAGGCAAATAGTTCACAAGACCCTATCTCAAAAAATAATAAACAAAAAAAAAAAAATCACAAAAGGGCTGGTGGAGTAGTGCAAGTGGTAAGAGTGCCTGCCTAGCAAGTGTGAGGCCCTTAATTCAAACCCCAGTGCTGCCAAAAAACAAAAACTTTTAAAAACAGGGTGAGTCCACCCTTTGCTGTTTGGGTGTTTCGTTGAAATTGGTTTTTTGGGTTTTGTTCTTTTTTTTTTTTTCCCCCCGTGGTACTGAGGTTTGAACTCGGGGCTTTGCATTGAGAATGCAGGAGCTCTACTGTTTGAGCCTCAAACTTTACCTGGGCATGAAGGTCCATGCCTGTAATCCCAGCACTTGAGAGGGCTGAAACCGGAAGATCACTAGTTCAAGGCCAGACTGGACTATGCAGCCAAACTGACTGGAAAACATTTCTTCTTCTCTGGAAGAAGAGCTGCACTTTTTCTGGTGGCCAGAAGCTCCAAGTAGCTATTAGGGTCATAATTAAAAATTCAGTTCTGTTGGAACACCAGCAACATTTTAAGAATCCCAATAGCCCCCCCCGGCTAGTGGCTACCCTAATGCACCAGGCAAATATGTATCTGTATGATTTTGCAAACAGACCAATTTGTCCTAGGTCACAGAACCTTGGAGACAGCAACAAGTCCTGACCTCCTCTCTACCTTTAGTGGATATTGTCTTTTGGCTGGAAAGACAGGTGGGCAGTGACTAAGCAGCTCTCTGCTCAGTTCTCAGTTCCAGAAAATTCCCAGTAGGACCAACACTGAATCTAAATCCTGAATCCAAGTCAGGTCACATGTAAACACACCACATCTGAGCATCTCCCCCAGAAGGGGCCTGAGTGTGGGACATCTTCAGGTCATGCTGAGCAAGTGTAATCCAAGCTCATCTGTGTCCTGGGAACCCTTGGATCCACCTGCACCAGCCAAGAACCCCCCCAATCCTGCCTGCTATCAGCTCCCTTGGAAGCTGGAGCCAGAACTGGAGACCATGAGGCACCCATTTCCCAGCCCTGTGACACCAGCCATCTGTGAACCCCAACAGGTACTCACCAGGACAAAAACCTCAAGCAAGATGCCCCCCTGCCCTGGAATTCAGTCATTAACCCCTGCCACTGGTCAATGATCTGTGCCCCATGCCCCTGATCCCTGACACCCTCACTCAGACCCACTATAATAGGATCTGCCCCTGGTCTCTGAGTACAGCCTGGCATTACCAGGACCCTGGTACTAGGCTGCCTCAGTCCTATCTGTGTAAAGGGGTGAACAGAGTTGTGCTGGGGGAACAAGCAGAGAGGCCTGGCTGGTATTAGGTACTCAGAACCATTGACCATGGCCCATTCTTCTGTTTTGCCCCAGAACCATGAATGTCCCTCTGTATTCCAGATGAGAACACTTGATTAGCGAATATCCCTTTCCGGGTTTCATTATCACAGATCCTTGGCCTGTGCTCACCCTTCCGCACCAGGAATAAGCCTAGCGAGAAGGTATTGTCCTATGTGCTCACTGCCCTGGCCCGCCCCTGAGGGGAGGGGAGCAGGAAGAGGGAGCAGTGTTTCTTCTCTTAGACAAGGTCTAAAGACACTTCCATCTGAGCCCCAGCCTGGGGTACCCTGCTCTTGACACAAAGGGTCCTGTGCCAATCTCCCTGCTCTGGGGCCCCAACATGGATACTCCCCAGCAAAGAGCCTGCTCTTGTATTTTCAGTGGGGTCACGTTCTTGGCTGGGACACCCTGCATCTTGCAGGCCCAAAATGCACATTGAAAAGGTGACAAGTTTTTGCTTGTACACAGAAATGGGAACAAAAAAAACCCACTGACAACTGGCAGGCCATTTTTGGAAGGTTCACAGCCACTACCATTCCAAAGCTTGTGAGACAACAGTGAAAGGCTGGCCGGCATCTCCCTGGACACGTGTTTACCCCCGTGAGTAATTCTGTAGGCTTCTGGCCTTCCCCTGGGTGCTGGCAGGCCCTGGTAATAATTCTCAGTCTCCCAGTCTTGGTATGTTTGTGCCTCGCCATCTTTCCCCCTTCCCTTGCTATGCCTCGGATTTCTGCCTGGCCTTGTGGGAGTCTCCTGCTATGGGTAATTGGAGCTGCATATATCCAACTATCTTCCAGCTGAAAAAGCCCATCCTACAGATGACCAGGCTGATGGGGGCTGGCTAGTGTTGAACTGAGATCAAATTTAGATAGCTGGAAAGAGTGTTGGGGGGGGGGGGATGTTGCTGGCTGGTAGCTCAAGTTGTAGAGCACCTACCTGGCAAGCACAGGCTGAGTTTGACCTCCAGTACCACCAAAAAAAAAAAAAAAAAAGTTCATAGTTCATTGGTGACTTACTCTAGATCTTGAATGCTACTGCTCATCCTGAAAAACCAGGACTCTAAAATCTGTAATGATTCTGACAAGATTCTAGAATTACTGAGTTCTTCCTCAATTTCACTCTCAAGGGCACCTACAACACATTTCACCTGTTGATCAACCCAGGGTTTTGAACGCAGTTCAAAAATGCTGCTGATGGACCTCCAAAGGCTTAACATTCTTACCCTAGATCCCTGAACTTCAACATGTTACAATCATTTTAGGATTTTACTTTAAGAGTGGGTTCTGAGCTGGGCGCTGGAGGCTCATACCTGTAATCCTGGCTACTCAGGAGGCAGAGAACAGAAGGATCACTATTTGAAGCCAGCCCCAGTGAAATAGCTCATGAGACTCTATCTTGAAAATACCCAAGACAAAAAAAAAAAAAGCTGGTGGAGTTCTGCTTTCTCCTAGCAAAGAGTATGACCAAAGCAATGACACATGACATCCCACATCAGGATTTAAAATTGCCTGGCTTCCTTCTGGCCCTCTCCTCCATCACTCGCTCTGAGAAAGGCCAGCCAACTATGTTGTGAGGACGCTCAATCAACCCTTGGCCACGTCCACACAGCACAGAACCGAGGCCTCCAACCCACGGCAACTCACTTTGCAAATGGATCATGTAACCCCAAACCCTAGGATGTCTGCACCCTAGCTAACATCTGGCCTGGACCTTCGTGATGGACCTTAGGAGAGTTTTGTCTCCCCATATCACCCCTGCCCCTAGCTCTTCATAAAGTGTGAAATTGTTTGCTGTTCAAGGTCATTAAATTTCAGGGCTAGACACACACACAGGCTCAGGCCACCACCCTCCTGGGGTTCTGGGAAAGTCCCTGTGCAGACCTGCTCCCCCACGCCGCAGGACAAAGGCACTCCAGCCTAATGATAAAGTGTTTGCCGTTGGGTTTCGTTTGGCTGGTTGTGTGTACACAGTGTATACAAGGTGAGTTGTACAGAAGCCCAAGAAAGAGCAAGAGACAAGGGCTGGAGGGGACAGAGAAGGAGATGGGGCAGAGAGGGCAGGACCAGGAATGGGGACCAATTAAAAAATAGAACCACATCCAGACGACAATGGGACAGGGCCATGGGTGAGGGACAGACACAGACAAACTGCTGTAGAAAAGGAGTGGGAGGGGCAGAGGGAGGGGACCCGTCCCCCCACCACCTCCACAGCCCCTCCCACCCACCCTAGGTATGTACAATAAATAAGATCAAAAATAATTAACAAGATGCGTTTTCCCCTCCCACCCGACACTGAATGCCCTGGGGAGGGAATGGCCTTTAGCAAAGATCATGGCCTACAGGGGGCGCTGGGGAAGGGAATGGGGTCCCCCAGCTCTCGGAAGCCGCCATGCCCTGCTCAACCATACATAGACTTTTCCTATACATATGTACAAGGTGGAGGGGGCAGGGGCTATGGCCGTGGAGGGGGGGACTGGGCTAAGGGGAGAGGGAAACCGTTACTAAATAGACATTTATACATATATATAAATAATTTCTCTGTACACCGAACAGTGGGAGGGAACAGGAAGGGAATAGAGAGGGCTCGGGAGAGGGGGGGAGTCAAACTTTGAACCCTGCCCTGGGGGGGGCAGCATGGACACACCCTGACCAATGATCCCCCTTCCCCGGCAGCAACAGAGCCCAGGGGTCAGCTCCTGAGGACACAGTTCTGTCCCAATTCTTGGTTCATGGAGGAAGAGCCCCACAGGCGGGATGGTCACCCACAGCGACTGTGGGCCTGTGCTTGGGCTAGCAGGTCACTGAAGGAGTCAAAGAGCTGTTCCAGCCACGGCTGGTTCCGCATGCACTGCTGCACCACCTCCTCCTGGCCCAGGTCCTCAGCACCGCCCTCAATGGCCAGAGTCTGTGGGAGTGAAAGAGGAGCTGCGAGGGATGGAAGCAGCTTCTGCGGGGAGGGGGGAGCAAGGTTCCCAGGGAGGAGGAATGGAGCTAGATTCAGAGGTCCAAGAGAAACAGAATTTGGGAGTCCACAACTCTTGAGACTGAGGGAGGAAAGCTGGGTCTGAGGGAGGAGAGCTGGGGCCTGGACTCCTGATCCAGAGAGGAAATGGTGAATGTTGGAACCCCAGGGTGACGGGTGCTCCGGAGAGGCTCACCTGGTCCCGGCAGCGCAGGAAGGTGTGGTATTTATAGTGGTGGAGTGAATGGTAAAGGGTGTAGTACCCTGACTTCTCCAGCTCAACCTTGAACTCCTGGGCAGACAGACCGGGTAGAGACACCTCAGCCCCTCTGGCCAGCCCTGCACAGGTTCTCCCCTCAGCCCCCCCACTGCCCACTTCCTGCAGCCCCCACCTGGGCTCGGACCACGCTCCTCTTCAGCTTGCTGAGGGTCTTGCGGTTGTAGGGTTCCCCGGCTGGCCGCAGCCGCACAGCTCCCTCTTCGGGGGAGCCCTCCCCACTCTGCTCCACTTGCAGCTGTGGGAACGTGTGCAGGGCGTCCTGTGGGAAGCCAAGGGATCAGTGGGCCTCCTCTGGACCCACACTACAACCTAATACTCTTGGGTTATCATATGCCTCAGTTTCCCGAGGCTGTGATCAGGAGAGATACTCAGGCAGTTTGACCTTCTCAGAGGACGTAGAAGCCTTACACTGTTTCTTCTGCTTCAGCCTAGAAGTGCTATGTCCTACCCAGAATTCTCAATGCCAGCCAAAATTCTGTCCCAGAATTCCCAGTGACAGCCTAACAATATACCCCAGGATTTTCAGTCAGACTAATATCCTACATAGAATTCTCGGTTACCCTAAATGTTCCAGCCAATTTCTAAAATCTGACTAACGTTCCTCTTATAATTCTCAGACCTATAATAATATTCTATGCAGAGAAACTACAACTTGGGTTGGCTGATTATTTTTTTTTTCTTTTTGACTTTACAGTGGGATGAAGCAATCTGCTCTTAGTAGAAACTGTACTTGGAATTTTGAATTCTGCTGTTTTCCTGGGTAGCAATATAGGTTCAGATCTGCTCGAGAAGCCCCATGTTCATGGCAAGACAGAACCACTCTCCGTGTGCCCAGTTGCTCAGCTATGCTGCTCAGATTGGGAGGCAAAATGCATCCTTTTGTTGTTGTTCTTTTTGATTTTTTGAGACAAGGTCTTGCTATGTAGCCAAGGCAGCTTGGAAGTGCTGTAATTACAAACATGTGCCACCATGCCCAGCATTAAATGCATTTTGGGTTTTTTTTTTTTTTTTTAGTTTGGCAGTACTAGGGTTTGAACTCAGGGCTTCATGCTTGCTAGGCCGGCACTCCACCACTTGAGCCACGCCTCCAGCCCCATTAAATACACTTTTGATTTGCAATACTTTTCAACTTAAAATGTGTTGACTGGGGACGTGACCCTACGATAATACAAGGATTCTCAACATCCCACTCAGACGCCTAGTGCCAGTCTGATGACCAATCTTGGAATTCATACACTGGACTAACATCCTCCAGAACTCCCCAAGCCACCTAGCTCTATCCCAGAATCTTCCAAACCAGCATTAACAGTCTATGATAAAATTCTCAGCCCCAGTCTGACAACCCATTCCAGAATTCTATGTCATCCTAACATCCTACCCAGAATTCTCAGTGCAACTAGCATCCTACCCAGAATTCTGAGCGCAACCAACATTCCATACAGAATTCTCAGCACAGCAAACATTGTACCCAGAATTCTAAGCCCAACTCAGATCCTACCCAGAATTCTGAGCCCAACCAACATTCTATCCAGAAGTTTTTTTTTTTTTTCTTTTTTCTTTTTGTGGTACTAGGGTTTGAACACAGGGCCTACCCCTTTAGCCACTCCACAGCCCTTTTTTTGTGATGGGTTTCTTTGAGATAGGCTCTACCCAGAATTCTCTTTGTTTTTTATTGAACGCTTCATGAATTTGCATGTCAATCTTTCCCAGGGGCCGTGCTGATCTTCTCTGTATAGTTCCAATTTTAGAACATGTGCTGCCGAAGAAAGCACCTACCCAGAATTCTGAGTGTTAACTAATGTCCTACCCAGATCTCTGAGCAGAAAATAACCTCCTACCCAGAAGTCTGAGTGCAACTAACATCCTACCCAGAACTCTGAGTCCAACTAACATTCTACCCAGAAGTTAACTGATGTCCTATCCAGAACTCTGAGCAGAAAATAACATCCTACCCAGCAGTCTGAGTCTACCTAACATCCCACCATGCATCTGTCTCAACCGTATATTCTACCCCAGAACATTCATTACACCCAGAATTTCTACAACCAGCCTTAAAACCATCCCAGAATTTGAAGTCACTGTAACATTCTTAGTGGCAGACTAAAGACCTGATCAAAATCCTCAGTGCCACATTTACAATGTATCTCAGAATTCTCAAAGCAACCCTCATGTTCCATACCAGCACATTATAGGCCACTCCAAAGGGGAAATCATAGAGTTGACTGAGCCCTGAAGACTGGAATTCTAGGAGCCTACATCAGATCAACAGAGGCTGAGGAAGTGGACTGTCCTAGAGCCAGCTGTGGCTGTAGACCCTGGTCTATCTTTTGTCCTCACTCTTGTGTTCCACAGCTGTCCTCTGCTAAGTCCTCGATAATTTAACAACACCTCCACCCAGAGAACAGCCCAGAGGCCTCGGGCTCTCATCCCTGCCCAGGGCTGTGGGAATGTACACACCATCCTCACACCCGTCCTCACCTTCCTCCCAGCTAGGCCTAGGAGAGGGAGCCTTTCCAATGATCCCCCTACAGGCAGGGTGCTCAGGAAACCTGACAGTGGCTGACACTACAGGTCTTCATATCTGACTCTGGGACCCAGGCAGATGCCCCCCTCCCAGGCCCCCAAGCACCTGCAGGGCTGGGCTCAGTGACAGCCGCTTCAGGACTTTTTTCTTGTGCTCATTCAGTAGACCATCGATCTTCCTCATGGGTGGGAGGTACAGCTCGTCTGGAAGATTAGGGAGTTAGAGCACCACAGCCCAGGCCAAGGAGGGACCAATGGCTGGGCCCCCAAATCCTCTGCTCCCATAGACCCAGGAATCCAGGTTCTGGCCCTCCTCCCTCAGACCCAGGGGTCCAGGCCCCAGCTCTCCTCCCCCAGACCCTTTGGCACAGGCCCTAGCCCCTAGCCCTCCTCCCCAGGCCCAGCCTTCCCCAGAGGCCCGCTCACCATGCGTGTCTTCCAAGGCCTGGATCATATCAGGGTCGAGCGCCGTGCTCACCAGCATCTCCACATAGCTCCGGTACATCTCTCGCATTGCCCGTGTCTTCAGCAGGCGCCCAGGTACTGCCCGCTCTGGGAGAAAATGGGGGTACACTCAATATTCCATTTCTCTCTAAGGATACCTGTGAGGTACACAGTGCTCTCAACAGCAAGGACCTGGAGTGAAGTTCCTGCTCTTGGGGAGGCCCAAGTCTGCTGGGGAGGATGAACAGACAAGCACCAGTTAAATGTACACTGCAATGAGCCAGGGGCAGAGGACCAGGCTGAACTGGGATGGGCTGTGGGAATGAAGGGGGGAACTAGGAGCAATTAGGGCAGGAGGACCATGGCTAGGACAACCCAACTGTGGAGGTGAGCAGTAGGGTAGGATCCAGAGAAGAGGCAAGGATGCCTGTGTCGTCACCCCCCCCCCCCCCCCCCGTGGTTGGTCTGGGCTGGTGACTGCATAGCCATAACAATCGCCCCATGAAAGGGAAACCAGGACAAAAAGATCTAAGCTCAGAGATGTGCAGGTTTGAAGAAGGTCTAAGGGGGAGTGGGGGAAGAAACAGGGCTGGCACTCATGAGAAAGTTGTGGAAGCCTGCCAACCAGAGCTGTGGAATGAGAAGCAACAAAACCACAGAGTGGCTGGGTGTGGCTCACGCCTGTAATCCTAGCTACTCAGGAGGCAGCATCAGGAAGATCAAGATTTGAAGGCAGCCCCAAGCAAACAGTTCTGAAACCTTATCTCAAAAAACCCATCATAAAAAAGGGCTGGCAGAGTGCCTCAAGCAGTAAGAGTGCTTGCCTGGGAAGCATAAGGCCCTGAGTTCAAAACCCAGTGCTACAAAAAAACCCAAAAAAACAAAAAGAGCTGGGCACTGGTGGCTCATGCCTGTAATCCTAGCTACTCAAGAAAGAGACAGAAATCAGGAGGATCATGGTTCGAAGCCAGCCCAGGCAAATGGTTTGCAAGACCCTATCTTGGAAAACCCTTCACAAAAATAGGGCTGGTGGAGTGGTGAAGACCCTGAGTTCAAGCCCCAGTACCAAAAAAAAAGCCAGACATGTCTGGTATATGAATTAGATCGATACACCTATTTAAAAAAAAAAAGATGAGGCCTGGGGATGCAGCTCAGTGCCTAGCATGTGCAAGGCCCTGGGATTCCATCCCCAGCATTGCAAAAAAAAGAGAAGAAAGGATGTAGCTAGGTGTGGTGGCCATCCCTGTAATACTAGCAACCTGGGAGGCTGAGGCAGGAAGACCAAGAAGTTCCAGGCCAGTGTACTCAAAGAGTTTATATGAATTTACAATAAGCCAACACATAACTACTTAAAATGATTCCTGGAGCAGGCTGGAGGCGTGACTGTGTTATTGTGTCTGCCTAGCAAGTGTGAGGTCCTGAGTTCAAACCCCAGTGCCAAAAAGAAAGCAAACAAAAATGATGCCTATCCCATGGTTAGTATTCAATAAAAATCAGCTATAATTTGTTACTTTACATGTGTACTTATTTGTGTGTATACAAACACACACATGCACACACATATACATATTTTTTTTTTGGTGGGACTGGGGTTTGAACTCAGGGCTTTGCACTTGCAAAGAAGGCATTCTACTGCTTGACCCACACCTCCAGTCCATTTTGCTATGGTTATTTTGGAGATGGGTTATTGAGACATATTTGCCTGGGCTGGCCTCTAATCTTGATCCTCCTTATCTCAGCTTCCCAAATAGCTGGGATTACAGGCATGAGCCACTGACCCTCAGCATTTTTGTTGTTCTAATTGTCACAAAACAGACATCGCTCTAAGCCCTGGGGACACAGCACTGCACCAGACAGACATGGTGTTCCCACAGGGTGCCTACTCTCGGCAAGCAGTCTTCTACCTGCTCCACCTACTATCAGTCCATTTTACAGGCGATGTAACTGAGGCACCAAAAGACCATGTTCTTTCCTCAGGGTCACCCAGGGAGTCACAGGAACCACCGCCATCTCGGGGCCCCAGGACAGAGGCTGGTCCCCCATCTTTCCTAGCCCCTGGCACCTGCCTAAGATGAGGCAAAGAACCCCCCTTGATGTACAGAGCCTGGGGTGCTGCAGCTGCTTCCAGCTTTGCCAGGGTACCCAATACCCCTCTGTTTGTGCCTCAGTTTCCTTATCTGTATGTAGGGTGAATAACAGTGTCTGCCTCAGGATTGCTGGAAAAACTAGTAAATTAGTACGTACAAAATTCTTAGCAGACATCCTGTCACAGAGGCAGGTACCACATTAAGTGTTAGCTTCAACTATTTGGTACTTGTCACTGTCTTGCTAAAACTGCCTGGAACCCTCTGGACATTCCTCCTTCTGAAGGCCCAAGTCACCTCCCCATGCTTCCCCCTTAGCCTGCAGCTGCTGGGGGCCTCACCGTCCTCGCTGGGGGCCCCAGGGGACGATTCCGAGTCTGAGGAGCTGCCTGGGGGGGCTCCGCCCGCAGAGGCATTGCCCACTGCCTCCTTTAGCCACTTCTTCCTCTTCTTAGGGGGTGGCTCAGCCTTCACCTTGGTAGGCCGGGCCTTGGGGAGCCGGGAAGTAGCAGGCTGTCCTGTGGCCAGGCTGCGCTCGGGCCGTGTGTGCCGCCCACCAGTGGCCCGCTCGCCCCGCAACAGCCGGTCCCCACGCGTCACCCTCTCCTTCTCCTTTTCCTTCTCCATGGGCCGGGGTGGGGATGGCTTCTCAGGGGCAGGGGGCTCAGGCACGGCCGTCTCAGGCGTCTGCTCTGGGGGCTTCTCAGATGTCACCTTCTCAGGGGTCTCAGGCTTGGGCGGGGGTGGGGGTGCCTTGGGTGGAGGTGCGGAGCTGCTCCCAGCTGATGCGGGGCCCTTGGTCTGCCCGGAGCGTCTGGAAGAGTGCAGACAAGGGCTGCATTCAGCAACCCCAAAGAGACCCAAATTCCACTCCTCGGGACCCCCCAGTGCTTGCCACACAAGCACACTGTCCCTCACACTAGGTCACTGTCCCCCACCCTCTGCCACTCTACACTTTCCTTAGGGTCTCTGTCCCCATTTCCTGGCTCAATCCCTCCTCTCAAATGCTCTACCCCCATGCACACAGGACTTGTGCACTCTCTTCCCCTTCGTGCCCACTATCCATACCTGACTGGTACTGGGGGCCGATGCCAGGGTTTCCGGGCACAGACCCTCACATAATCCTTCTTGTTGACATTTTCTAGGAACTTTACATATAGGCGCTGGTACCGGTTTTTTGCATCCCCAAAATACCCCAAATACTATGGAAGGAAAGAGACAAGTGAGAAAAACCCTACACACTCACCTCCCCAGCCCCACAACCATCCATCACCCCCAGTGTGCCTCGGGCCACCATGGCAAGCCACCAAGCCTACCAGGAGCTAAAGACCCCTTTCCAGAACCAACTTTTAGAGCAAAGGTGGGTCATAACCATGCAGGAAGTGGACCCCTGTACTATGCACAACCCTGGGGTCCCCCAAGCCCACATACCCCACTGTGGGCTTACATTACTGGTAGCACAAAACTGCCTCTGGCCATCCTTGATCTCGGGCGTGAATTTCTGCAGGAGGGCCTTCTGGACTCGCCAGATGGGTGGCGGCTCACGCCCTGTTTGCAACGCCAGCTGAGGAGGAAGCATGCAACGAGGCCGGCAAGGTCAGCCCTCTTCCCTGCCCTGGCCTGCCTCACCATCCCCCTAGAGAAAAGGTAGAGTCACCAGGCAGGACAAGACAGCCACTAACAAGGCTCTTTGGGCCCCAAGATGTCTTCAGCCCTGGGGTGCAGCTTGAACCTGGCCCCATCATCATTTGTTTTTGCAGTGCTGGGATGGACCCCAGGGCCTCGTGCACGTAAGACAAGCACTCCCATCAAACCACATCCCAGTCCTTCAGTTGATCTCCAGCCAGCACCTCCAGCTGTAAGCCTTGCTCACACCCTCAGAAGGAACCACCCCAGTGAACACCTTGATCTTGGACTTCTGGTTTTGGTTTTGTTCTCTGCAGATTTTTTCTTTTTTGGCTGTACTAAGGTCTGAATTCAAGGTCTCACACTTCCTAGGCAGGCACTCTACCACTTGAGCTACTTTGCCAGCCCTTTTTTGGGGTTGGGTATTTAGGGTCTCACTTTTTTCCCAGGCTAGACTCAAACCACAATCCACCTGATTTCTGCCTCTGGAGTAGCTAGGATTACAGATGTACACTGCCAGCACCCAGCTCTTGCCAGGTAATATTCTTGATCAGGCTGTTCATTTCTGGGCCACAGGGTTTCATATGTTACATCTTTCCAGTGTGACAGTATAAAGCTTCCTGGTGACTTAAGTAATGACAAGCCCTGAGTATACCCATCCACCACTTGTCACATACACATCCTTGCTTGGCACTCGGTTACAGTGGCAAGGAAGATCCCTGCCGTGGTCAAAATCCTAATATCCTAGTGACACTCTTATGTTGAACCTAACAGGCTGGGGGTGTGGCTCAAGTGCTAGTGTGCCAACCTATTAAGCCTGAGGTCCTCAGTCCAAAACCAACTAATGCAATAAGTAAATAGCAAACCTAGCAAGTATTGATGATGTAAGGAGCTGGTCCCTCTGGGAGGTGGCTAAGACAAGACAACCTTTGTATGTGAGGGGACCACAAGGGGCCATCTAAGAGCCAGGAAGTTGCCATATCAGACAAAGAATCTGCTGACACCTTGACCTAGCATGTTCAGCCTCTAGGACTATGAAAAATCAATTTCTTGGGTTTCTAAACCACCCTGCCTATGGTATTTTGGTACAGTGGCCTGACAGGAGTAAGACACGACCAAACTTTTCACAGGGCCTTCATGTCACAGGTAAGCAGACAGATAAGTACACAAACAGAACAAGACAAATCTGTCATTTAAGCCAAAAACAGATGGATGACAGACTCCTCAGTTCAATTCATCAACCTACCCACCACAGGAAGGACACATGATTAGAACAGCTCCCTTGTCTGCAGCCCTTCTCCATCCCATGCACAAACTCAGACCCCCTACCAAGGTGTGCATGCCACAGCAGGGCACTGGCAAAAGTCATACTCAGCATCAGACCTTGAGGAGTAAAGGGAACAGCAGAGGCCAAGCATGGTGAGGCCTGCCTGTATGTAATCCCAGCTATTTGGGAGATGAAGGCAGGAGGATTGAGGTTCGAAGACAGTTGGAATAAAGTTAGCTGAGATTCTATCTCAAAACCAAGTCAGGTATTGATGGCACATACCTGCAGTTTTCAGCTACTTGGGAAGCAGGGGTAGGAGGACAGAGGTTCAAAGCTTGCCATAGGCAAAGTTAGGGTGAGACCCTATCAGAAAAATGAACTAAAACCAAAAGGCCTGGGGGTGTGGCTCAATGGCAGACTACTTGCTTAAACATGCTGAGGCTGACTCCTCCACACAGCTGAACCTAGGGGATAGACCTCAAATTCAATCTGAACCCAAGAATGCCTCCTGGAAAAGGTAATATCTAATTGTCTTCTGTAAGGGGCTGGTGTAGAAAAAAATCCAGATAAATAAAGAATAAGAACCAGGCACTGTTGGCTCATGCCGGTAATCCTAGCTACTTAGGAAGCTGAGATTGGGAGGACCACAGTTCAAGGCCATCCAAAGCAAACTGTCAAAGGGACACCCCCCCACACACCATCTCCAAAGTAACCAGAGCAAAATGGACTGGAGGCTTGGCTAAAGCAGTAGAGAGCCTGCCTGCTTTGCAAGTGGAAAGCCCTAAGTTCAAACCCCAGTCCCATCAAAGGAAAAAAAAAAAAAAAAAAGTGGGAACTGTTCCCCTGGTATTGTAGCAACTCAGGGATGAATGAAGAACAGTTTTTGCATTCAAAGAATCCAGAGTTGAGAGGTCAACCCCACTTTTCCAGTCTCCTCATGTCAATCATACCACTAACCACACCCACCACCATTTACTAGGAAGCTGCCCTGCCCACAGTTCCCCCAATGGAGGCCACAGCTGATTGGAAGAGCCCTGACCAATGGACAAGCAAATCAGATGGTATCGGCAATTGATTGCTAATGTCTTCTTGGAGCTCTGCACTCAGCAGCAGGGAATGCTGGAATCTATTAGTGATGTCTGCTGCAGGTTCCAGCTGAGGGCTGGTACACGCAGGCAGGCTACATGTATCCACTCTTGGTCTTGGGCAATTTACTTCACAACCTCATTTTTTGTGACTCTTGGATCAGCCAAGGGAGTGCAAAGAAAGGGTTACAATAAGCTACTGAAAATGAAGTCCACAAAGGGTCTTGCATGAGTGTCACAGGGTGAGGCAGAATAAGTCAGGGATGCAGAGGCCTTGACCCCCAGTCCTTTCTTCCAAGCCAACACAGTCCTTAGTCCCAGTGACCTCAGATGGAGATCCATTTCAGACACCTTGACCTGTTCCAAAAACCTCCCAGTGCCCCAAATGCAGAGTCCTTAGCCTGGCACAGAAAGCCTGAGCTTCAGGGTCCTCTCCCTAATTCTCTATCCTGCCCAGTAGGTCATCCAGAGTCCATACTGGGCCCCAGACATTTGTACATCTGGGTCCCCCCAACAGTGCTGCCTTTTCCCTCTCAACATGAATGTGACATTCCCCAATCTAGTCTCAGGAGCTTTGGAAGAAGTTGGGAGCCTCTCCCAAAGCCAAGAAACCTGGGCCCTCCCCAGGCCCCCAGATGAGTTCAGACTCCTCCACCCACCACATCCCACCTGGACTTGGTGTCTTTACCAAAGTCACTGTTCCTCCCAGGACTTCCACACCCAGTCATCAGGCAGGACCCTGGCATCATCCCTGCCCACTGCCCAGTCAGGGACCACCAGTCCCTCAGCCCCACTTTTCCAGTCTCTTCATGTCAATCGTATGACTAACCATGCCCACGTCCATTTATTAGGAAGCTGCCCTCCCCATGGACCCTACACAATGGAAGCCACAGCTGTCTGGAGTAACCAATGGACAGGCAAATCACTAATTCCACTCCTGGCCCACTGCTGATCAGAGCCAATGAGTTTTGTTTTTTTTGTGGTACTGAAGATTGAACTCAGAGCCTATACCTTGAGCCACTCCATCAGCCCTTTTTGGATGGATTTTTTTCAAGATAGGGCCTCAAGAACTATTAGCCTGGGCTGGCTTCAGACTGCAAGCCTCCTGATCTTTGCCTCCTGAGTAGCCAGGATTAAAGGCCTGAGCCACTAGCCACCCGGCACCAATCAGATTCTTTCCTGAGAATGTGAACTATGATGAGGTAAGCCATATGAAGCAAGCAGCAGAGATACAAGCGAGTGAACTACAAGCATTCAGGAATAGTATTAACAACAAAGTTTAGCTGTAGGGGAAAGGAGGCATGGTTCAACTGGTAGAACCATGCAAGTGCAAAGCCCTGAGTTCAAACTCCAGGACTGCAAAAAAAAAAGAAAGAAAAAGAAAGGGCTGGAGGCATGGCTCAAGTGGTAGACTGCATGCCTAGCATGTATGAGACTAAGTTCAACCTCCAGTACCAAACACCTTCTCCCCTGCAAAAAAAAAAAAAAAAGGCAGGTGCTGATGGCACTCACACTTGTGATCCTAGCTACTTGGGAGGCTGCGATGGAGAGGATCAAGTTTCAAGGCCACCCCAGGCAAACAGTTCATGAGACCCCATCTCCCAAAAAACCAGAGTAAAATGAACTGGAGGTATGGCTCAAGCCGTAGAGTACCTGCTTTGCAAGTGCAAAGTCCTGAGATCAAACCCCAGTCAAACAAAAAAAAAAAAAAAAAAGAAAGAAAGAAAGCTACAAGGATCCAGAACCTATGAACACTTGGTCCTGTAGGCCTGGAACATCCCCACTCACCTCCTTGTGTCCTTGCTGGCATAGGGTCCTAGCAGAACAGTGTCTAATGTCTTCAACAGCACTGACTCATCCAACCTTAACATACAAAGTCCTATGTGCTCTGCCCCTGTCCACCTCCCCAGCCTCAGTACTCATGGTTCAGCCACTTAACACCTTGCATCTAGGCACATCACAAACATGCCATGCTTCTCCTCACCACAGGGCCTTTGCATGGGTTGTTTCCTCTCCTTAAATGTCCTCCTTCTCTACTTTACATACATGGAGTATACATCTTGCTTCTTCCTCACAACATCCTCAAGAAGTGGGAGTTATTATTATCACTCCCTTTTCAATTCATGCTGAAATGGTATTTTGGATATGTGGTTCATTTCATTCATTCATTCATTCATTTTGGCATCACTGGGGTTTGAATTCAGGATCTCATGCTTGCTATGCAGGTGGCTCTACTTCTTGAGCCCCTATGCCAGCCCTTTTTTGTGTTGGATATTTTTTGTTGTTGTTGCTGTTGGTACTGGGGTTTGAACTTAGGGCCTACACCTTGAGCCACTCCACTAGCCCAATTTTTTTGTGAAGGGTTTTTTCAAGATAGGGTCTTGTGAACTATTTTCCTGGGCTGGCTTGAACCACGATCCTCGATCCTCCTGAGTAGCTTGGATTACAGGTGTGAGCCACTGGTGCCCAGCTATTTTATTCTTTAATGTTTTTTTTTTGTGTGTGGTATTTGATGTTCAACTCAGGGCCCAGTGCTTGCTAAGTAGGCACTCTGCCACTTAAGCCACTTCCTCAGCCCTTTTCTCATTATTGACAGAGGGTCTCATTTTGTGACTGGGCTGGCATGAACCACAATCTTCCTATTTGTGCTTCCCTGAGTAGCTGGGGTAACAGGCGCATACTGCCACACCCAGCCATTGGTTGACATGGGGTTTCCTGAACTTTTTGGCCAGGCTGACCTCAATCCATGACCTTCCTGATCTTACTGGACTCTCAAGTAACTAGGATTACAGACTTCAGCCACCAACTTCATTTTAATTTTTTATTGATGTGGGAATGAGAAAGTTTAAAGTCACACTTCTCGGCTGTGGATGCAGCTTGTGATTGAGTGCTTGTCTGGCCTACACAAGTCCTAGGCTCCATCCCAGCACTGCAAAAAAAAAACAAAAACAAACAAAAAACCCCACATATATGGCTCATATATTTCTACTGGGTTGTCGCTCTGGAACAAACGTCTTGAGGCTTTTTTGTTATTTTGTTGTGTTTTGTCACTATGTAGTTCAGGCTGGCCTCAAACTCTCTGTCCTCTAACCTCAGCCTCCTAAATGCTAGGATAACAGACATACATCATCATGCCCCGTGTTTTTTTAGTTGTCTTTTTGGGACAAGTGCCTCACTATGGTACCCAGGCCATTTGAAAACTCCTGGGTTCAAGGATTGTCCCAACTCAGTGTCCTGAGTACCTAGGACTACAGGCATGCACAATCATGCAAAGCTATACAATTTGAAAGGATTATAAGGCCGGTGGCATGGCTCAAGTGATAGAGCACTTGCTCAGCAAGTGTGAGGCCCTGAGTTCAAATCCCAGTACCGAAAAACAAAAAAAACTTAAAGGATTATAAAAACAAAAAGCGATGAAGAAGGTGTGACAGAGACTACACATGGCCCACACATCCTGAAACATTATCTGGTCCTTTACAGCAGAAGTTTGCCAAGCCCTGTGCAGCACTAGCTAGCTCACCAAGAGGACAGAGCATTCACAGGCACCTTCTGTGTACTGCAAACTGTCAGAGATCGGGACAAGCCACAACATGTGAGGCGCCACAATGTTGCAAGAGGGAAGTACTGATATGATCAGCCCTGTTGAGGAAACCCAGGCTCAGGAGGAAGGGCCACCAGCCCAGTTCTGAGGTAGCTGAGATTCGATCTAGCTCAAAGCTGGGCTCTGAACCCAGCAGCCAGCCTGCCCCACCCCCAAGGCACAAAAGAGAGTCCCCTGCTATCTGCATGGGTGGCTCCCTGTGCCCCCCATCCTCACACACTCCAGTTGTATTTTAAGCATCTGAGTCCTCACCTGGCCCCTTCCCCTGCCCCATACCAGCTGGGAAGTGGTGTCAGATGGCCCTGGCTCCATTCCCAGCTCAACAATTCCAGCTGATGGGTTCCTTTTCTCTGTATGTGGACTTCATCATCTGTGAAATGGGGATGGCTGAGTTCTCCAGTCCAGAGCCTTGTTTAGCACTGCTGGCCACTGTCAAGGCCAACATTTGACCAAAATGTACACAGCACACATCTGAGTCTGGTGCTGAGCCTATGGGCTCCAGGGACAGGCAAGTGAATTCCAAGCTGCAAAAGCCTGAGAAGGGGCTGGTGGAGTGGCCCAAATGGTAGAGCACCTGCCTAACAAGTATGAAGTCCTGAGTTCAAACCCCAGTGGTGGGGGGAGGGAGTGGAGCTTAGAAAGTAAGTATGTTATGAACTTGACCTTGACCTGTCTGAGCTTAAGTTTCCTGCTTTATAAAACAGGGCTAGTAATCTCTGCAAGGAAATATGTTTGTACAGGTAAAATGTGGCTGGGCAAGGTAGTTCATGTCTGTAACCCCAGCTCCTGGGGAGGCAGAGATTGGGAGGACTGTGGTTTGAGACCAACCTAGGCAAAGTTAGCAGAACCTTGTCTCAAAGACAAAATAAAAACAAAAGGGCTGAGGCTGTGGCTCCACTGGTACAGCACTTCCCTAGCATGCTCAAGGGCCTGGGTTCCATCCCCAGTATTGTCAAAAGAAAACAAAAATAATTTAAAAAAACCATAAAGAATAAATTCTGTGATGCATACAAAGTCATACCCCCAAGGAGAAAGCAGGCAAAACCTTTTTTCCACGCTGATGGCCACATCAATCTCAGAAATCAATTTTAACAATAAAATGAGTTAGCACTCACAGGTGCTAAAGGGTGACCCTGGAGACACATGAGGAAGAACCAGGGAGAGATACCTTAGACTCCAGACATTCGGAATGTTCTAGCAACTGGGTGGGGTAGTGGAGTCACGGATATTCATTCTAGCACTTTGCTTTATAATGTGTATTACCTCTTAGGCAGGTTCCTTTGCATGTGTTAAAATTGAGCTGAAAACACAGTATGGAAAAAAGCACAGGGAGTGGGGGACAAAAAGTACTAAACCGGGCCAAGCAGGGTGGTGCATATCTGTAATTCCAGCACTCAGGAGACTGAGGCAGGAGGATCATGAGTTTGAGGCCAGCTTGGGCTACACAGCTAAACACTGTCCAAAAAAAAAAAAAAAAAAACAAAAAACCCAGAGTGGTAGCTCAGAACTGTAATCCCAGCTACCTGGGAGGCAAAGATTAGAAGGATCATAGTTGGAGGCTGGCCAGGGCAAAAACCTGAGACCTTATCCAAAGAATAACTAAAGCAAAAATGGCTGGGGTGTGTGAGGTTCAAGTGGTAGAGCGTCTGCTTAGTAATCATGAGGACTTGAGCTCAAACCCCAGTAGCACCAAAACAAAAAAAGAAAGAAGAAAGTTCTAGAGTGGAGTAGGAATGGGACTGGCTGGAGGGTGGACATAGTGGAAACTGAATAAAGGGTTATCTATACTTATCCTACTTTTCCCACAATAAAGATTAAAAGTAGTATGGGAAAGGCAGGCACCAGTGGCTTACGCCTGTAATCCTAGCTACTCAGGAGACAGAGATCAGGAGGATCGAGGTTCAAAGTCAGCCTGGGAAGATAGTTCACAAGATCCTGTTTTGAAAATACCCAACAAAAAAAATAAATAAAAGGGCTGGAGGAGTGACTCAAGATATAGGCCCTGAGTTCAAGCCCCAGTACCACAAAAAAAAAAAACCAAAACAAAAAGAACACATTAGTTTATGTCACAAAACACACTCATGAAGAAAGCACAATATAGCAGCTCTTATCCTCATAATTAATTCATCCCATAATCTCTCCATCCATATTTCAGTAGAACCAACTCCCAAGACTTAGCACAACAGAATAGGGCCATCCAGGACCACACCGGATCCTGACCTATGATTGATGTACAGTCAAAGACAGTGAATGACATGGAAAACAGCCTTTGGTGCCACCCTCAGGGTGACAGTGGTCGGCTAACCCACTAAGAATCAGCTCTAATGCTCACAGGAGCTCCTACGTCATCCTCCACTCAAAGCACCTATCACATAACTCCAACGATCTGACCCCCACTCCCTACAAACCAAACACCCCTAAAGGTCACAAGGTCTTTTCCAAAACAGGCCAGGCGAGAAGACAAGTATCTTTTGCTGTTTGAGCCAACTCCAATCTGCCAATGGATGGGGCAAATACCCATAAACAATAGGTAAGTGAATGAGTATGGTTGTGTGCCAATAAAACTTTATTCACAAATACAGGCTGAGCATTGGATTAAGCCTGGAGGCCACAGTGTGCCAACACTTGCTGTGAGTAATAAGTAGGCAGACTACACAGAACATTTAAGATACAACCTGGCTGGGCACCGGTGGCTCATACCTGTAATCCTAGCTACTTAGGAGGACTGCAATTCAAAGTCAGCCTGGGCAAACAGTTCACAAGACCCCCATCTCCAAAATAACCACAAAATGAACTGGAGGTGTGGTTCAAGTGGTGTGAAGCCCTTGAGTTCAAATCTCAGTCCCACCAAAAAAAAAAAAAAAAAAAAAAGATACAGCCTGAGCACTATGAGCACTCCCAAGCCATCAGCTGTTAATTTTGTGCATTAGTTGTGTTATGTCAACACCTCCATTTCTACCACTGTGGCAAAAACTGCAGGCATTCTCTCTTGGCTCGTTGGGCTATGTTAGAAGATCCCTAAGAACAGGGTTGCACCTGCATCATTCCCTACCTCACCCTAGGTACGCCAGCAGCAGAACTGTAAGACAAATTTACAACGCTTATAAAACCAAGTTTGGTAGCATATGCCTGTAAGCCCAGGTACACAGGAGGCAAAAGTAGTAGGATGGAGAGTTCCAGGCCGGCTTGGGCAAAACTAGAGACCCTGTCTCAAAACCCAAATACAAACAAAAAGGCTGGGGTTATGTCTCAAATGGTAGAGGGCTTGTCTATCAGGTACTGCTAAAAACCCAAGTATTGCAAAATAAAAAAAAAAGAACTCAGTTCTTTTATACGTAATGCCCATACACATACACAAGTAGCATCTCAAGAGGCCCCATGCCCTCTGTTAGACCAAGTGTCCCAGCTGGCCACCTCTATCAGCTCCATCAAGACCATGGACTCACTTGGCGGAGTGGCTCAAGAAGTAAAGCACCAGCTTAGCAAGCATAAGCACGGGTTCAAATCCCAGTACTGCCTAAATAAATAAATAAAAAGACCATGGACTCGAGGTCCCCAGAAAGTCTGTCTCAGCCCGCCTCGTGGTCAGATACATGAGGCCATTTGTGGACTCACCTTGAGAGAGGGGATGTCCTCAGCCCTGATGACAAACTCGTCCCGCTCTCGGAAGATACCCTCTCCGCCACTCTCCCCGGCCTCCTCATCCGTTTCTCCACACACGGCTGCAGTCTCCTGCTTCTTGGCCAGGTGCAGAGGCCTGGCATCCGGTGGTTCAGGCTCCTCTGGGGACGGGGCAGCAGGCTCCTCAGGAGGAGCAGCTGGTGGGGGTGGTGGTGGTGGTGGTGGCGAGGGCAGGGTTGGTGGAGGTGGTGGCTGTGGTGGAGGCGGGGAGCTGGCTGTGGGGGCCACCAGTGGTGGTGGTGATGGCAGGGCTGAGGGCAAGGCTGGGGGTGGCGGAGGGGGTGGTGGAGGCTGAGGCGTTGGGGCAGGAGGTGGGGAAGGTGGGGGCTTCTCTTCCAGCATCGGGGGCTCTGGGGGAGAGAGGCATGTCAGGACTAGATCCCACTTACTGTCCCTAGCACGTCTTTTGTCCTCAAACATGCCCTCCTGTGGTATCAGCAGTTCCTCGCTCCCAATTCCCACTCAGTACCCTAGCAGCTCTGTCACATTGAATCTCTTCAGGAGACCCTTTTGAGGTTCCTGCAGCTATATGGAGCCCCAAAACCATCTTCTACCTCTGGTATCCTTTTCAGTCCCATTTCTGTGCCCTTCATAGCCCTCATCTGGCTCTAACTCTTGATATTCCCTGACTCCTAAGTCACCCCCTCCCTGCTTCTATTTCCTCATTTTTTCCCGGGGGTTCTCAACATGACCTGCTACCCAGTCTGGGGACTGTCACTGCCCTCCCATCTCCCTATCTGCCAACTCCCTTTTGCATGCCCTCCTTACTCCTCTGTTATTTCCTTGAAATTCCACAACTCCTAAAATTGCTCCTTCTCTGACCCTGTGTGCTTAGCCAAGACCCTGTCTGGCCCTTCCAAGGCTCCCCAGTCCTGTCCTAGCTCCACCATGACTGACCCTTACACTCTGGTTAGAACACTCTAGCCTTTCTCATCTTTCCTAACACCTCCACTCAGCCTCACCTCTTATTTCAGTTCCTGCTTTTTCACAACCCCTTTAAAGGCCTAGCTGTACCTAAAGACCCTTGAGCCCTCTGGGGGTTTGAACTTAGGGCTTGGTACTTACTAGGCAGTCACTCTTATCACTTGAGCCACACCTCTGGTCCATTTTGCTCTGGTTATTTTGGAGATGGGATCTCAAGAACTATTTGCCTCAGCTGGCCTCGAATTTAAATCCTCCCAATCTCAGCCTCCCAAGTAGCTAGGATTATAGGTGAGTCTTTGACACACAGCAGACTTTTTACTTTGAGATCTCATTATGTAGCCCAGGTTGTCACATGATCCTCCTTCCTCAGCCTCCTGGGTGCTGGGATTATAGTTGGGTACCAACCTGCCTAGCTTTCAAGCCTGATTTAAGTACCTCCCAAATGCTCTGCTCCAACTCCCGATATCCCATTAAATTCTATCCAAAACCCATCTCAAGACAGAATTCCACCCAGCCCTATGTACTGCTGGCCTTTCCCTCCTGCCTGTCACATGAAAGCCCTCTCTGCCCCAGACACCTTTCTGCCCATTTTGTACGTGGCTTACCCTCCTTTTTGGTGATGCTGGGAATGGAGCCCAGGGCCTTACAAGTGTTAGGCAAACTCTGTACCACGCAAGTCCACCCCTAGTCCTCGTGGATGACTCCACAGTCAAAGTTTCAAAACCTCTTTCAGTACCCAACCCTGTCCCCATCACTTATAGCCTGCTCCTGTCCCCAGCCTCCTCCAGGGCCCAGCATGCAGCCCCTGCTAGTCCACCCAGGACCCCTGAGCAGCACACCAGAGACATATGCTCCTTCCAGAAAGGATTTCTTTCCCTCAGTCAGGAAATCACCTTTGCAAATTTGCATGACTACAACATCTGCCACGTGACAAGAATCCCTTAAGCAGTGTGTGAACTGCACAACCGTATCTGGTGACTGTAATAACCCCCATCTCACTCCCAGACAACCCTCTAGGAGCTCACCAGGCGTGCCATTGGTGTTGGCACTGGGGAGCCCAGGGAGAGGCGGCGGCCCAGGGACTGCAGCTGTAGCGGCCAAGGGTGGCCCCTCTGGGGTAGGAGTGTCCTTAGGTCCAGCAAGGGGCGGGTCATCCAGGGCAGAGATGGCCGACGAGATGCTCTCCTGTAGGTCTCGGTTCTTGGCCACAGAATCCTCCTCATCAGAGGAGAAAGAGGGCAGGGTCTCGAGGTTCCGTTTCAATTCCTCGTCCAGCCGCTTGCAGGGCGAAGGGCAGCCCAGCCCCAGCCCCTCACTCTCCGCTGCCTCCAGTGCACCCCCCAGTCCAAAAGCGCCAGCAGGTGGGGGGTGCGGCACGGTGGGCGCAGCAGATGGCTGGGGCTGCAGGCCTCGGGCTGGCACAGAGGGTGGAACGCTCTTGGGGGGGCTGAGAGGTGGCGTCAGGCCTGCCTGGTAGAGTGGTGGGTGACGCTTGCCTGACTTGAGGAAATCCAAGAAGGATGCCATGAATCCTGACTTCATCTCTGGCTGCTTCTCCTCCACTTCCTTGATCTTGGCCTCAATCTTTTCCCGAGTCAGGCTTGAATCCAGGCTGTTGTGGTCAACACCAGAAATGATATCGCCCGATGAGGCTCCCAGACCCTCACCAGCCTTGGGCACAGACAGCTTTATCTAGATATGGGGGCAGAGGAAAGTCAAGCCTAAGAGTCCAGGCCCCAGCCCAGAAGTCTAAACCCCAGCCCCTCTTCCCTCAGATCCAAGAAGCTAGGTCCCAGACCTTCTGTCCCTCCTCAGACCAGAACATCACTGAAGACCCAAAAGTCCAAATTCTCATATTCCAGCCTGTGTAATCCCAGAACTCTTTTCAGGAGGCAGGCAGGGCTGCAGCTCCTCCCTCAGAACTTGGTTCTGATTGCTCATTGGCCAAGAGACCCCCAGTTCCTCCCGAGAACCAGACACACAGGACCTAATTATTCATACTTTATCACCTAGGACCCTAACTCTAATCTCTTGCCCCCTGCCAGAACCCAACTGCAATTCTCAGATCTCAGGTAATCCTGGGATTCCCTGGGATTGACCTCTTCACAAGTTTTGGGGATGTAAACCATATATCCCTAGATCAGATTATGACCTTAACACTTTCTGTACAACTCAAGATGTCCCAGCCCCAACCCCTCCTAGAACCCATCTCCTTACCTTAAGGGGCTTCAGGGGCTCCAACCGGGTGCCCCCTGCCTCCTCCGACTTCCTGCCTCTACCTCGACCCCGGCCCCGGGGCTTTTTGGCCCCATCACTGGACATGGAGGCTGAGGCTGGCCCTGCAGTGGTGGGACCCTCCAATGGGCGGATCCGGGGTCTTCCCCGAGGCCGGGGTGGTCCATCGCGCTTTGCCTTGGTGGGTTTGCGGCCACGGCGCCGGGGTCCATCAGGGCCTGGGTTTGGTGGACAGAAGTCGATGTCACCTAGAGGCGAAAGGGCTGGCCGCGAGCGGCAGCTGGACACCAGGTCAGGCAGGCGTCGGGGGTTGAGGCGGATATCTGCAGGCACATCGGCCTTGTCCTCATCTGCCTCAAACTCATATTCCTGGGCATATAGCTTCTTGGGTGTCTGGAAGGGTGGGTCTCGGCGTCGCAGCAGGTGGAAGGATGACGTCTTGAGCAGCTTCTTTGGCTTGGTTGAGCAGAAGATAGGCGAGGTGAGGCCACCCTTGGGCTCGGAGGCAGGCGGAGGAGGTGGTGGTGGAGGTGGGGGTGGGGGTGCTGCCTGGTGGGGCCCACTTTGGATCAGGCCTAGTGGCTCAGCGTTGACCGTGGAGGGCAGTTCAGGGGGTTTGCTGGGGTCCAGGCCCAGACCTGGAGTCTCAGGCCCAGCTCCAGATGCCCGACCTGGACAGTAGGGCCCATAGGGGTCATAGGCAGGGGGACCTGGAGGTGGTCCAGTGCCTGCCTTGGGGTCACCCTCGTCCTCAGGCTGCCCAGCCTTTCCATAGTCATCTGCGGCCCCTCCACCAAACATCTCCTCCATGGTGGGAAAGAAGCTGCGCTCCTCATCCTGGAGCAGGGAGTCGGGAAAGCAAATGGAGGTAAGCGGCACAAAGCGTGGGGCCTTGGTGCCTTGTGGGCTGGGACTTCGGTAGGCGCCTGCAGGATCCTTGCCCTCAGAGTTAGGTGGGCCCACACCAGTGTCACCAGGCCCTGGGGGCAGTGGCTCCAGAGCCCCAAGCAATTCTTGCATGGCACCTGGAGGCTCCAGGCCCTCCTCAGGTCGAAGGCGGGGGCTGGGGGCTGCGGGCTCCAGGCCATGGCCTCGGAGATGGGCCTCAAGCTGCAGTGGCATGGGTGGTGGAGGTGGTGGTGGTGGTGGAGGCGGCTGGGGTGCCCCTTCACGTGTGCCTGGCTCAAGGAGGTGGACGCCAACTTTGGGGGCGCTGGGAGAGGGACTGGGAGCATGGCTGAGGACTGAGGGAAGCAGCTGGGGGGGAGGTGGAGGCAATACAAGAGGGAGGTCGGGGCCTCCAGCCTCCAAGAGGAGGCCATGGGGGTTGGGCTGGGTTGGCTGGGCTGTGGGAGGCGGAGGTGGTGGACTCTTCTGCAAGAAGGCCCCTAGCTCCTTGGCACCTGCACCATAGTGGACGACTGAGGTGGCCAGCCCCTCTGGGGTCTCACCACCCCGTTCTGGCCCTTTCTTCTTCTCCTTCAACCTCCCCAGGCCCAGCTCAAGGGCTGCTGTGGCACCCTCGTCCAGGCTGGCACTGGTACGGATGACACTCTGTAAATGGTACCTTTGGGGGTCTTCCTTGGCCAACTCATAGGGTGTGCCTGGTGGCCCCCCAGCCCCACCACTCCCACCAAGTCCCTTGGAGGCATCTGCTGCCCCATCCTCGCCCACCAAGCCATCAGCCCCTGAAGTCCGCGGGGGGCTGGGCGCCTGCAGGAGATGCTGAATAAGGAACTCCTCATCCTCAGTGCGCTCAGCCGGAGGCCCACCAGGGCCTGCCAGCAGCTCTGAGCCATCCCCCTTGCCCTTGTAGCCACCTGCTCCAGCTGCATAGCTGCCAGCTCCAGGGGGTGCCAGAAAGGGAGCGGAGGCTAAGACTGAGCTCAGGTATTTGCCAGGGGCTCCCGGGGAGCCAACTCCAGGTGGGCGGCCAGTGGCAGGTGGAGACTGGAGAGGGCGGATGATGTGAGAGGGGCTGGCCTCCCCACCACCTCCCAAGGAGCTGGGTCCCCAGCCACCTCCATGGCCTGAGAGCGCTGGGGAATGGCCAGTGCTATAGCTGAGCGAGGGGCTGGCTGTGGGCAGCCCCTGGGAGTGGGCAGCTGGTCCTGGGTACGGTTCACCCTGCACTCCATAGAGCTGCCCCTGCAGCTGATCTGGGGAGTAGCTCTGACATGTGGCTAGGCCAGGAGGTGGGGGGCCACTGGGGGGCTGAGGGGGACCCCCAGAGTAGCTGGGGCCTTTGCTTAAGTCCTGTGCTTGACCCCCTCCAAACCCCTGCCCATAGGCCTGAGGTCCCAGAAGCCCTTGGGGCTGACCAGGGGAATAGGCCTGGCCCCCAGCCCCACCAGCTCCAGAGGTCTTCCCAGTGGCATAGGCCGCTGCTGGCCCACCCAGGCTCTGGCATTTGGGTGTGGCAGTGGAGCGGGGTGGTGGTGGCCTGTTGGCACCCCCTGCAGCGGCTCCATAACCACCTTTGCCTGTCTTATAACCAGGAGATTGAATGATGGGGCGGTAACCTCCACCTCCACCCCCAGCCCCACCTCCTCCAGCTGCCTCAGGGCCCGTGGCCCGGCCTGATGCCCCAGCCGTGGCTCCACTAGGCCCAGCCTTGCTAGGTTCACCAGCACCTGGGGAGGGCTCCCCACCACCCAGAGGGCTGCAGGCCAGGTTAGCCCGGTGGCCCATTGACGGATAGCTGCCTCCACAGCTCAGGTAGTGCTGCAGAGCATGGGCTGGTGGTGGGGGTGGTGGGGGCTGGGCACTAGCTGGCCGCTGGTAGTGCTTGATGACGGTGTCCTGGCGGGGCAGGGCCCGCTCAGGAGGTGGTGGGCCTGGGGCAGCACCCGAGAAATTGTACAGCTGTGGAGAGGATTGTTCAGCGGCCGCAGCCGCAGCAGCAGAAGAGGAAGCCAGCAGATTAAACTGAGTTGGGAGGTGGCGGGGAGGTGGAGGTGGATCTGGGGGGCCAGGGCGGTAAGGGGGGGTCTGGGCTGGGCCAAGGCCTGCAGGCCCCAGGACACCACCCCCTGCCAGGCGCTCAAAGCCCAGTGAGGAGGGCACCGTGGGAGCCTGGGAGGGCTTCAGATGGAGCACGTCATGAGGGGACAGGAGCCCGTTAGCAGGAGGGCTGAATGGGGGATCCTGGAGGCTGAGGGATGAGGGCACTGGGAAAGGACGACTGCCGAAGGAAGCCGGGTGCTGGTAGGCCGACAGGGCAGAGGAGGATGGAAAGGTGCTGGAACCCGGTAGGGCGCCCGAGATGAAGAGCTCCGTAGGGCCTGGTGTGTGCATGGCTGGGAATGATGGGAGAACACTGTAGGTCAGAGAAGACCACAAGCCAGCCTCACCTTAACCCTCCATGGGCCGGCGCTGGGCTTACCTGTTTGCCACGAAGGACTGCGGAACTGGGAGAGGAGAGAAGAGGCAGAAGGGCCAGGCTGGGGGCCCCGGGACTCCAGGGCTGAGATGAGGTTCATGACGGAGGCGTCGGGCCCTGCAGAGCCCGCGTGGTGAAGGCCAGTGTCAAAGAGTCCAGAGAGGCCTGGCCAGGGACAGGGAGCAGAGTCACCCAAGTGGGGGGTAGAGCAGGGTTGAGAGAGAAAAGAAAAAAGCCAACCCGGTGAAGTTAGGGAAAAAGGCTGGATAGAAAATTCAAACAGGAGAAAAGGGGCAGAAGCAAGCTGAGACTGGGTCAAGGGGAGGGAAAGAAATAACCCAGTAAAACAGAATAGAGTACAATCCAACCATATGACAGGATTCCCAGGTGAGAAATGGTTAATCAAAACAGGGAGAAAAGGACAGAGTCCTCAATAACACCAGGAGGAGGCCAGAGGATTGGAGTCTCAAAAGAGCCAACGAAGTATAAGTCAAAAGGAGTTAAATCATCCTCAGAGAATCCAAACAAAAATGGGGAGGAACACCGGGAAGGAGCCAACCAAAAGGACCAAACTAGTGAGCACAGTCTCACTTGAGGTACATCTGGGAATGAGGAGGGGATCGGGATCAAAGGAAGGGGACCAATCAGAAAAGTAGGAGGCAAGACCAAAGGAGCTGAGTGAAGTAGTGGGCAAATCTTTTTTAAAAAAGGGGCTGGGCCAAAGAATTGGAGGCAATCAGGAAGAAAGCGAATCAGAAGGAAATTCAGAGGGCAAAGAAGCCAAGAGGGTGAGGGAAAACCAGAGGGAAAGGACTGGAGTGGGCTGGAGAGAGGCGGAAAAGCCTGGAAGAGAAGGTGGGATTTGGGGCTGATGGGTCGGGGCCAATTGGAGCAAAAGGGGCAGAGCTAGAGACAGGACAGACGAATCCGGCGTGAAATTGAACAGGCACCAGCAGCTCAGAGGCAACCAATCAGAGAAGAGGTAGCAAGGGGCGGGTCACTACATAAGGCATGGCCAATTAAGAGGGGCGGAACTTTCAGCAGCCAACCAGCTACCTCCGAGGGAGGGCCAGGCGAAGCCTGGCGGGATGGGGGCCGTACCTGCCGGGTGGTGGTTGGTGGCATAGCTTTGCAGTGGGTGGGGGGCCGCATAGGCCTGGCGGTGTAAGATGTCCGTCTCTGGGTGCGAGGTCCTGGAACTGCCATAGACCAAGCTGGGGGCAAGGAGGTAATGTTAGAATGTTCTTCCAAGCTACCTCAAAAAAGGGAGCTCAGGAAATCCCCAGGGAGCTTGGAGGTGGGAACCTTCCAGCTCGCTGGGGGGTTATCCCAAGGAACTTTGGGCTCCAAAGGAGATAAGACAAGGGAATCCAGTGCCACAGAAAAGGCCCCACTCTAGAGCCCCAGTAAATAGAACCCAGATAGTCTCACGTTTATAAACACAAGCATGCACACCGAGACAAACCCACGGGGGAGGGTGTAAGTCAGAGGAAGTGTCCTGAATTGAAAATGTAAAAGGCGTGGTCCTCCTACCGAGCCCCTCCTCTGTCCTGTCCCGTCCTCCTACCCCCGCGAGGTGGAGAGGTGGTGACACAGACCTAGACCGTGGGGCCAACCCCAGAGGTGCACAGGAACACCCACCTCGGAAATGCCATAAACCCTGAACCTCAAGAGTCCTGAATCAAGTCGGAAACAGGAGGTAGAATGCTCCCCAAACGCAGGCGTAAGGGAGTGGGGAGGGGACAGGACTTGGGGAAAGTACCAGGTACAAGTGCGGACAGGAATACAGGCCATCCCCAGGGGTTGAGGTTCAAAATGCAGGAGCCCATGCAAAGCCAGGTATGTGTACAAACGAGTATTCCTTTTGTCAGTGGGGAAGAAAAGATACAAATCGAGGAGTCCAACCTGAGAAATTCTGACACGCTGGGAAACCCAGGTGTGTGTGTTGGGGGGGATCCAGGGACAGGTAAAAGAGTAAGGACGCGACACTGATGAGCAGCAGGAAAGGGGCAATTTTACAGGTGAACAATTTCACACTGCAGCCACGCAAGCACAGGGCCCACGCTCACACACAAACACACACCCGGGAAACACCCGACTCTCCCCATGCAACGGCCCCAATTCATGGCCGAGACTCAAGAGGGCAAACACTTCTGGCCATCAACTCGGATTCTCAGCCTTTGGGGGTGGGGGAGCAAAAGGGGGCGTATCCCAGATGCCAGACCCCCCCCTTTTACACACACACAACCCTAGTTTTAAGAAGGGGGCGGGGCCCTGTGCCCACTCTGCGCGCGGAATTTCTTTGGGGGAGGCGAGTGGCCCAGCCTCACGCAGTCCCGGAACAATAGGACCTGGGAGGGGGTGCGCGACCCCCAAGTCGGCATTCGAATTCTCTTTCCCTACCACCTTTGCAAGAGCGAAGCCAGGGGCGCCGGGGGGAGGGGTCAGTAGGCCGGGAATCCAAGGATGGGGGAAGTCCAGGCCTTGCTTCGCCAGTCCTTCCCACCTTCCCAAGGCCTTCCCGTCCGAAAATTTGTTTTGCACCCCTATCTTCCCGCTGCATTTCTCCCTTTGCAAGCCAGAGCTGGCTTTGGCAGAGTTTGCAATTTGCAAACTGGGGCGGCGGCGTTGTTACAAACCGAAGAAGGCCGCTCCCTTGCAAGCCGGAGGGGAGTTTGCGATGCACGCGTCGCCGGGCGGGCCGGGCCCGGCCCGACTGGGCCCCCACCCCTTGGCCCCTTTCTCCAGGCCATCCTCAGCTCCTTACCTAGCTTTCGCTGACCTCTCGTAACTCCATCCCGCCCCGGCGCCGAGCGGGTCCCCGAAGCCGGCGCTGGGGTAGTTCCTGTCCATGAATTGGCCGCGGTGGAAATTGGGGGGAGGGGGAGGGAGGGGGAAAGGAGGGGGCGCGCGCGCGCTCTCCTCCGCCGCCGCTCCCTCCGCTGTTTTTTTTTTTTCCTCCCTTTTCTCTCTCTCTCTTTTTTTCTTTGCAGCCGCCGAAGGCCCGGGAAGGCCCCGGGCGGGGGAGGGAAGGGACAGGGGCGGAGGGACGGGCAAAGGAGGGGTGCAGCCGCTGAGCCAAGAAGGGGGGAAGGGGGGTTCCCCCTGGAGGAGGGAAAGGGGGGGAGGAGGGACCCCGCTGTCTCCGCCTTTGCCCCGGCGCTTGCAAGAGAGAAGGGTGGGCGCGCACTCGGGAGGGGGCGTCCCGGGCGGCCCCGGGGTGGGTGCAGGCGCTGGGTGCTCGCTCTCTTGCCGCCGCCGCCGCCGCCTCCTCCTCCTCTGCGCTCACGGTGCAGCCATCTTTGCACAAGGCGGCTGGGGGAGGGGGGAGGGGAAGGGGGGCGGGCGACGGGGTGTCTGGCTGCGCTCCGCTTCCTCCCACAATCCCGTGCAAATGCAAAAAAAAAAAAAAAAAAGAGAGAGAGACTGAGCGCTAGCAGAGCCTGGGGGTGTAGGGCGCAGCGTTTGTACAGAAAACCAGCTCCACCGCGCGCAGATGCGCCCAGGAACGCTGTACAGTTCGTTAGATTTTTATTTTTTCGTAGTGTTTCAGTCTTTTTTTTTTTTGTTTCCTTACCAAAGGATTTTTATGTAGGGGAATAGCTCACTCCTGTTTCCCGGGTGCAACAAGAACCTGCCCCAACCGAGCGCGCTTGCAAATGTGCCCCCCACCCTTTCTCTGGGTTACGATGCGCCTCTGAGCGCACAGGGAATACATGGAGACACGCGTGTGCCCGGGCGAGGGTCTCTGCGTGTACGTGCCCCGTGGACGACGGTCGAGTCACATCTGGTTACACACCCGGCCTGCACTCCTGGGTCCAAGTTTTCACACGCGCATGCCTACACCGAGGGCGGGACTGGCCGGTCGCCCCCTTCAGTCAGGAGAGCGTAGGGGGCGCGCAAGGGGCAGGGACCGGACTCCGCCACACGTTGGCTGGGGGGTCATGCGTGTATCCGTACGCGGCGGAAACACGTGTGTCACGGTAGGCCGCGGGTCGGACGACCCCTACTCTCCCCCCACGGGCAAGCTTAGCTCCGGAGTCTGAGAGGCCGGGGGGCTTCCGGAATTCGGTGTGAATCAGGGGCACGGCTCGGGGAGGAGAGGATCGGGCACAGGTCTTCAGTGAGGCCTTCTGAGGCTGCAAGGGGAGGGGCACAGGGGGGAGTCAAAAGATCTGGTTGTTTTTCCCCCTCAACCGAGACCACTCCGACCCGCTCTTGGCGTCTCAGCCAATCCAGAGCCCTCTGGGCACAAGCCCCACCCTCCTATAAATGCTTCACTCGCTAAACGCCGAGCTACGCCCCTACAGACAAGCGCATAGAACCCGCCCCCGCACTCCAAGCCCAGCCCCAGGTAATAAGGCCCAAATTCCAAGTCCCGCCCTCGAGTCCACGCCCCTCCTCCGACAGTGCCCTCCCCTCGAAGCCCCGCCCCCTAGCAGAAGCCCCGCCCCGTACCTGGAGTAGGGAGGTGGAGGTGCATCGTGTACCCCTGAGGCCTCTAGCGCCTGCTCGTAGGTGGGGAGACCTGGGGGTTGGGGTGGAGTCAGGGGCGTCGGAGGGCTAAGAGGGCTGCTGAGCACGGTCCTGGGGACAGAAAAAAATGTAGTTAACAGGGGAAACCAGCAGACTGATTGAATTGAGAGAGACACAAACGAGGGTGGCAGGGGGATAGAGGTGAAAGGGAGATGGGCCAGAGGAAAGGAGGGTCACCTTCAGCCTAGCCTTACTGGCAGTAAAGTGCTTGAAATGACGGGTGATGTACATAGGCAGACACAGAAGTCAACCAGAAATGCAGGATTTCATTCAGACACCTATGCATCAGATACAGGTAGAATGGTGGAGAAACAGTCCTGCAGGGAGACAGACGGATAGACACACCAAAACAGACAGAACTCAGCAAGATCCATACAGACAGGGAACACAAGAGACACTTTGATTACAAATTTCCCAGCTAGATAAACATTCTAGCAAAATTCCAGACCCACTGCATTTCCAAGAATAACAACTCTCAGACATCCCCTAATACCCTACCAATTAGAAAGACACACCTAGACAACTCACAGCTCACATAGACACAGGCTGCACCCTGTCACCATGGAAACAGACAGGCCATAGACAGCCATGGACCACAAGCTACACAGTAACAGCCTCACCACATACACAATGCAGAGTGATAACCTCACAGAAACCTGGTACTGCAAACACAGACAGGCAGCAAATGTGGACAGAGCTCCTACTGCAGGCTAGACAGACAGCACAACCAGACAGAAGCCTGACTCTGTAAATCTTTCATCAGTGCCCTGTTTGGTTTTTCCCCCTTGGGGATGGAATCCAGGGCCTTGCAAAAATGCTTAAAAATGTTTTGCCAATTGAACCAGGCCTCCATCCAGTCTTTTGCTTTTATCTTGCTTTTCTTTTCTTTTTTTCTTTTTCTTTTTTTGGCAGTAGTGAGGCTTGAACTCAAGGGCCTACACTTCGAGCCATCTCACCAGCCCTTTTTCTGTGATGGATTTTTTTGAGATAGGGTTTCTTTAACTATATGTTAGGGTTGGCTTCAAAACACAACCCTCCTGATTTCTGCCTCCGGCTTTTATCTTGTTTTTGAGACAGGATCTCACTACCTTTACCTGGACTGGCCTCGAACTTGAGATCCTCCTGCCTCTGCCTCCTGAGTAGTAGGGATTAGGTGTAATCCCACCATACCCGACTCTTCAGTGCCCTCTTACTCCAATCCTTAGCCAATCTCCTTAGGTCAAACCTCCCACCCTCCACTGCTCCCTCCATCTCCAAAGCCTCCTTACTCTTGAGGACTGGAGTGCTGGCTTCGGCCCCGGCCCCTTCGGTGATGCAGATACCAAAAGGCTCCCAGGCCAGCCAACACGATGAGCAGGATGCCGGAAGTGAGTCCCACTGCAAGGCCAGCTACATCAACTCTTCCGCGTCCTGTGGGTTGGGAGAGGCACTGGTTGCAAGGCTGCTATCTACATCAATATCCAAATTCCTTTGCCCTCAGGCCAAGAATGTGGACTGTGAAATTGGAACCACTTCCTACTTCCGTGGCCCCCAAATTCTTTCTCTGGGCCTCCACTTTCCACTCTGTAAAATGACAATATAACCCCCTACTGCACAGGTTGTGAAAACTTGATGAGATCAAACACAAAAAGGACTTGGGACGACCTCATCCAAGCCCTCCCTGGACATTGGGTGATTCCAGTCCCCAAGAGTCAGGGAGCAGAGCCTTCTAAGCAACCCGTCTGCTAAGGGACCCACACTGAAGGTCAGATGGGTATCAGCTTCAAGAGGTCCCTACACTCAGCATTGCCAGATTCAGCAAATAATAATATAGGGTACTTGGTTAAATGTGAGGTTCAGATGCACAGCAAATCATTTTTAGCATAAGTATATCCCATACACTATTTGGGATATACTTATACTTGAAAATTATTTATTGTGTGTCTGAAATTTAAATTTAATTGTATCTATGTGGGGGGAACACAGAGGTAGTTGCTCTCCTGTATGTTATCTACAAACACTATCCACTCTGGAATGCAACCCTTTCTACCAACCAGACACTGAGGGTCAAGACCTCAACTCTGTGAAGGGAGAGGCAACCACAGGAAGGTTTCAAAATTTACTAGAAGGCTGGGAAAAATTCACTTAATAGTGGAGGAATTTAGGGACTCCTTCCCCTCCTCCAGACAACTAGATGTCTAGTTATTTGTAGCCTACTTCAGAAATCAAACAAGAAACAGGGAGATAGCCTTTGTTGTTTGTTGGTGGGTTTTTTTGTGATACTGAGATTTGAACTCAAGGCCTACACTTTGAGGCTCTTTTTTGTGAAGGGCTGGTTCTTGGTTCCTAGGGGACTGCTCCCTAGCAACTCAGCCAGGGCAGAAAGCCTGGCCATCCTCACCTGTACAATTTGCCCACCTCCTCTGAGTTCTGAGGCCCCATCTTGGCTATAGCCTTGTTGCTGAGGGGGGAGGGGTTGCTCCTTAGCAACAGGGCTTTGTTGTGAAGGGTTTTTTCAAGATACGGTCTCGACAACTATTTGTCTGAGCTTGCTTCGAACTGTGATCCTCCTGATTTCTGCCTCCTGAGTAGCTAGGATTACAGGCATGAGCCACTGGCTTCCAGCCGGGAGACAGCCTTTGTGAGGCCTTGCTAGCACTGGTGCTGGGGACATTTCTTCTAACAATGGGTGGGGGACTTCCCTCACACAGTAAACCCCTAGCTTTCTAGCTCCCTTAGGAAAACCTGCATTGAGAAGGCAAGGAAAGGAGCCACTAGGCCTTCCTGAGCCTGTAGCTAAGTGGGAGCTACCTCCCCTAGCAACCAGGCTCCAATGGAGGACTCCAGGCCAGACCTAAGGACTGTTGCTAAGGTGCATCCACCCCTAGCAACCAGGCCACAAGGGGGCGGGGCATCTGGTGCTCAGACGGGGGTCCTCTGGCAGGCAGGAGGCCTTAGGTCCTCCAGCTAGGTGCTGTTGCTAGGGAGAAGGCCTCCTTAGCAACCAGGCCTCTGCATCTATGATGGGACAGTGGGGGAGGGGAGGCCAGCCAGGTAGTGCTTCTGGCTTCCTCTTGTGTGGCCTGGGGAGGCCCTGTTGCTAAGGAGCAGCACCCCCTAGCAACAAGGCTGCAGCCAAGATGGGGCCTCAGAACTCAGAGGAGGTGGGCAAACCAGACAGGTGAGGATGGCCAGGCTTCCTGCCCTGGCCGAGTTGCTAGGGAGCAGTCCCCTAGCAACCAAGATGGTTGGAAGAGGCTGGGGCTCTGAATTGCAAAGAAGGGCGGCTCAGGTGGGTTTTGCCCTCTGATGGATCCTGCACGTAGTGACTATTACCCTTCTGTCCACCACCACTTCCCCCTCCTGGGAACTTGGGGCCTCCCCGGAATGTCAATGTGGTGTGGTAAACCTACATTTCAGTCAGATTATACTGTCAAGGAAACCATTTGACAATCACCCTCAGGGAGCATGGGATTGGGGGGCTGCAGATTCTTGTGCCTAATGTGGGATCTCCATGAGACAGGACTACCTTTTCTGCACCAAAAAAAGAGGCTTTCAGCCCCCACTCACCTCCTTTGCCATTGTAGATGTAGCTCTCCCAAAAGCGCTCCTGAAAGGGTCCAGGTGGAAGAGAAGGGGGGAGGTAGCAATTTAACTGGGAGACTCACAGCCTCCTCCACCCTGATTTGGGAGACCCCAGGTAAGAGGTTGGTGAAGGCCAGGATCCTCCCACCGCAGAGCCTAGAGATGAATCAAGGGCCCTGACCTCGAGGGCCTGGAGCCCCTCACCGTCATTGTATTGTCCTCATAGAACTCCCTGGCTTCTTCCCAGGAACACCTCTCCTCATGACACTCCCGCTCCAGGTTCCCAGGCGTCAGCAACTCCAGGTCCCAGTGATTGGCTCGGGGAATCCGCCTGTGACTGCCCAGGAAGCTCTGGGCCTCTGGGGTGCCCAGGAAGACTTCTGGGCCTAAAGACACAGGGTCAGTGCTGGGGTGTGCTCAAGTGCACCTGCCTAGCAAAGGTAGGGCCCTGGGTAAGCACGAATACTGCTCCCCCCTCAAACACACAAAGGTTAGAAAAGCAAGGGGTTCTTATGGCTAGAAACCTAACAGGCTGAAAGTTATAGAGTCCTGATGGAGAAGGGCTGGGGCCTGGACCCCTGGGTCTGAGAGAAGAGGACTGGGTTATGGGCTCCCAGGAGAAAAAGGCAAGGGTTCCTGAGTCAGGAAAAGCCAGAAGTTAAGCCTCTTCCTCCAAATGCTGACCTTGGTCTTGCTCCCCACTGGCTGAAATATCCAGGCAGTTGTTCAGTCCTATGTAGAGCAGCAGAAGGGAAGGGTATCCCCTCATATTTTGTGGACACCTGGAACCAGGTAGCATATACAAGTGCCTCAGTCCCTCCTTATGAGGCAAGGTCGCTTGACTGGACTCTGTGGTTATGAATGAAAATAAAAGCAGCCATTGACCTACCCTGTAACCTGTGCCAGACGCTGTCTTGTTATGAACTCATTTTAATTTTCACAGCAGTCATGTTATTATTCCCAGTTTATAGATGAGGTAAGTGAGGCATAAAGCGGTAAAATAACTTGCCCATAAGTCACACATTGGCAAATGTTACAGCAGGATTTTAAGGAAAGCATTGTTTACCCAGAGGGGTGGTGTGTGCTTATCTCCCCCCCACACACACACACACACTCAACACAGGTCTGCAACACTCAACACAGGTATTAGCTCGTAGTAGGAGCTCTTAAACAGATCCACTTGTGATCCCAGATTCCTTCTGTCCTGGCAATTTCCACCTCCGCCCTTGCCCATTGCTACATCTACCCACAGATATCAAAGATCACAGAAAAGGGAAGCTCCTGTATTTCTGGATCCAAGGGTAAGAGGAAGGAGCGGTCCTCGACTCCTGGACTTCTAGACCTGGTGATCCCAAACTTGTAGATCTCAGAGGGGTTGGGGAGCCAGGACACCAGGGTCCCCATTTTTAGGCTCTGCCTCCAGGAACACTGACTTACCTGTCTATACCTGTGAGCAGTGCCCCTTGGCTTTAAGGGGGCCCTCCTCGGGCAGCTGTGGCCAGCTGTGAAAGGGGGTAGGGGAGAGGGGAGGGGAGAGGGAGGAGGAGCGCTCCACTCGCGGTAACCAGGCCCGAATCCCGGTTTCTGGCAGAGGGGCGTGGCTTGCGATTACCTGCCCTGGGCGGGACTCAGGTAAGGGACAAAGTTTTTAAAGGGACCTTAGAATGAAGGGACTAAGGGACCGAGCCCCATAGAAAAGGCAGGGTCTCCGACTCCTTGAGGGCACTTAGGGGGCTGAATTTGCAACGTCTTCTCCCCCAACCTCCAGGTCCGTCCCCCCACTGGGAATTTGCCTGTCCGAAAGGGAGCAATTAATACCTGGGTGTCTAGATATCTAGAATCTGGCAGGAACCGTACGCATTGGTCCCTAGGATGTCTGGGCGGCTCCGTGATAAATCCCTGTTTTTTTATGGTGATCGATCGGCTTTGACTTCCGATCTTTCTATAGCTCCATCTATAAAATGGGATCAGAGGAGTTCTCACAAAATTGTCGCTTAAGATTCAGCATGAAAAATAGATAATATAATTGGGGAAGGTGGGCACCCCAATCTCGCGGAAGTGGTTACTCCTAAAACTCGGCCTTGGAAAGAAGACTCAAGAACCTGGGAATCAAACAGGAAACCGCCCGCCCAGGGAAATGCCTAGTAGATACTAAGCGTTCTCCATATTCACGTCAGTTTCACTAACCGGAACTTTCGAGTTGCCACTCACGTTTCCGGAGGGAGGAAGAGAAGAAGACAGGATTTACCAACCCAGGCAAGGCACCTCCGCAACTAGGGGCAGATCTACTTCCGTTCCCTCCTTCCGTGCGGAAGTGGGCGGAGCCAAGGGGTTAACAGCACTCCTTTCCGGTGTAGAGGCCCAGTTGAAGAGGCAGCGAGAAAACGAGGAGTCATTTGTGAGGTGAGTTGCAAACATTGGAGGGACAGTTTTGTTGAGTTCCCTTCCTGGGGTCTAGAGCTCTAGGGTCCTGGGGAAGACTGGGCAACGTTTCGGATTCCCGACTCCCTGTCAATATAAAATTCTCCGGATTACCCAAATTTGAAGCTGAACTACATCTCCCAGCATTCCCTGGAAGTAGCCATCCCTCTCAGGAGAATGCAGTTCCGTGGTCCCAATGGGTCCCGAGGTCCCACTGGAGGAAGGGGACTAGGAACCTGGCTGTGTGGGGGTCCTAAGCAGTGGGAGTTGAAGAAGTAGGATTTCTTCTTTGGTCTTAGTTTCCCAGCTACGAAGCGGAGGGTGGGCGGGCGGCAGTGAGTGGCGCAGTCACCTGTGGTTGCAGTCTCCACATCCCTGTTCCCTTGGGGTTAATGTAGGATTCAACGTTTTCCATTGTGGAGCTTTGGGGTCAGGCAGTCGTTGCCTTACATCCTGATTGTGCTGCAGATGCAGTGTGAACTTGGGCCTTGAAGACTCCTTCAAGCACGTTATTTTAAATGTTTTACTACGAAAATATTCAAACTTATATAAAAGTGATAAAATAATGTGAGAATCCCTTACCGTAGCCGGGCGCTGGTGGCTCACTCTTGTAATCCTAGCTACTCAGAAGGCAGAGATCAGAAGGATCGCGGTTCGAAGCCAGCCCCCAGCAAACTATTCTCGAGACCCTATCTCGAAAAAAGCCATCACACACACACAAAAAGACTGGCGAAGTGGCTCAAACGGTAAAAGCACCGACCTAGCAAGTGTCGCGCCCTGAGTTCAAATCCCAGTACTGCCAAAAAAAAAAAAAGGTCCAGATTTACCTTTTTTATTTTTATTTTTTTTGAGAGAGGGTTTCGCTCTGTAGAACAGACAGCCCGGAACTCAACACCTCCCCCCCCCACACACAGGTGTGTGCCGCCATTCCCAGCTTACCTCCACCCCCATTTTTTTGTCGGTACTGGGGTTTGAACGGAGGTCCTGGAGCTCATGAGGGAGGCGCTCTACCGCTTGAGCCCCGCCTCCAGCCCTTTTTGCTCTGGTTATTTTGGAGATAGGGGCTCTCATTTTGCCCAGGCTGGAATGGATCCTCCTATTTTAGACTTTCTGCAGACACTGCGATAACAGGCACTCACCACTGATCCCAGCTTGATTGAGATAGGATGAGATGGGATCTTGAAAGTTTTTTTCCCCCTGGCTGGCCTCCAACCCGATCCTCTGGATTCCAGCCTGCCAAGTAGCTAGGATTACAGGTGTGAGCCACCCGCACCCACCTCCCTTTTATTTTTTAAATTAGCTTCTGGAGATATAATTCACATAATAAGTACTTCATCTACTTAAGGTGTGTAATTTGGTGGTTCTTAGTATATTCACAGAGCTGTGCAACAATTGCCACTATCAATTTTAGAACATTTTCATCACCTCAAGAAACCCAGAATCATTAGCAGTCATAAACCATTTCCTCTCAGTCCTTCCCATCCCCAGCCTTAGACAACCACTAAGCTACTTTTTTGGGGTTTTTTTTGGTGGGACTGGGGTTGAACTCAGGGCTTTGCACTTGGAAAGCAGGCTCTACTATTTGAGCCACACCTCCAGTCCATTTTGCTCTGGTTATTTTGGAGAGGGGGGTCTCTCAAGCTATTTCCCAGAGCTGGCCTCAAATCTCTATCCTCCTGATCTTAGCCTCCCAAGTAGCTAGGATTACAGGTGTGAGCCACACAGTATACACACCAGCACAACCACTACCCTACTTTCTATCTCTGTGAATATGCCTGCTGTGTACATTTCATTCAAATGTAGTCATACAGTGGGTGGTCTTTTGTGACTGGCTTCTTTGACTTAGCTATTGTTTCAAGGTTCATCCATGTTGTAACATGTATCAGTTCTTCATTCTTTTTTATGGCCGAATAATATTCCATTCTACCAGACACACCACATTTATTTTTCCATTCATTGGGTGATAAGCATTTTGAATAATATTATTATTTTTAGCTGTTACAAGTGATGCTGCTGTCAACATTTGTTTACAAAGCTCTGTGTGGATGTGTTTGTTTGTATTGGCAGTGAAATTGCTTGATCAAACTGTGGTGGTGGCACTGGGGTTTGAACTCAGGGCCTCATGCTTGCTAGGCAGGCCCTCTACTGCCTAAGCCACACCTCCAGTCCATTTTGTACTAGTTATTGTGGAGATGGGGTCTCTTCAACCATTTCCCTGGGCTAGCCTTGAACTGCAGTCCTCCCAATCTCAGCCTCACAAATTGCTAGGATTACAGACATGAGCCACAGGGCCTGGCCTCAGTGTGGTTTTATTGCACTTCTTTCCCGATTAGTGATGTCACGCATCTTTTCATGGCCTTATTTTTTGACCATTCCTATACTGCCTTTGGAGAATGTCTGTTCTATCTTTTGCCACTTTAAAAATTAGATCGTTCTTTTGTTTTTTTTCCCCACACTCTGCTTTTGGCTGGATTGTGTTTATTATTGAGTTGTAAGGCTTGTTTTGTTTTGTTTTGTTTGGGAGCTTGGTTTTGTTTTGAGAGTGTCTCCTATGTAGCCCAGGCTGGATCTCTTGATCCTTCTGCCTCAGCCTCCTGACTGCTGGGAGTGCAGGGATTACAAATATGTGCCACCACACCTGGCTTCAGACTCACCATCATAAAAAAATTTTCTCACTTTCAGAAGCAATTATGTGACTGTCCAGGTCCCATCGGGCTCTCCCTTACTGGCCATTGTCTGAGCCGCCTTGTCATCCACCCCTGGTGACTGAGAAATGGTGGTTTTCAGTTCTGTCATTCCTCCACACTCATTACCTAGCAATTTGTCTCTTAGCCTGAGCTTATGTTCCATTTTGAAACGCTCCATCTCTGGGCCTCTTTTATTTCAGGTGTGTGTGTTGGGAATTGAACCCAGGGCCTCAAGCATGCTAAGCACACGCTCTACCACTAAGCTCCACTTCTAGCCTTGGGCCTGTATTTTCTCACTTTTTTTGTTTGTTCATTTTTTTGTATTTGGTGGCCTGGGCTTTGAACTCAGAGCTTTGCACTTGCTAGGCAGGCACTTTTTTGCTGTACCTGTTTTTCAAATAGGCTCTCATGACTTTTACCCAGACCATGATCCTCCTATCTACACCTGGGAGTAGCTGGGATTACAGCCACACATTACTATACCTGGCTTATATGTTGAGATGAAGTCTTGCTAACTTTCTGCTTGGGCTGGCCCTGAACCGTGATCCTCCCTATCTCTGCCTCCCAAGAATATTCCTATTCTTTTAATGCTTTTGTGAATAATGTATTGGTTGGCTGGATTCTTAGTTTATTGACAATACACCTTCCCCAGGCCTAGGGTAGAAGATGGTTAACTGATCCTATCACAGTATGCACAGTATGGCTGCACGATTCATTGGCTGTATGACCTGGACACTTACATGCTGCGTTTCCTCATGTATAGCAGCTTGTTGAGTTGTGTGCAGAGGAGTAAAATGCTGAAGGGCCTCGTCCTGGAAACTCTGCAACAAATGTCAGCCATTAATAGAAAACCTAAGAGACTCTCTGAGCTCTTAGAGAAGTACATCTCTCTCTCTCTCTGGTACTGGGATTTGAACTCAGGGCTTCGCACTTGCAAAGCAGGTGCTCTACTGCTTGAGCCACACCTGCAGTCCATTTTGCTCTGGTTATTTTGGAGATGGGGTCCTCGAACTGATGCCTCCACCATTGCAGTCTGCCACATAGCTAGGATTACGGTGTGAGCCGCTGATGCCTGTATCTAGTTATCTTCAGTTAGTGTCTCACCTTTTGGCCAGGGGCTGGCCTCGGACCATGGCCTTCCTACTTATGCCTCCCATGTAGCTGGGATGACAGACGCCTGGCTTGTTTGTTGAGATGGGGGGGGCGGGTCTCACTAACTTTTTGCCAGAGCCAACCTTGAACCTGAGTAGCTAGCATTACAGTTAAGAGCCACTGTGCCTGGCTTCTTTAGCTTTTTTTTTTTCCCAGTACTGGTGATTGAATTTAGGGCCTACACCTTGAGCTGCTCCAACAGTCCTTTTTTGTGTTGGGTTTTTTCGAGATAAGGTCTGGTGAACTATTTTCACAGGCTGGCTTTGAGCCTTGACTCTCCTGATCTCTGCCTCGTTAGTAGCTAGGATTACAGGCATGAGCCACTGGTGCCTGGCCTGAATTTTAAATTTTGATTACATCATAATTAATTTAAATCTAAACACCAATACTTGATGTAGTTATAGAAAAGCTTCATAAATGTGTTTAGAATAGCTGGGGGGCAGGGATCTATGTTTGAAATGGAATTTTATGAAACCTAAATATGGGTTGTATATTGCCAATGAAATTTAGCATCGGCCAGGCACAGTGACTCATGCTTGTAATCCCAGATACTTGGGAGGATCCTGGTTCCAGGGCACTATGGCAAAAGGTTAGCGAGACCTCCATCTCAACCAAGAAGCTGAGCGTGATGGTGCATGCCTGTTGTCCCAGCACTTGGGAGGATGAGGCAGGGGAATGGAGAGTTCCAGACAAGCCTGGGCTACTTGGTGTCTCAAAAATGAAAAAAAGTAGTAACAGGAACAAAAAAAAAAAGCCTTCAGCTTAGGGGCTGGGGTATAGCTCAGTGGAAAAGGACTTGCTCACCATGTATGAGGTCCTGGTTTCCTTTCTCAGCACCACAAATAAAGAGCAGAGCAGAGCTGAGCACCAGTGATTCCCACCTGTAATCCTCGCTACTTAGGAGGCTGAGATTGGAAGGATCAAGGTTCAAGGCCAGCCTGGGCAAATAGTTTGGGAGACCCCATCTCCAAAATAACTACAGCAAAACGAACTATAGGTGTGACTCAAGAGGTAGAGAGCCTGCTTTGCAAGTGCGATGCCCTAAGTTCAAAACTCCAGTCCCAGCCATGCACAGTACTGCAAAACAAAACAAAACAAAAAACCCCAGTCTCACCAAAAAAAAAGAAAAGGAAAGTCGAGTTC